AGCTCTGAGCGCATGTGTGGCTCTGCACCCTTAGCAGCGTTGCTAACTCCTCAGTAAGGAAAGCCTGCTTCATGTCAGAGTCTCTAAACTCCAGAAGAAGTCGATAAAAGTCCCTTTCTTTCTAAAAAAAAAGTCGTTAGGGGGTCTGAAAAGTCATTGAATCTAACAACAAAGTCGCTAGGTTTGCAACTACGTGTCCCAGACTGCATCCCTGCTGAGAGTCCCTCCCTCGCTTCTCATGTTGCAGGAAGAACGTAAGCACCCGCCCCTTGTCAATCAGTCACCATATAATTTTGGATTGGTTGTTGTGGTGAAGTTTTCCACCAATAGGAGAGATGTTGTGGTGTGTTTTTTTTTTTCTTTTGGCAAGCCTTTTCCGCCTGTAAGACCTGTCGCTAATGTCTGCATGCTATGTTTTCCTGTCTCATACAGCGCGATCGAGCGCCGAACGTGATCAAAATAAGCAGAAAAAAAGTATCGCGGACATAATTTATCATAACTCTGGTTTTATTTGGTCTATCAACACAATTTAAAAACTGGTATATAGGTTGAGGTCCTCACTTTTGAGATAAGTTGAAACGGAGAGTCAACGAGGCTCCGTCTTGCAGCTACATCCGGTTAAATATGTCATGTGACTTGAACGCACACACAGACACACACACACGCACACACACACACACACTCAGAGTCTGGTTTTTAGCACCTGCAAAAACATGCTATTTACATATTTGACAAGAATGCAGAGGCTCCTTTTGCCCCTGAAAAAAATCAAATTTCAAACACAACTTGACTGGTCATTTCTCCAAAAGACAACCATGAAGCTCCATCCAAACCTGAAGCAGGCAGTTGGTGCATGTGTACAGTAACCTGAGGGGAGTGAGGTGAGTGCTTCTGAGGAGAACATGAGCAGTGAAGATTCACCTTGGAGCTAGAACAGAGACATGCACATGATTATACAGGGGCAGGGGCTCAAGTTTTTTCCAGTCGTTTATACAATATGGAAATTAATGTGAAATTAAAACACAAAGTATTAATAGAAAGGTAATGACTGTCCTGTGTAGGTGACAGTGATATCGAATAGGCTAGGCACTCACGAGGCTGGCTGTGGCAAGTGTAAGTGAAAGCAACACGCACTGGCAGGAAGAACAGCAAACGCCGATGAAGGAAAAGGGTCTTTGCAGTGATGGGCGTTACCAGAGAGGGCGATGGCCAGAGGACACAAATGGGACGGGGAGGCAGCACGTTGGGGGGGGGGGGGGCGACACGGCTCGGGCCCGCCAGTGCCCCAACGGGGTCCTAGTTTTCTTTGTTTTTCTTTCACTCTGTTAGATCTCCAAACACAGCTATATCTTTATCTATATATGTGATTTGTCTCAATATGATACATAAAACATCTTGCTGTTCCTCAGTTGTTCAGTGATTGAACAATGGCCCAAATGTCGTGTTGCACTGGAACACAACTGAGATCAAGTCTGTTTTAGTTTTTCTGTGTTTTCATGTTACAGTGTGTACATCTTAGCTCATTTTCTGTGTCAACGACTAAGAAGAAACTTGTTGGTGCCAAATATTTTCCCTTTTTCAAAAATATAAGTTTTAGCATTCATTCAGTGTTGTTCTCAATATTGAAATGAAACTCCATAAGGCTGTTTTGAAAAGAATTATTTTTTTACCCAGAATCCTCTGTAGGTTTCAGGTTGAAGCGAAGCTGGTTCTGAGAGGGATGACCTGCCAGGCTGTATTTTACTGTCACACAGCCTTCAGCTGCCTCTGAAATCTGACAGAATTTACAGATTTAGGACCCTTATGAGAGGCAGAGAAGGAGATCAATGTTTAAATGGTTTCAAACCAAAATCTTTACACTATTACACTAAAATACAGAGAACTTCCTCTTCATATGTAACAATTCCTACCTGTCCAGTGAGTCCAGCATAAATCAGAGACCTTTGACCCTGGAAAAGTGATGTGATCGGTGGAGAAAGGACAGTGGCGGACACATCTTTTGGTAAATCCCATGTGACTGAGATGTCCACCACAGCTGGGTGTAGAGCATACCTCAGTGACTGCATCACCTGGTGAAGATAAATCACTTTTAAAAGGTTTACCCCTCCCATCCAACAAACCAAAGTATTGTTGAACATGACAGATTGCTTGTATTTCATGTGGAACTGACTTTTGGTTGCATCCTGTCACTTCCTAAAATGAACTGAGCATGACCTCCTCCTTCCTTGGCCAACCCATTGATGAGAGCGGAGCTGGCCCCTTCTCCAATCCCAAAAGAGAAACATCTGAAATAGAGTTGTTTAACTTTTACCCCAGACAGCAGGAGAACATTGTATATGTTGTGTGAAATAATCTGGTTGTTTACAAAGTTTCTGGCAGTTCACCTGTGGGCATGTGAATTCTTCTTTACCAGGTCTATAACTCCTTTGGTGTTCCCCACTTCTCCGTCAGTAAATACAAATAGCTAGGGAAGAGAATTTTCATGTTATTCAAATAAACCACAATCATATGCAGCCGTTGTTTTCAGAAGGCTGTTTAGATGTCACAACAGTGAAGTGGTTATTAGTGCCAAGTTTGAAACAAGGTGTGGTGAGGTTAAACTAACTAGTGACTTTAAAAAATAGAACAGACAGATTCTTTTACTGGTGACTGAATAGATTGTTTTAGTTACTGGCAGGGGATGTTGGACCTGTTTCACATGTTTTGTGTGAATGTGTGTGAATGTGTGGTACTTGTCTGGGTTGACTGGGAATGCAGGGCTGGCTGTAGATGTGTTTAAGTGGTTCAAGGATCTCTGTTCCTCCCAGATCTTCCTGCATCTCCTCAACTTTCTTCAAAGCCTTTTCCATTGTCTTCTGGCTGTACTCCACACTCTTACTGTGATTACATCAAAAAATCCTCAAATAACAACAAAGTCAGGGACAAATTTATTGGACAGCCTTTGAGAAGTAACTTACGGGAAGATGGATTCAAAACTGGAGCCAAAACTGTAAATGTTGAAATAGCTGCCCATTGGTAAACTCTTCAGCAGGAGTAGAAGAGTATCCTTCAAGGAAAAAACATAATCATGAAAGCTGCTGTCTGATAAGAAAATTCCTGATGGTTTTATACAAGAATATACACATTCATACCCTGGCACTACTAATGCGAGTCTCATTTCTATTGGTGTGGTTCATAGCTGCACCCATACTGCCAGAGCGATCCAATAAGCACACAAACTCTCCACATGTGGCAACTGAGGACATCACAGCCTGTGGGAACTCTGGGTACAGACTCAGCATCACTACTGGATCACCCATCAGAGTGCCTGAGCCACAAAGACATCCAATCTTACTTTTGCTATTTATTTATGTGATTTATCTGCTAGACTAGAGAGTTAGGCTATTAAGATTTGTAAATGCAAAATAGGAACTTCACAAATTTCTACTCACCAAGCTCAGCAGAAGCCTGGCCTGCCTCCACCACCGCAGTGGGCTGGTGGGCATCTTTGTAATAAATCAGAAGTTCAACATCTCTGTCAAATTTGTGCCCTGCAGCCAGCTTGAGCTATAGTTTACAGGACACACAAACCAACATGAATGACACATAGTGTTACCAGTAAAGACAACAACATCAGCAGACACATGAATATTCCACCTACCGTGGCTTTGGTTTGCTCTGAGTTGAGGTACTGTAGAGGATCAAGGGAACAGTTGGACTCTATTTTGGAGACAGGACGAGGAGACGACACTTGGGCAGAGAAGGACAGGGTGTAGGGCACCAAGGAGGCTGGACACGAGGTTACTTGGATGTTACCACTTCCACTATCTCCACTTCCTTTGGAGGGGTGAAAAATGTTAAAAAAAGTCTTAACCTTAATCATCATTGAGGCTATTTAATGGCAAGTTAGGGGTATATCCCTGTTTTTAATGTCAGACTTGTATTATATTTTTACACACATAAGGCTGTCATTAATGGGGCTGCTCAAAGTGGTCAACCACTTTGTCTCTTAGTTTGCTGAATTTCAAGTTTTAAAGATTTGACTTTTACAAGCACTAATAGAAAAGCGCAATGCCAATCCACCAATATAGATGCAGTTTCAAAGTTACTGACACGTGTTTTTGCTCGTTTTTCCTACCCTGAGGTTGGTAGCGAGGGTTAAGCACAGCAGGCAGACAAAACCTCAGTCCAGAATCAGCCTGCACATTCAGCTCAGTGACATATTCCAGCCTGATTGAGGCACTCTCTCCGGGTTGAAGACTGCCTACACTCAGGGAGAATATATCCGGACTTTGCTCACTCTCCTCCAACAGAAAGGCTTCCAAACCAGAGCTTAAAGCATCATCGTAGTCCTCACGTGCCTAGAGTACAGATTACATGAGTCACCTTAATTTTTACAGTATTATACTAATAGTTTCACAGTAAATAGTCAATCCTCACTGTGTTGCTCACCTCCTGTTTCCCCTTGACCTCTGCAATGATCTGTGTCTGTCCAAGCGTAGCGCTAAAATGACAGACAGCAGCATCTCCAGGCAGAGGGAAGACAAAAACTGCTTCTAATGGTTTGTCCTCTTTGTTTTCGTAATTGAGAGTGGAGACCACAGTAGCCACATGGTCCCTCACCTCCACCTCCACCTCCACACTCTTTAAAGGAACTGACCAAGTAACAAAGAGAAACATAATGGTCATCGATCATCAACAGCAAACACTCATAAAGTAATTACACAGAAAACAAAACATACAACAAATTTACATAATTCTTTATTGTTGTTGTTTTTAAAATCATTTAAATCTGTTTAAAGCAACAAAAGTCAGTTAGTTTTAAGGTTTGAATAAAAGACAGGAAACAAAGATTCTGTATTGGTCAAATAAATAAATAAATAAAAAGCATTTTGAAGCTCTCTACCTGGTTCCTTTCTTGCAGAGAGCAGACCACAATGGTTCACCATGATGCTGGTTCACACACAGTCAAGGAAGTAACTGCTGTCAAAAAGAGAACGTGAGAAGCTAGACTGGAGTGGTGCTGTGCTGACAAATCACAGTGAGCAAACATTGTACACACCCTAAATCTTGACCAAACAACCCTGTCAAACAGTTTTAACATATATTCAAGTGCTGTACCCTGTTCTAAAGATTAACTATGCTATTCAAAACTTCACAATGTAAGGCGCAGCATTCCTCCTAAGAGGAAGGAGGGAAGAGTGCTCCAGCACCAAGCTCTGGAGCCCCCCAGCCACTGAGTTTCAACCCAAAACGTGTCTCTAGTGTGCAACCATCTCTCAATATAGGTGAATATGTAGGTAAATATGTTTTATACGTTATTATATTGTAAATGATAGCAACGATGATAGCGACGATGACAACCCTCATAGTGAACATTGCAGCAGAGCAATTTGGAACTGAGGCACCTAAGCCAGCACCATCGGCATATGCTCCGAGCCACAGAGCAAGGAAGATCCAGCGCCTCAGGAAAGAGCTCAGGCTGATAAAGAAGCAGTACAGAACAGCAAGGGAAGTTGAGCGAGCTGGCCAAGCAGACCTGAGAGCAATCCTGAGGAAGCAGCTGGTGACCCTGTGGAGGGCAGAGTTCCACAGGAGGAGGCGGAAAGAGAGAGCCAGGAAGAGGGCAGCCTTCCTGGCTAATCCTTTCAAGTTGACCAAGCAGCTACTTGGCCAAAAGAGGACGGTCCACCTCACCTGCTTGAAGGAGGTCATCAACAACCACCTCAAGGCCACATACAGCGATCCCAGCAGAGAATAGCCGCTAGGCACATGCGATGCACTGACAGAACCACCAGAGCCTACATCAGACTTCAACCTGAAGGAGCCGAACCTACGTGAAGTGGAGGAAGTGGTGAGGAGAGCAAGATCAAGCTCAGCACCAGGCCCAAGCGGCATGCCGTATAAGGTCTATAAGAACTGCCCGAAACTCTTACACCGGCTTTGGCAGGCCTTGAAGGTGGTCTGGAGGAGAGGAAAGATCGCCCAGCCGTGGAGGTATGCTGAAGGAGTGTACATACCGAAAGAAGAAAAGTCAGAGAACATCGACCAGTTTCGGGTAATCTCCTTGCTCAGTGTGGAGAGTAAAATCTTCTTCAGCATCGTGGCCAAGAGACTCTCCAACTTCCTGCTGAGCAATAAGTACATCGACATGTCTGTGCAGAAGGGAGGGATACCGGGAGTCCCCGGGTGCCTGGAACACACAGGCGTGGTTACCCAGCTCATCAGGGAGGTGAAAGAGGGCAGAGGAGACCTGGCTGTGCTGTGACTGGATCTCACGAACGCTTATGGTTCCATACCCCATAAGCTGGTGGAGGTCGCACTGGAGAAGCATCACATACCCCAGAAGGTGAGGAGCCTCAACCTGGACTACTATAGCAAGTTCAGCTTGAGAGTTTCATCTGGCCAGCTGACATCTGACTGGCACCAGCTGGAAGTGGGCATAATCACTGGTTGCACCATATCAGTGACCCTCTTCGCACTGGCAATGAAAATGCTGGCCAAGGGAGCAGAAACAGAATGCAGAGGTCCACTCAGCAAGTCTAGAGTAAGGCAACCACCCATCAGAGCCTTCATGGATGACTTCACAGTGACGACAACAACTGTACCAGGAACCAGATGGATTCTTCAGGGGTTGGAGAGGATCATGGCTTGGGCTCGCATGTGTTTCAAGCCAGCGAAGTCCAGGTCCCTGGTTCTAAGAAAAGGGAAGGTCACAGACAAGTTCCGCTTCAGGTTGGGAGAACATCTAACCCCGTCGGTCACTGAGAAACCAGTGCAGAGCCTGGGGAAGGTCTTCAACTGCAGCCTGAATGACAGAGACTCCATCAAGGCAACCAGTACTGACCTGGACGGCTGGCTGAGAGTAGTGGACAAGTCTAGGCTCCCTGGTAGATTCAAGGCTTGGATGTACCAGCATGGAATCCTCCCAAGAATCCTCTGGCCTCTCCTCATATATGAGGTTGCCATGACTGTGGTGGAAGGTTTTGAGCAGAGGGTGAGCAGCTACCTGCGCAGGTGGCTGGGGCTACCACGCAGCTTGAGCAACATTGGGCTGTACGGGAACACCAACAAGCTCAGACTCCCTTTTAACTCAGTCAGGGAGGAGTTCATAGCGGCACAGACACGGGAACACCTGCAGTACTCAGGATCTAGAGACGCCAAAGTGTCCGGGACTGGAATCGTGGTGAGGATAGGGAGGAAGTGGAGGGCAGCCAATGCAGTCCAGCAAGCTGAGTCTTGGCTGAAGCACAAGGCTTGGCACAGTGGTACAAGGCAGAGCAGGACTTGGGATGGCAACATCAACCCGGTACAAGTCTGCCAGTGGGAGGGAGAGGCAGAGGCTGGTGCAGGAGGAGGTGTGAGCTTCGGTGGAGGAGGAGCGAACCAGCAGATCAGTGGCCATGAAGCAGCAAGGAGCCTGGATGAAGTGGAAGCAGGCGTTGGAGGGGCACATCACCTGGAAGGACATCTGGCAGTGGAACCCTCAGAGGATCAAGTTCCTAATCCAAGGGGTGTATGATGTCCTCCCAAGCCCATCTAACCTGCACTTCTAAGGGCAAAATGGAGACACCAGCATGCACCCTGTGTTCCAAGACAGGGACATTTGAACACATCTTGAGCAGCTGCTCCAAGGCGCTGAGCGAGGGTCGCTATCGATGGAGACACGATCAGGTCCTCAAATCCATAGCTGAGGCAATCAGCAAGGGGATTTAGGACAGCTGATGCACCCAAACTACAGCCAAGGCCATCCAGTTTGTGAAGGCAGGACAGAAGCCAGGGAAAGCGCCAAAGAACTGCTCTGCTGGGTTGCTCTCCACGGCCCGAGACTGGGTGATGACAGTTGACCTAGAGAGGCAACTGAAAATACCACCGCACATCACCCAGTCCAAATTGAGACCAGACATCATCCTAGTCTCTGAGGCTACAAGGCAACTGGTCATGCTCGAGTTAACAGTTCCATGGGAAGATAGGATGGAGGAGGCGCAAGAGAGGAAGAGGGAGAAGTACCAGGAGCTGGTGGAGGACTGTCAAAAGAACGGCTGGAGGACCAGATGCATGCAAGTGGAGGTGGGGAGCCGGGCATTCACCAGCCACTCCCTGAGCAAGGCTTACGGCACACTAGGCATAACAGGTGCCAATCGCAAGAGAGCCATCAACAGCAATGCAGAGGCTGCGGAGAAAGCGTCTAGATGGCTCTGGCTGAAGAGGGGAGAGAGGTGGGGGGAGTAGAATGCCACTTGGACACAGGCCGGGGTCTGATCAGCCTCGGTTGGGTCGCCTGAACGAGGGTGTCTGTTGTGAGACCCGAAACACCCAGTGACTCCAGGAAACAACAATGATGATGTGTCCAAGTCAGTGCATCAGGGGATGTTTGTAAAACATAGCCAGATTTTAGAAATTCAATGTGTTCTGTAAAAATGGGCAGAAGCACTCACTTATGGGACTATTTCTGCTATTTTTCTGGCTAAAATGAGCAGAATAATCCAGGCGGAAATTGTGTAATTTAGGGTTTCAGTAATCATGCCCCCACCTCCCTGCTCAGAGTGAAGAAGCAAGTCTGGACACATTTCTTTGTTATTCTCTCCGTCATCCTCACAGCATCATCTCCATCACTTTAGAACTCCATTTCCGCTATAACCCATTTTCCTGTGTCCATAAAGATGTAAGTAGTTCTGTTATCACGTGTTTCAAAGTTCTTCAGGTTTGTTTCCACACTGCTCACGTTTATTACACTTAAACTCACGTATTTATAGTGATGTCATTCGGATTTCTGCTTGTTTCAGAAACTGTCATAAAAACATCCCATCCAAACATATAAGGTAGCCTGCAACCACTGACATATTAAATCAAATCCCAGTATCATGTAAAATGTATCAGACACCTACCTGTCTTAAAAGTTCGCGACTCAGTAGGCGTCCCACAAGTGGTCAGCTGTGTCATATGCGGATGTGCCCCGTCAATACATGCTCTGTCAACTTCGTCACACGCCCATGGGCTCTCTGGTGGGTGATTTATGTATTTTTTGTAGGATGGTAGGGGAAGGTCCCGCCTCCTTCGCCTCTGATTGGCTAGAAAAGCTGGAAACGTCATCACACGCTCAAGCCAAACGCGGGCTGTCGGCTCTGTACATCGAACAGAACATTACGGAACATTATCACACTTCTGAATCTCCTAACCCTAACTATAATCCTAACCACAACCCTTACCCCCAACCCAACAGACGATGACGTTTCACAGACATAAGCAATAACCAATAGGAGCCCAGCACTTCTAGCCAATCAAAGGCGAAGGAGGGCGGGACCTTCCCCTACCATCCTACAAAAAAGAGTTCGCGTCCGGTGGATTAGAACTGTTATTTTTGTAGTTTTGTTTTCCTTTGGGGGCTGTGATTAAAGCTGCAGGTGGCAGAGTATATGAGCTGTGTGAAATCAGCAGCCCAGGTGATGTGTGGCACATGAGATGTGAGGCAGTGAGGAGAGCCAGTTTGTTGGAATCATGTTGGAGTAGTGTCTCATTTTTATTTTCCTCTGCTGGGGATATTTTTACAAAGCACTTAATTAATTTGACATTTTTTGTCTTATTTTGATGTGGCTTCATAAATGTTCTCTTCATTTTTTGAGAATTCACATCTTGTTGGAGATTTTTCCTTCCACTCACACTACCTACCATCCGAGAGTAATATAATAATTATTACAGTGGGGGCAGTAATTATTACCATTGGCCTTCAGAGCCACCCTATTAGATTCTTCTGGCTGAAAGGTTTCCAGGGTAATGTCCACAAGTGGTTTAAACATTTTGTTCGTAATAGAACACAATATGCATTTATTAATGGTGAAGTGTCACCGAGAAAGTATGGCGTACCTTAAGGATCCTTATTAGAGCCATTATTGTTTTTGATTTACACTAATAATATTGTTTCACTATAAAAAAACTACAGTCCCTTTGCTCTTTGCAGATGATACCAATCTATTTACCTCCAACAGGGACTAAGCAACTCTAATTAGAGAAACAAATAAAGACCTTTCCTATTATGATACTTGGTTTCAGACAAACAAATTATCTCTAAAATTCAAAAACAAAAAGTAATTTTATTTGCAGGAAATAAGAAATATTCTAGTTAGCAATAAAAACTTCCCATTGTCACAATCAGTATCATCAACATGATTTTTTGGGTATCCAGATTGATCATGAACTCTCCTGGAGGGAAAAGGTTGGATTTTCATACGGAAAGGTAACAACATCTCTTGAGATGTTAAGTTTTTTTTGTTTGTTTGTTTGTTTGTTTTTTTCTTTTTATGTGAAGTTGGTTTTTATCATTACATTATAACTTAATTTATCTCTATTTATCACACTGCAACATTGTGTGGGCGATTTCCAACCTATCTCTAAAAAATATAACAACTTCAGAAGCAGCCTCTTTTTTAAACACTGCAGTTATAAAATATTTTTGATATTAATATTGTTCAAATCTGTACATTCGTCCAGGATTTATTTTACCTTCATATCATCACCCTTATTTTCTTCATTCAAAAGAACTGATATCCTCCCTTTAAGTCTCTCAGACCATCATGCTTATTAAAGTCAGTTACAGTTCTTTCAACAACAACACCAAAAAAAGCCACTAGGTGGCACTTTAACTTCACATTACTCAACAATCAAACATGTTGAGAACAATCCCAGAATGAATAAATCACTTCCTAGAAATTAATGAAAACTCTGTGGATGATTTTTGGATACTTTCAGATGCAACTGAAGGCTGTATTGGAAACAATCCAACATCTTTTGCTTCAGGTCTTAATATATTACAGATATCTGAGAAAAGATATCTGAGTTGGAAAATCATCTTAGAACATGTCTTAGAACTCTCTCAGCAAAATAATTACTCCCAGGATGTGTCCTCCACACTTGTAAAGATTAAGACTGAGCTTAATACATTCATTAGAAAAAGAGCTGAATTTGCTTTTCATACAGCTAGACTCAATTACTGTTTTCATGGAAATTGACCGAGTCACTTTTTTGGCCAATAAATTACGCAGTTGTAACTATCCTGCAAGTATGGACACTTTAAAATCATGAGACATGGAGCTTCTTACAGATCCTAAATTGATTAATATCCAATCTACAACTGTATTGTTTATTCATCCACTAATTGAAGACTACATCCTTTTGTTATTACTCTAAAGAAACCATTTAGAATATTTAAGTATAGATATTTTCCCTTCTATTGAAAGAATGTGTCTGTAAATTACAACAGAACTTTAAAATCTATTGTAGATGATCTAAATAGATAGTGTAATATACCTGTGTCCTTACCTGGAAGAGTATTGACCATCAAAATGAGCATATTGCCCAGAATACATGTCTGTTGCTAAATGATTCCTATTGCTCCACCCTGTGGGTACTGGGAAAAATTACACAGAAACATAACATTTTTATGGAAAGACAAACAAGCTTGTGTGAAACCCAAAATAATGCAGAATGAAAAACAATCTGGCGGACTTGCAGTTCCAAATTTCAAACTTTATTCTCAATCATTGACATTTTGCTCCTTATCAAATTGGTTTGACTTGGATTCAAACATGCCCTGAGTAAGAATTGAGAAAGATACTGTTGCACCCAATTCCTTACAGGACATACTATTTATGAAAATTTCTGCAAAACAGTCAAGAGTGTGTGATGGTCCAATAATTTCAACTGCGATTGCAATTTGGCGTAAGTATGAAAAACGTTCCTCAGAGGAAAAATTCTGGATAACATACATTAGACGATGTCATTGATGTAAATGGCCTGAAGACTTTTTTCTGTTTTAAAATATGAGTTTCAAGTAACGGGGTTTTCTCTTTTTTCTGTACATACGTACAACTGAGATCAGCAATGAAAGCACATGGGGATCTGTGGTCTAACAACCGATACAGCTGTTAGTCAATTTCATAAATGAATTCATAGGTCTCCCAAAAGGACAAATTTCTGCAAGATGCCAAGTTCTCTTGAACAGAACTAAATCACTTTTATACATGGAAGCACGAAATACTGAATTAGGCTGTCAACATATTGACTGAGAAAAAGTTTGGAGAAACATTAACATGATATCCTGAAACCTAAATCATCAATTAATACACTTCAACTTTGCTCATAGAACTTATTTAACACCCCCAAAAATGCTATAAAATAAAAAGTTTTAAAATCACTTAACTGTACATTCTGTTCATTAACACAATAGGTACTTTTATGCACATGATGTGGGATTGTCCCTTGGTTAAATCCATCTGGAAACTCGTTACAACTAAACTCTCTCCACTTTTAGAAGTAATAATCCCATGTTGCCCAACATTGATTCTGGGCACACTCTTGCAGTAAACCTTTGGACTTAGACTTTTATCTAAGGATATATAGTATTTGTATAACTATGTATTTTTCATTTTGCCATCAGTGAAAACATTTTCATTGCTATTTTTTATTTTTTTTATTATTGGTGGTTGGTATACGGGGTGAGTTGTGGGTGAGGAAGTTAGGGAGAGCTAGTGGTTGGGAGCGAATAGGGGGCTTAAGGTACGATTGCTGGGGTTGGTGACAAACGAATTAAGAAGGTTGAATATACGGGAAATGCACATGCTTTGCAGTTTGCATCTGCGTGGCAATTCTGCCAGACCACTTGTTTGTAGACCTTGTGAGCTCTGATCTTGTTTATTATGACTTTCTTTTTCCATTATTATGCCTCATGAATGTGAAATGTGTCAGATTTGTGTTCTAGTGAGGCTAAATGTAGTAGAACGTAACTTTCCATTTACCATGCCTAAGTGATTGTTTCTGTAGAATTGTGACGAAATTTTGTTTAAAGAAAATGATCAGATGAGAAATTTCACACTCAAAAATAAAATAAAATAAAAATGGCAGTCTTCCAAACTTGATGGAGGGTGTTCAGACCTCATCCTAATCCCATCCCTTTTTTTTCTGAAACCAAGCATATTTAAAATACCTCTGCTTATGTGGAGAGATCTATTACAGCAAATTACATTATGCACTCATAGTTACATAAGCCATGCTTGTGGTGCATTTGGTGGAGAAAACGATAATAGGTCATCTTATCAGTGACAACAAACATTGAACAAAATACAAGATAACGCTGGTTATCTCATATTGACACCTCACCAAGGTCAATGAGATAAGCTTTTGTTCACTGAGTAACTAGATAGGAAGGGAAAGCTTTTCCCAGACAAAACTAAACAATCTCAATGCAGTGGATGTTGGAAAAGGGAAAGAAGTTAACTAAATGGGGAAGATGAACAGCTTTTTGGCATAAGCTTGTACAGAAGACATTTTGATTTATTTTTACAAATGGAATGATTGTTTTCTACTCCGTAACTAAAACAAGCATTTCGGTCGGCAATGGGTCTATAATGAACACGGCTTTTGGCAAAATACAGAGGAACTTCATCCTTTATTTGTTTTAAAAGCCAGACAGTCTTAAACAATGTGTTTTGCTTGGCCAAGACAACTAAGAACATAGTTGCATATGTTGGTTGCATAACTACAATGCAGGTCCCTGGCACATATACAGATACAGCTCAAAGGGACTTGAGCCCCTGTCTCTTAGCTGTTGGACTCTACAAGTGCCTGTATTGCTGATGAACAGTTTAGACAGAATTGAGTCAAACATGGTACTGTTATTATAAAAAAAACAAAAAACAAACAAACAACAACAACAAAAAAATCCATCAGCTGATATGGATTAAAACACAACTTAGAATTTAGCCATGTTTTACTCCATGGCAGATTTCTGTGCTGTTAATTTTCTTTGGCACCATCACCCATGCCAGAGCAATTATCAGCAGACTGCGATTGCATGATAAAGGGTATAGATAAAAGCAGACAATAAAGATGACCTTGTCCATGGTAATGTGTTACCAAAAAAATAAGCGCAGGAAAAGGTTTGTCTGGTTACACTAATGCAGTGAAGAGGCAGCACTAATTGTGTGACAAATGCTTCTTTGAAACAAACAAAAAAAAAAATTCACTTGTTATTGTTTACCAGTAGAGACTGAATGCTCTAACCCAGGTGCTCAAAGACACTGCAAAACTGGACTAGAGGGCCCATGTAACAATCTTAGGCATTTTGATATCACTCATTGTCTGTATATAAAGTGAACAACATCCCTTAATTTCTGCTCATTGTGAGCTTAAAAGCCAAGACCTCTCCAGCTGTCACAGACATAATATGCAGAAGCAACCTGGCAAGAAATGCTGGGGGACTGGCATCACACCCAGGATGCAAACCCACCCCCATACAAAACTTACTGATAAAACATGGAGCATCCTTCAGAACAGATTTGCGATGTTGACATGTAGGTATTGTAAGACTTGTTTGTGATCAAGTCCTCTTTTTTTCTGTACAGCTCCGTTTTAAAAAGTTATTAGGCGGTTCAAGTTTTCTATGATTGACACTTGAAACAGCCTATGGGCGTACCACGATTGCATAGCTTACCCGGGGGATACGCTGTTTGAGCCGAGCGTCATCACAACGACTCTCCCACCGAATGTGTACGCTACTACGCAATGTTGGTTTCAGGAAATAGTGAAAAACGCGGAATTACCGAGAGGTTTTTGGCTTCAAATCTGTATACTAGCGGAAGGCGGAACCAAGTTGTCCGTAGTATATATACAGTCTATGGTGAAAACATATGGTGTACATGTTAAATTACTATGAATTGTGTTATCAGCAGCTATATAACAAGATTTATGTCTTTCTTAACTTGTTGCACTCACACATGCACATGCAACTTTAAACTATTGATCATTAAGACAAAATACAAGTGATTAATTCATTTTTTCTTAACCTTATTTCTGTTATATCTAACTAATTAAATTCATATATATTTTTAAAATTATACACACTAATTTAATATCACATATTAATGTTCTTATAATTACAACCTTTGTGCAGGTACAAGACATTTGTTCACTGTTGCATTTGTGTCAATAAAAGGGATATACGGTGGCCAAGAACCGCTACTGCTGCAAATAAAAAAAGAATGCAAAAGCCACAGCAGAAGTGACAGATGCAAAACAACAAAAAACAAAACAAAAACAAAACAGAAGTCTGCTGCGTATAAAAAAAGAAACGGTGCAGATAATTTTTTTTTTTTAAAGCCACAATGGAAGTTTATGAAGCATAAAAAGAAAGTGGCGATGCAAAACAAAAAAACAACAAAAAAGTGAGTTACTGCGAAAATAAAATGTTGCAAACAAAAAAGCCACAACGGAACTGAACTGCCGGGGACCAATAGTGATGATGCACCGGTGTTGTACGATCTAGCCACAGAAGACGGCGGCGAGCAGACAAGCAAAAAGGTAAGTGGAAAGGTTATTGTTTTATTTCGCTTTATGTGCTTTTCAATGTGTCATTTGGTAAGACCATGTTGAGTCGATATGAAGTTGAACTGGAGAATGCCAGCGTAGTGATCGCTTCGGCCAATATGGGAAACCCACTACACCCCGAAAGACCACCCACGAGAGGAAAATCAAGTGTGCTAGCTGTACGGTTTGGTTGCTTTACTTTACACTTATTTTACTTTTTTGCTTTAAAAAAAAATACACAGACCCTTCGCTATTTTTCATTATTGGTCCCTGGCAGCTCACTTCCATTGTGGCTTTTTTTCATTCACATCCTTTGATTTTCACAGTAAGTAACTTTTTTTCCCCTCTTTGCATTGCCACTTTTTTTTTTTTGCATCGCTAACTTCCGTTGTGGCCTTTTTCTTTTTTTTTAAATCAGCATGTTTCCTTTTTTTATTTGCAGCAGGCTTTGGGTTTTCATTAGTAACTTCCTTTGTGGTCCCTTTTTTTTGGCATTTTTATTATTATTATTATTATTTTTTTTTTGCAGCATTGGTGATTCTCGGCCACCGTAGCAATCAAATGAAAGCGAGAGATGGAGAGAGAGAGAGAGAGAAAGAGAGAAAGAGAGAGAGAGGGGGCGTACGCACATACATGTCAACGTATGCGCTACAAAATACTCTCTGAAATCTATTCCGTATCCACAACAAAACCATCCACATCACCTTTCTCTTCAGATAAATCGACGCTAACGAAAGTAGAGGCTGTCAGTGGAGTTCTGCAGTTAACTTGATGTTAGCTTGTGCACGAGAGGCTGCGCGGTTTCGTTTTCATAATTACACTTTTACACACGTCGGTGAGAGCGTGCGCTGCGCCTGGCTCGCTCACTGTACGTGACGTCAATCCAGCATGGCGGCCAAGGTGACTTCGGCATCGCTCTCTGAGCAATTTTCATACCTTTAATTTCACATTTCTGCATGTCTTTTGTTGGTTTTCGTGTGTAGGACGTGACAGAGCTAGGTGGGGTGTAGCTGGCAGGGTACAGGGGCTCGGATGCGGTGTACTATGTGGCTGTAGCATCTCTGGGCTAGCCTCCGCCCGGCGGTGGCTGGCCTTGATGAGACATCCACAACCTCGAAGTTAGCGAGATAAAGCTAAAACAGCTAAAACTGCTGTGATAGGCTGACAAACGCGAGCTGGAGCGGCTTTGTCGCCACGGTCGACTCGTTTTCCAGTTTGTGGTAGAGCCCTCGATTTTCCCTGCTCTAAATCTTATCATGTCATTGCTGCAGGTTGTGTCCTCTTCCTGTGAGTAGTCTGTGCTTGCTAGCCGTCTACCTGGTTGTTCAGTGAGTTTCAGCTTGTGCAGAGCAGTTACCTTGTGGCCACTTTATTGTTTAGATAGCTGCTTTTGACAAATATGGTTGTGTGCGTGGCTATGTATTGTAAAGCTGTGATTGTGTGCCGTGGGGTCTGTTTTCTCCTTCAGAGCAATGGACGTTTCAAGGAGACATGAAGCATTGGCATTGTGATTGTTTTCGCTTTACATGCTACTCTCTACAGACCCACTTCACCCTGCAATAAGAAAGTCGTGTCCTAAGACAACATCAGCGTGTTAACATACTGTTTGCTGTTGTAGGTGCAATCTACCAAACGCGGGGACCCAAATGAGCTGAAAGCAATTTTCCAGAAGGTAAGTTTACACAGGATATACTCTAACAAAATCACTGCAAAGTGTTTGATTTTTGATGTGAGATTACACAGAGATATACTAATGTGTGAGTCCAGGTCTTGATAGACGATCAACCTCACCCATGACTGTCTTCACTTGCTGAATGAGCTCATAAGTTTGGTCATGGGGCTTAAATTACAGCAGTAGCCACAGTTAAAGGTCCAACAGAGTTAGCTGCTGTTATCTAAAATCATTCACTGTAACTAAACTGCTTGTCAGTAATCAAACACTATCACTTCTTCAGACAGACAGACAGAGATTGAATGTGAATATAATTGTGGTTCAGTCCTGATGAGGCAGCAGCTGTGAAAGTGCAGAGGTTGTTTTAGTTTAGAACAGTAGTTCTCAAGTCCAGTCCTCGAGGCCCACTGTCCTGCATGTTTCCCTGCTCCAACACACCTGATTCAAATGATTAGCTCGTTATTAAGACATTACAGAGCTTGATAACGAGCTAATCATTTGAATCAGGTGTCTTGGAGCAGGGAAACATCCAAAACATGCAGGACAGTGGGCAGTGGACTTGAGAACTACTTGTTTAGAGGGACTACCAGGCTTCAGACTTGTGATTTGTCCCTTTTAAGACACTAAAGACTGTCTCACTCTCCTCTGAACGGCACAAGCAAGAGGCTGATAAGTGTAGGTAATGCTTGAAAGAGCACTGTCACACCAGTGCCCTGATGTTGTGTCTTTAAAGCTCCAGAGCATCAGTTTGACGTTATAATAAGTCAAAGGAAAAGGAGGAAGAGTATTCTGAGTGACTGTAAGAAGAGAGGATTTGGTTAACCTTCACCTTCCTCTAGTGTGTGCTGCATGCTAAGTGTGTAGGCCAGCAGTTGTTGTTACCCCTGAAACACGTAGGTCAAATAGCTCATAGGTTCTATCCAGAGACATTAGTGAACATGTGTCTACTCGTGCGTGTGAAAGAGCGGACTGAAGGAATTCTGACATGTCATGCTACCACTGCAAGACCACTGACCGTGGTCCTCAGGTTGCTTCATAAATCGGTGTAGTGAAAAGATCAATGACAGGGCTGATGCTTTTCTTCTTAGCTAACCTTGAATTTTGAATTCAAACACATTTACTGGAGATGTGCTCCTGTAAGAAAGAAAGCTTAGCGCTGAATGAGGAGGTCAGTGGAATGCAGTAAGGAGTTTAGCAAATCCTTTATAAGGTGGTCTAATGTCCTCAGCTTGTGACACTATTTTTGGATCATTAACAAAGAACTGACATTAACAGAACAGTTCAATTCAAATTATTTAAAAATAAGACAGATTTGGCAAGAGGGAGTATTTACTGTATTAAATTCTCAGAAATCCAAATGATTTTCATCTTGCTTTTTTCACTTCAGAAAGTGAGGTTTGTAGTCTACAGAGAAGTGCTCCTGCCCCTGAGTTCATGCAAAGCTCGTGTGCTTCTCATACCTCTCACTCACACCTTGGAAGAGTGATCAAACAAGCCCTCAGCAAGGACACTGAGGGTTAAAACAGCTGATTGTAAGCCATGCTTCTGAGCAGGATTAACTCTTGGTTATGTAAATAACTCACACAACTTGCCCGGTAAAAACAGATAAAGGCCGGCAATAGATTCCCTTTTAAATGTTGTTAGTTGTAGTTGGTTTTTGGAAAAAATAAATTAGCACTTATGGGGGTTAAGTTTTATAGCTGCTACTATTTATATTCCTTCCCCTCAGTATGCCAGTGTGGTGGACAAGGATGGAGAGAAGTTCATGACCCCAGTAGACTTTGTCCAGAGGTATCTAGGACTACACACACAGATCCACCACAACCCCAAAACTGTACAGCTCATTGCTGCTGTGGCTGACACCACAAAAGACGGGTACGTGCTGACACACACACACACACACACACACACACACACACACACACACACACACGCACACGCACACAGTGGCACATTTCTTATCATCTCTAATTGTAAGTTTATTGGGTCATGTCTGATCATTGCTTGCTATTATAGCCACTTAGAGATAAGATAAATGTTTTGTGTTTCATTCATCAGACTGTTCAAGTGTGAAGTATTGTGTGCTTGAATGATGCACACAGTATGCCAATCATGTGACTGTTGTTTAGATCTGCTTAGAAAATAAAAGACTGAATTGCTTTTTGCACAGAATCAAAGGGCTGTCAAAGTTATCTATGATGCTTTACAGTCTTCTTTTAGTCCGAGCTAAAATGGAAGAAGAAAATAGAAGAATAAACTGCATGTTTATCAATCAGCAGTATTTTATTACCTGATCATGGTGCATTTTAAGCTGTTAATATGTAACCATTTATCTTTTGTTCCTGTTTTTATGCACCTACAACGGCAGGCTGATCTCGTTCCAGGAGTTTCTTGCATTTGAATCTGTGTTGTGTGCACCTGACGCACTCTTCATAGTCGCCTTCCAGCTGTTTGACAAGACTGGAACCGGGACCATTTCCTTTGGTAAGGAGCCAATGTGGTTTATTTTTTTTGTCAGCTGTTACTGGAACTTTGAATCAAATTCCCATGATCACAGAAATGAATCACAATGAGAACACACCACTGTTCATTATAGAACATCTCTGTTTTTGAAGACGATAGTCTATTGTTTTTGTGGCGCTTAATCTGCCCATGATTTCTGTGTGTGTGTGTGATTATCAGAGCAGCTCACACACTTTTTTTTCATTGTACACGTGGAGAGAGAATTTTCCTCACATTGTTGACCAGATTAGTCTCCGGTTTAAGTCATTAACATAGACGGACTTACACAATCGCTCTCATGTGAAATTCCCTACGTCATTTCTACGTCAACTTACTTATGTAACACACACCTCCATACACAGCTCTGTCCTCGATGTTATTAACGTAATCACCCCAAAGATTGTTTATGAGATTTGTGAATGCGTATTTATTGAGCATTTGTGCTGCAGAAAATGTGCGGGACATCTTCAGTCAGACCACAGTGCACCATCACATCCCCTTCAACTGGGACTGCGAGTTCATCCGCCTGCACTTCGGCCATGACAACAAGAAACACCTCAGCTACCTCGAGTTCACCCAGTTCCTGCAGGTTTGCTGAACACACACACACACACACTGATCAGTCAGCGAGTTCTCGCTCCTGTTGCACTTTTTTGGCCTACTCTGCCGTATTCAAACAAAGTCTTGTGGTGGTGCGTATCTTTTTTTAGGAGCTGCAGTTGGAGCATGCACGTCAGGCATTCGCCCAGAAGGACAAAGGGAAGAATGGTGTTATTTCTGCAATGGACTTCAGTGACATTATGGCCACCATCAGACACCACATGCTCACACCCTTTGTGGAGGAAAACCTTGTCTCTGTGAGTGTTTGTGTGCGCACGCACGGATATCTTGACTTTCACCTAGAACACAGATGACACTGTGTTCAGATTGACAGGAGGAGAAGAGTTATTTTCAGATGATCACATTTCAGAGTGTTCTAAATTCATTCTCATAGCTGGAAGCTCAGCCATTTAAGTCCTTGATAGACTGAAGCGGCAGCCACTATTTTCAGGGACAGATATTCTGAGGCTAAAGAGGAATGAGAGTTTATAAGTCACTGACTGTTGGTCACTGACTTAGATATCCTGCTGAGATTGATGTACTCTTCTTACCCGTTTTTCACAAAAGCAAACATTTCACCTCAGAGGATCGAATGAAACGTCACTGAGTTGATACTTGACATACCCTTCCTGTCTCCTCCCAGGCTGCAGGTGGCAGCACCTCTCACATGGTCAGCTTCTCGTACTTTAATGCCTTCAACTCCCTCCTGAACAACATGGAGCTGATTCGTAAGATCTACAGCACACTGGCTGGAACGCGGAAGGACACACTGGCGACAAAAGGTGCACACAGATAGCTACATGACTGTAATGCTGTTGATAGAAGTATGAGAGTGTGTCGTGAATGTGCGTGATATTTAAAGATCGAATAATTCCCTTTTGTATCTGTTTTTCTGCAGAGGAGTTTGTTCATGCCGCCAACAAGTTTGGTCAGATCACCCCCATGGAGATTGACATCTTGTACCAGCTATCAGGCCTGCACTCCCCCTCTGGGTAAACACTTAATCCGCTACTCAGAATCAGCAGGCTCCCCTAAATACATGAATGAAAACATAAAACCGTGTATTCATGATAATGGTGATGGTTTAAATGTCTGTTCTCCAGGCGTCTGAACCTGGCTGACATTGAGAGGATAGCTCCATTAGAGGAAGAGTGTCTGCCCCACCACCTGGCTGAATCCCAAAAACAGGTGAGGTGAAGGTGCTCGTGTGGAAATGAACTTATCGCATCAACAAAATAACACAAACCATTATAAAGTGTCATCATCTGTCGTTTTCCTTCAGGTCCATGGAGACGCTTCCAGGCCCGTGTGGCTCCAGGTTGCCGAGTCAGCCTACAGATTCACTCTTGGCTCTATTGCTGGAGGTGAATTACCCTGTGACCTCAGACTGATAGCTAGAGGACGCACTGCAGTGTCTCACACATTATCTATGTTATGGTGGTGTTTGTTCTGAGTTTGTGTGTGTTTACATAGCTACCGGAGCGACTGCAGTGTACCCCATTGACTTGGTAAAGACTCGTATGCAGAACCAGAGGTCCACAGGATCCTTTGTTGGAGAGCTGATGTACAAGAACAGCTTTGACTGTGCTAAGAAGGTGCTGCGCTACGAGGGCTTCTTCGGCTTTTACAGAGGTATGCCAGAAAAGATCCCTGATCAAGATTGTTCGGTCACCCAGCCTCTTGTTTTTGTCTGTCAGCTATTGCTCTCTTTCTGTTCTTTACGTTGGAATTTGGTGAATCTTAAGTGGTTATGAGAACCCCCTGTGGTGATCTGCTTTTACGTGTGTCCTCATATTTCAGAACTCTAAAAAGTCTGTCCCACTCAGTCTTCCTCTCCTCTAATCTCGTCTGATTCACATCTCTTTCCTCTTTATTGTGGTTCCTCCATTCATCCTGTTTTTCCAGTAATGCAAATAAAACGTGATCCTCAGGTTAGTCATTCTCCCTTGATGCTCCACAGGTTTGGTTCCTCAGCTCATAGGCGTGGCACCTGAGAAGGCCATCAAACTCACAGTGAGTGCCACCTCAGCATACACAACACAGAAATCTAAAGCTACATCAAAAAAAAAATGATAAAAAATGTCATAGTTATGTATGATAAAAAAAAAACATTTTATAGTAGGATAAAAATGTCATAGTAAAGTATGATAAAAATGTCATAGAATAGTATTATAAAAACATTTAATTGTATAAAAAAATGTCATAGAATAGTATTATAAAAATATATAATTGTATGAAAAAAATTTCATAGTATAGTATGATAAAAATGTTACAGGGTAGTATTAAAAAATTATTTAATTGTATAAAAAATGTCATTATGTATGATAAAAAAATCATTTCATAGTACGATAAAAATGTCAGTTAAGTATGATAAAAATGTCTTGGAATAGTATTATAAAAACATTTAATTGTATGAAAAAATTTCATAGTATAGTATGATAAAAATGTTATAGAATAGTATTATAAAAATATTTAATTGTATAAAATAAATGTCAGTATAGGATGATAAAAATTGTATGATAAAAATGTCATAGTTAAGTATCATAAAATGTCATAGTATAGAATAATTAAAAAACATTGTATAGTATGATAAAGATGTCATAGTATCGTATGATAAAAATATCATTTTATAGTGTAAAATAATGTCTTGGTATAGTATGATAAAATGTTGTAGTACAGTATGATAACAATGTCATAGTTAATTATTATAAAATGTCATAGTATAAAAAAATGTCATAGTGTAATATGATAAAATGTCATAATATGATATAAAAATGTCATTTGATAGTATGAGAAAAATGTTATAGTATAGTATGATCAAAATGTCATAGTTTAGTGTGATAGAAATGTCACAATGTATTATGATAAAAAATTTTATTATATGAAAAAAAATACAATAGTATAGTATGAGAAAAAAAAGTCATAGTATAATATGAAAAAAATATGATTTTAATAGTATGAACAAAAATGTCATAGTATAGTTGGGAAGCAGAAGGCGTGCACATAGACAACAAAACCCTGTATGAATATAAAATGAAATAATTAAAAGTCCTTTGTGGAAGAAGAAAAGGGAAAAGTCAGTAAAAAATGAAACTCTATCAAAGAAACTGCCTCAATGTGTCTTTTCATATGAATCAGTAGATTTTTTTGGGTTGTGTTTGATCTCACTTCCTGCTTTTAATCGTGTCCCACAGGTGAACGACTTTGTAAGAGACAAGTTCACTGGAAAAGACGACCAGATCCCTTTCTATGCTGAGATTCTGGCTGGTGGCTGTGTAAGTACTAAACTCGTGTTTTCCTCGTTCATGTGTGAATGCTGAAATGAGCACCAGGAAAGACAAGTGCAGACGCAGTCAGCCAAGGCGTGTTTGAGCCTCCTCAGTTGTTTGGTCCAATAAAACTGTATGTATTGCACACAGTCTTCTTAGATTTTGTATTAACCTGCTTGCTTGCCAAGGCAAAACTACTAACAACAGGTTGCATTGCTAAAGTGCATCCAGGGTTCAGATGTCATTTTCCAATACAACATGTTTTTTTCTGTTTTTGTTTTTAATAGCGTTGTTCATCCTTACACAAACTTTGGCCCAGCACACCTTACCGTCCGGGGAGATGGCAAAGTAATGATTGATTAGGATTCAATTTTTTACTTTGAATACTTTCTATAAGAAAAAGTTGGCTCCGTCCCTCAGCTGTGTGAGAAGTGGGAACAGTGATTTCTTTTCTTTTTTTAATGGAGGTGTTAAACAAACTCCTCTTCTCTTTAATTATCCAGGCTGGAGGCTCTCAGGTGATCTTCACCAACCCACTGGAGATTGTGAAGATTCGTCTGCAGGTGGCAGGAGAGATTACCACCGGACCTCGAGTGAGTGCGCTCAGCGTGGTCCGTGATTTGGGCTTCTTTGGCCTCTACAAGGTAATGTGACGCTCTCTCTCTATGATATTTACGCTTTATTCCTCCACCCTTTTCTACATTCCTCTAAGCTCTGTCTCATATGTCTGTCCGTATCTCAATAGGGTGCTAAAGCGTGTTTCCTGAGAGACATCCCTTTCTCAGCCATCTATTTCCCTGCGTACGCCCATCTTAAGTCCAGCTTTGCTGACGAGCAGGGCCAACTGGGAGCTCTTCAGCTGCTCACTGCCGGAGCTATTGCAGGTAACCTCAGACAGCAGCTGTCAGAACACGCCGACTCAGAACACAGTTCATCAACTCAGGGGAATACATATTCATATTGGTACCATAGCGGCTAGTACAATGAGGGAGATGACAAATAAAACACCTGATGACTTTGTAACTTTGCCTCCAAGGTATCCCCGCTGCTTCTCTTGTGACGCCTGCTGATGTCATCAAGACACGTCTGCAGGTTGCAGCGAGGGCAGGACAAACCACCTACTCAGGCGTCATCGATTGTTTCCGAAAGATTATGAGAGAGGAGGGCTTCAGGGCTTTGTGGAAGGGAGCTGGAGGTGAGCCTGTTTGTGTAGCTCTGCACATATAGATGTTGTGTGTTTTCTGACTGCTTGGATTTCATCTATGGAATTTTCTCCTTTTTTTTCCTCCCCAGCTCGTATGTGCAGATCCTCTCCTCAGTTTGGCGTGACTCTGGTGACTTATGAGCTCCTACAGCGGTGGTTCTATATTGACTTTGGAGGACAGTAAGTCTTTTTTTACAGTCTTCAAATTAGACTTTTAATACTAAAGTCTTGGTTAATGTTAGGGAAGAATAGTGAGGATGCAGCACAGGGCTTGACACTAACTTTTTTTTTACAAGGAGCACATGTGCCCCTGAGTTGAAAAAGTAAGGAGCACACAAGGAACTTTAGGGGCACAATGAAAATTGATCAAATAATGTTTATCTTATTGGTCGACATAAGTACTGTTATTTTAAATCAATTTTAGGTCTCTTGGTCACATGTAATGGAAGCTATTGAAGAAAATGGTCAAAATTTCCCTTTAAATCTGACACCAAAAATTTAAGAGGATAAATTAGGGAAATAAAGAGGTGTGACTTATCGTCCGATCTTAGTATTATTATTTAAAATTAATTTTAGGTCAATTGGTCACATGACATGGAAGCTATTGAAGGAAAACAGCTTTTTCTGAGAACATCAACCGGTAATTCATTGATAGTCCCTAAATCAACACCTGCCGTTGAAAACAAGGGTGCCGAGTAGATTTAACCGCACTGATGTTGATATTTCTGTATATGGAGAGTGAGAAGACACCAGTAGATCTGCAGTGAATGGCCATCGGATATCCAACCTAAAACTAACTTCGCCGCAGTATATACATGAAAAAATATTTGTTGCCTCGGCTGATTTTTTTATATGTGCACATGTGCCCCGAAATACATTTTACAGTTCGCACACAACTATTGTTAGTCGCAAATGCGAGTGAAATGGTCGCACTGTCAAGCCCTGAAACATTAAGATTAAAGGAGAGTTTAACAGTACAGAACAAATTGATATATGTATTTAAAACTGCTTCTCTCTTCAACAGCCGTCCATCAGGATCCGACCCCACGCCCAAGTCCCGTATCTCAGAGCTTCCTCCCATCAATGCTGACCACGTCGGAGGCTACCGCCTGGCTGCAGCCACCTTTGCCGGAGTGGAGAACAAATTCGGTCTCCATCTTCCAAAATTCAAGTCTTCCGGTGTGGTCTCCATCCATCCCCCTGAGCCAGTCACTGCCACGCCGGCTCAAGCCCCGTAGAGATCCCAAGCTCCATATCACTTTGCCATCCCTATTTTCCTTTAACAGGAGCCAGACACTAGGATAGATACACACACAAAGGAAAAAAAAAAAGCAAAACACGCACAAACTAAAATACACTCCACAAGTAGAGGGCCCTTAAGTTAGGAACAAACAACTGCAGCTGCAGGGTGAAGGTGTTCTGCACTGGTCCCAAACCAGCTGTGGATGTGAGTAAGCAGACAGGGACGGGACCAGACTGTCGTATCTCCAGTGGCTGTACGCTCCTGGGAACTTTATTGTTTGTTTTTCTCCAGCATTTGTAAAGAGTGAAGCCTCTGCTCTTCTCTCTTTGTTTCATGAGTAGCGCATATGATTTTAATTTCTTTTCTGTCTGATACTCAGTTTGACTTCTCGTATCGGACGATGGGCATAGATTATATTAGACTGGTCGGCACGGTGTGTGTGCGTGTGTGCGTGTGTGGGGCTTCACTCTTGCTCAGTCCTCAGACAAGAGGCTATATACTGTACATATTGTATAACTGTACGGAGAGTACATAAACAGAAAGCAGTGAAACAAAAGTTACATGACAAAGCGTTGTAACGTTCAGTAACTGTCATGCTATGGTAACGCGGGGCCTTCAGTCCTGCTTTCCAAGAATCACTCTTACTGATGTACAGAACTTTTCAAGTCAGTGTTTTCTTGGTGAAACAAGAATCATGAGCAGAGAATTAGGTTAATAAATTAAATGTATCTAAATTCAGTCATTGTATTTTATTGAAATAAATCATCCATATGGTTTTAATTTTAACAATATGTCTAGAGTTTTATTCCAATGGCAAGTGCAACCATTGACTGTGAGAGGAAGAGTGACAGGAAAAAGTACAATACAAAGAAAAGTCCAAGCAGAGATCTGATCTTCATGTTTTATCAAACATGGCGGCTACAGTACATTTTGAAGCATTTAAGAGAAGCGTTTTCGATGCTGACACTTTGAACTGCTGCATCCTGGAATGATGAACTGGATGGATAAGCAAAAAAACATAACCCATGTTTTGTGATCAAACGGTTTTTAACCCCAACTTTACATCTCCTTTTTAAAACTTCATGTACTTTATTTAGATCCTCTAAAGAGGACGAGTCAGGAAAGTGTTCTCTACTAAATATTACACAGTTACAGAGTATAAAACAATATCCTTTGGTACAGAAAAACACCACTTTTTAACTGTACTAGTGTCAATAAACTCAGGGCAAGTATATGATCCGATTTTGCCCGGTAAAAACGCTTGTAGAGCTAGTTTAAGGAATGTACTACTCAAGCTCCTAGTACAAAGCAGCAACTTTTTAACAATACATAAAATATTTAAATAAGTGTAACCACCAGAATAAATATTAAATATTGTAGTGGTTAAAATACAAGATTGACACACTCCTGCGCAGGCCAGAGTGTGCATGTGTGAGCACACCAGCTGTTGTAGTAGTTAAGTGCTGCTGAGGATACTGATATGTCAGCTTTTTCTCTTGCCGCTTGGTTGAAAAAACTTCCCTGACGAGATGCAAAAGCATGTCTGGAAAATATTAAAACATGTAAAAACACTTAAATGGTAATAAAAAGGTGCAGGTACAAAGGTTTGCATATTTTAAAAAAGGGTTGAGTTGGTTGAGGCCTCAGGAGAAGAGCAGTTTCTGGAGCCCTGAGGATGTTATCAAAGCTAGAAGTTTAGAGTGGACAGCCACATCTGTGCTGAAAAACCACTTCCCTTGTATCCCACTGAAGCAACTTGACCGTTATTTTGTAAAACTACTGCTACACGTGACATTCATTGTTCCTACACATACTCTAAAACTCCTTAAGACACATTTAAAAACACTTCTAAAGCTCCAAAACTGTCTTTCTGTCCCTTCTAGCTCTGCACATCTCCTCAGGCCAAATCATGTCGTAGTTGGTGGAAAAGCTGGAAGCCAGTATGGTGTAGTGTGCTATTAGGTGTATTAGGGAGGAATTGAAAAGCTGTTGTCAGTGCGGGGTTTTTTCAAATCAGACGTTAGCCAGTTCCTCAGCTTCATCCCTGTTCTCATTAATCTCTGCCAGCGTCCTGACGAAGCGTGTCCACTCATCAGCCTTGGGCACGCAGATTTGCTATAGAAGGGACAGAAACACCCATTAGTATGTCAAAAACCTAAAACCTGCTGAATAAAAACATGCTCTCAGGAGTTTAATCTTATATCAGGGTTTGATGACATCTCACCTCTCCAACGTCATAGACCTGCACCTGTCCGTCTGAGTCCCCGGTGGCGATTTCTTTGCCTGAGTGAGCCCATCTCACACGGTTCAAAGCTGGAGCTCCCTCCACGCTCACACTGGCGGTAGGAACCTGAAACATAAAGCAGCATTTGTTGGGTATTTGGAAGTGTTGTTTGCCCCTTTTTTTTCCACGAAGAAGACGTGACATTGAAGAGCTCAACACAAGTCTTGGATGACTACAATGTGACGAGACAAGACTAGACGAAAACGTTAGTGGTGGACGACGAACAGAGTTGCAAAATTCATGAGCATTTCGTCAGTCAAACGCTAAACATATATTCTGCAGTGTTGTTTTCGTTGACGATGACGTTGATGAACTATTTTCATCATCGTCAACGAAAACACTGGTATTTGGAAGTGTATGTGAATGACCCATACAAAGTTTAGGGGTGGTACAAGGACATGTTTTCAACCTTTAAAATGTCAGAATGGTTGTTTTCTGTGGTTTCATTTTGTATGCTAAACTAAATGTCTCCTGAGGCGTGGATGACATTCAGATAAACTTTCATAAGAGCACACGCATGTTTCCTGAAATGCTGAACCGTCTTTTTAAGAGGTACTGTTCAAGTCTTATTGTGCATACTTCAGTATCATTGTTGAGGTTCCACAGGTCCAGGCGTCCAGCAAGGTCCACACAGGCAAACAGAGCAGGGTGTGTAGGGGACCACATGGCGTCGTAGACATAGTCACAGCTGTCCTCAAATGAGTACAAAGGACGGGTACTCTGAAAAGACAAATGGAAGAATAAAATCATTGATTCCTCACTTTAAGGGCATTTACAAATTCAGTGTATTTTGTGAGGCATTAGATGTCTCACCTTGGTGCTCCAGAGTTTCACAGTCCAGTCAAAAGAGGAGGAGATGAAGAGGTGGGAGAAGTCAACAGGTCCTCCAGAACTGTGGCAGCTCAGCCCAGTTACTGGACCGTGATGGCCTTCGAACACCTCAGTGATGCCGGCCTTACTGTAAAACACGCATGACCACAACTGTGTGAATTTCTACTCTTAGCTTTATGTCACACTCTTTCTTTGACATCCTGGTGAATCATTAATAAACCTTGCTGAGGTAAGATGTTACAATCAATCCTAAACTGGGATGATCTGGAAGAGGAGGGAGCAGGAGAGATCGACTAAGCTGAATTAACTCTCTCCTAACGAGTTGCACTGATCGGTACTCTTACGTACTTTGATGAATTATGATTCAGTTTTTTATTTTAGAAAATGCAACAGGGTGTCAAACAGCTGATGGCAGTTTTTGAACAGGTGCTTAAAGGGATATTCCAGCGTAAAATTAACTTGGGGTCAAAACACCATAACACCAAGTTAGACACCCCCTCGAGAGATGAGTGTTGCCGACTGCTTGCTTCTCTAGTTATACCAACTTTAGTAACGACCGCATAATAGCAATACACAGTCTATGTCTCCATGCGCACACCTCAACCAAAACGCCACTCTATAGCGACAAATAACACTCAGAACAGCACCTAACTTCATCAACAGTACATGTAGGGTCCCAGCCATAGTACTAGCCACCAAACATCTTTTTAGTTTTGCCTGATTTCTTTAGCAAAGAGACTAAACACAATTCACCTACTCTCTTCCAGCAGCCGCTTGTTTGTGAGGGAAGCCGTGACGAGGTGATTGTGGCTATAGAATGGTTTTTTGGTTGAGGTTTGCAAGCAGAAGCAAGCAGTCGACAACACTCGTCTCTTACTCTGTGTTATGGTGTGTTTGACCCAAAGTTAATTTTACGCCGGAATATCCCTTTAACTCATACACAGACACCAGCTGAGCAGGGTGGGAGTACAAAGATGGCTACAAAGATTGGGAAATCATAGAGGATGAAACAGTTCCAGTAATGTGATTTAATAATGTACACAGCTTTGCAGGTTACTTCTTTTACCAAAGAGCTGTACTGGACACAGTTTCAGAGTAAACGCATTGTGTGAAAACAAGAAGAGTCTCAAGGGGAGACTTAACATACAGGGCTTTTGCTTTGAAGAAGTACAGCCATAGCATTTTAGTGTTTTTCTGGCCAAGATCCATTTGGCTTGCAGGAAAAAAAATCAGGTAAAACGTGCTTCTCCTGCCTCATCTGCTAACACGCACACCAAAAATCAAGGAAGTTACACACAGTCAACATGCTTTCTGTGTGAAACGCCAAGAGCCAAACCAAACCACTTGGTAAAAGAGGCACCATCAGATGCTAATGAGCGCCAAGGTCAAACACACTAACCTCCCGTGGCGACAGGCAGTGTAGACGGAGCCATCTTCACTCCCCACCACGAAATTGTTGACGTCTCCAAGAGGGAAGGCCATGGAGGTGACAGCCACAGCCTTGCTCTGTTTGAACACCAGCTCCAGACTGTCCTGCAGGGACGAGACGCACACAGACTCAGACTCTGACAAACCAGGTGATATTCAAGACCGTGTCTCTTAAAATCCACCTCGAGAAGTTCAAGTACCTGTGGCTGGGAGAGCATGTCGAGGCTCCAGGAGCACATTTTACCATCCGTGGAAATGCTAATCAGGTTGTTAGCATTCTGGGTCCCGACGACATTCACACAATAGACTGGGTGCTGAAAACAAAAGAAAGAAAAGTCAAAAGGGTTTAACAAGATTAGCTAAGCAAGAAGAGTCATTTATTCTGAGTCTATGTTAATATGTCAAGTGCATTACAGTGTGTGCAGCTGCAGACAGGGGAGTTCTCTGAACAGGGGTGCGCTTGTTGCTCCTGTTGTCCCATAAGACAATCTGTCCTGAGTATGTCCCACCCACCACCAGGTTAGGGTGGAACTTAGCAAACCCAGCAGACATCACTTCTGACTGGAGGAAAAACCAAACAATTAAAATTCAGCTGATTCTGTCTCTGTACTTGACTGCAGAAAGATGAACAAATTTTAAGATGACATGCCTGTAGTTTGTAGGCTATCATGTGAATTTCATCCCTACCTGGCAGTGAAAGATGTACTCAGGTGTGTCTTTCTTGTACTTCATGTTCCAGACCAGAGCCACTCCATCAGGCTCATGGGGAGCATCTTCATTGTTGTTATATGAGGCCACGAGCAGCTCTGGGTACTAGGAGCAAAAGAGAAGCCCATTATAACCGTATACAATTTGTGTGGTGAGGAAAGATTTTAAAGTCCCACTCCGATTGTTTTTTTTTTTACTACTTAAAATGTTATCAGTGGTCTTTTCATTGTGATTATGATGTTTTCAGCCAAAATCTAGTTCCCTGTGTCATTTTTAAGGGCTTGTCTTCAGCAGGGCTCCAGTAGATCATTAGCAATTTGCCTCTGAGTCGCGCTTCTTTGCACACTCCCCTTCATGCTTGTTTGTAGCCTAACATTGCCAGTGTAGTAGAAGTAGCTGGTAAAGTAGGAGCTCTTCAACTCTTTAACACTAATGTCTTTAGTAAAATGATGAAAGCTAATATCATAATTAACTTTCTTACAAGCATTGCAATCCGCTAACGCACACACTTGTTCCATGATTGTCTTCTCTTTTTCTATGAGTGTGGCCTGCGCAGCGGGGTTCTGGGGGCGGAGCTTGGATTTGTGATGTATGAAATCTCAGTCAGTACGTTTACATGACACTCAAGAAAACCGAATTATTGCCTTACTCGAATTAGGACGGGACAAAGGAAGTGCATAAACACATTAGTCTGACTATAATCAGAGTTTGAGAACTGCTATAGGAGTCAGAGAACTCCGATTAAGACACCCAGATAATGCGATTGGAATCCGATTTTCTCTACCATGCAACCAGCGTAGTCAGAGTATGATCGGACAATGCATGTGAGTGTGCGCCACGGCCCCATAATCATGGAAAAAAAACACCAGAGAAGAGGAGTAGCGTGCATCTCATCTGCAGAAAAAGTAGTGCGTACATCATGTACAACAAAAACAACGCTGTATGATGCTCCATCTTCTTGCTCGTAAGTGCCCAGCAGCAGTTGTAGCTAATTGTGACATATGGCACGGACCTGCTGTTGTCGTGGACAGTTGTACGGGGTCGGAAACAGTGCCGCTGAAAAGACCCACATGCCTTTAGTTTTGGGGAGGGGTACACGTTCACGTCAATAATTCAATTAAAAGCTGTTTGGGTCTGCCAGAGATTTACAGTGATTTGAATTGAGAGATACTCAGAAATCCAATTTTGTGCTTAGTTTTCTCATTATATGTCCTGTAGCATCAGAAAAATGTCATATAAACATGTAGACAACAAGGAAAACGTGATTTTCATCGGAGTGGGTCTTTAAGCACAGGTTCTGAGTTCTTTTTTTAATTACAAATCTTTCGTTTAAATTGTGTCTGAGTTTAACCCACCTGAGGAGACCAGTCAAGGCAAGTGACTACTCTGTTTTTGGTCCAGTGCTCATCTGCAAACTGCCTGTTCAGCACCAGCTTTGCACCAGCCTGCAGGTCACTGGACACGACAGACAAAAAAAACAATGTTATTATCAACCCTGCATTTCCTACACCATGTGACTTTTTTAACCTTACACTGGAGCAATTCCATTTATTCTTTCATAAGTCGCTTACCCCTCTTTATCCTCGAGATCTCTGCCACTGTAATCAAAGCAAACATCCACCTGCTCGGCCAGAGCTCGCTCCACAATTCTGCTGCCTCGCTCGAAAAACGACAAGAACTCCTCAGAGTGCAGGACCTGCAGCTTCTCTTCCTCTGTCAGCTCTTTAGGGGTGTCTGTGCGCGAGAAAGTCAATATGAGTGGGAGAATACTCGTGATATATTGCTTTCTGATCATGCACTTTTGGAAAGACAGACATTTGTAAAGTTTAATCAATTGAGGCGAAAAGACAACATTTTTCTTTATTTGCTCTTACCATCCTCCTGCTGTTCTCCCTGTTCATCTTTCTCCTCCTGAGTTTCCTCTGCTGGAGGGGGAGCAGCTACCTCTTCATCCTCTTCTTCTTCTGAAACAAACACAGATTTAAATCAATTTTTACCCACTTCTAATTAAAAGAATTTGGAAAACATATTTGAGTTCATATTTGTTTACCTGGTTTTTGCTCGACGTGTGTCTGCGTCTCGGTGGGTGTCTGCGTTTCTTTGGAATAAGACACCAACTCTCTTGGGACAAAGTCCACCTGGGTCATTTTAGACATGCCCAGTCTAACTGCTCCTCGTCTACACACAAACACCATGAAGTGGACATTAAAAAAGGAATAAGCACACATACATAGGTTTGCAACAGGAAGAGAAGTCACTTCAGATTTTATGTACCAACATAAACAATGATTTAACAGACAAAATAGTACCACATTTAGACGAGTCTAAGATGAAACCACAAAAACTGAACAAAGCTGAAGGACAAGCTAAAGGAGAGAGGAGGAGCAGTACCCCATGAGCTCAGAGTCGGAGTGGAGTTGCAGAGTAGAGGGGTCAGGATCCCAATGCAATGTCCTTATACAGCCAAACCACCAGACGGTGTTAGTTAGAGAAAGACAGGACGGACAGAGAGAAAAGGGAGGACAAGAGGATGAAAGTCAATGCAAAGGACGGGAGCCCGTTTAAGAGATGTTAAAGATGGGAAAAGACCGAAAACAGAGAAGAAGAAGAAAGACAGAGAGAAGAAGAAGAAGGAGAACGGAGTGCGTGTTAAATTGAGAAACATCAGCGTGCCGATGAGAAGGCAAAGAAGAGACATGTTAGAATTCATCAAGTATTTTCACCATGTCAACACAAACAGACTTGGCATGCAGGTACAAGCCGACATCACGTAAAAATGACCAGAAACAACCAAACCCCATCTCTCTCTCCGCTCCACACACTCACACAGACCTTGGTCCTGCGTTTCCGTCCCCAGAATCTTGGCTTCCTGCATCGCTGCCCACTGATTTGTTGGAGGGAGACATGGGGGCGGGGACTAGGTAGTGAAACAGACACGTATCTTCTGTTACTACCCTGAGGGGCTGAGCTGTAAGTGCATGTGTGCGTGTTTGTGAGCGTGTAAGTGGATGAATGGGTGAGCGAGTGGGAGTGGGAGTGGGTGAGGGTGGGGAAAAGGTATGGCGAGAGTGTGAATGAGTGGGGGAGCGAGTGTGAATGAGTTTGCATGCGGTAAGGGAGACACACAAAAAATAAAAAAGACACACAAAGGGGGAGAGAAGAGAGAATGAAAATAAATGGCAGGCAGGTTTAGGTGTCATGCACAAAAGTTATGTCAAATGTTCAGATATTGAGTGACGTTGGGGGTGAAGGTAGTGACAGAAATCGAGCCAGATTGCAAAGTTAGAGCTCACTTTAATAACACAGCAAATCATTCAAGCAAACCACCAGAAAACGATGGGAAATAAGTGAGGGTGGAGGGTTTAAGGTAGAATAAGCATGCTTAGATAATGAGTTTACCATGGGGCATGTCAGGGTTGATGCCAACACTCTGCAGCAGAGCCTCTGCCTCCCTCCTCTTCCTCTCCAGATCAGAGTCTTCATGGCCAGCAGAAGACCCAACGCCCGCCTCGGTGCCACGCTTGGAGTCTCCCTGCAGAGCAGAAAAAAGGTTCAAACAAGGCTGCCACCCAGCAAGTCCTACATGTGTGAAAGCAAACATTTCTGAGACTCACATCCTTTTTCTTCTTCTCTTCTTCTTTTCTCTTCTTTTCCTCTCGAATCTGGGCAATCCGTTGTTTCTTCCTCTCCAGTTCAGCCTTGAGCTCGCTCTTGTCAGACATCCTGTAGTAAGACAATAACGTGTTGTTTAACAGTGTTAGAACTCCTAACTCTCTTTATTTCCTTTCAGAAGCTGTACGGCTAATGGTAGTTCATTTTATTAATTTCTCTACCTAGGGCTGGGTGATATGGGAAAAAGTTAATAATGATATATTTTTTTCATATCAATCGATAGATATCACAAGATAGAAATGAAATTTAACAGTGCTTATTGGTAGCATGTCTTTTGCGATACAATAAGCTACTTCATCAGTGAGGTCTTTGTGTCTCTTCGGTGTTTTGTCGTGAGGCGTTGCGCTAGAGAAAGCAGACTGGCTGTTTCAGCTGCACAGGCACCATAGGCTCCTTGCTCCGCCTAGGGTTTGTAACTCTTTGCATTGTGTGTGCTCCACCGCATGGCACTACTTCAGGTGGTGAAAAGATTTGACGTATACCCCGACTTTGTGAGAACATGTATTTGACATATTTTGCACTGCACATTACTCTGCTTCATGTCCAACCTAAAAAAAAAACAAAATACCTTCACACCAACACGATGGTCCACATCACTTCATAAAAGATTCGTCAATAGATAGATAGATAGATAGACTTTATTGATCCCAAACTGGGAAATTCCCATGTTACAGCAGCAATAAAAACATAAAATAAAATATAAGAAGAGGTATGTACAATACAGACTAAATATACTAAACATCCTAAGAGAAAAAAGTGAGATATGAAAAAAGTGGGCTATCCACTGGTAGTACTAATTGTAACAGAGTAATAGACATGTATACAACAACTGAAGGGCTTTCTATTATATCACTGTCTTTTGGCAGTTAAGCTGTTTCCTAAAATGAGTTAGCCTTTCCACTGATAGATTTATTCCAACAGTCTGTTTGGACCTCTAGAGCAGCTTTTACACAGTACCTCAGGGCCTGTCACACTGCTAACATGTGAAACTAGGACGGCTGTTGGTAACAATGAGCTCCTTATCTGTTTTTTTTTCCACCACGTCAATGACTGAGTGATTTTTTTTAAGTCCAAAATTACACCACTTCTATCAAACAATCATTGGTTGCTATGAATCCCTGGGATATACTATAATTGTCAACCTATCAATCAATAAGGTATCAAAAATCATAACGAAAAGAAACAAAAGCAGTTTTAACAGAAGACTACAATAAAACGGGGCAGTTTACGTTTCAAGAAACATATCAGCCTTTGTATGAATAACAATGTGACTGTTTGTATTACCACTTTTATAAACTGGTATCTTATTCAGCGTCGTCTGTCAATAACAATCGGACAACAGAAATGCTCCAATCCCACTCCACCCACCATGATACTTAACGGAAAACCAGCTATTGTTCTGTTTTAAACCTTGTTTTCCTCTGTCATAAGTTTGCAATTTGATGTAAATTGCTTTAATGTATGCTATCCTTTTGTATTAGCTTTTTAAATGTCAAAAATGTATTTAATCGTCTCAGTGACTGCAACAATGTCCGGACAGACAGCTAGCTTCTCCGTGTTAGCACGCTAATCTCCATGGCAGCAGCCGGCGGGCCTGCTGCTGCTGCTGCTGGAGACTAACGGGAACATCGCAAACCAACGCCCGAACCTCCGCGACCCCCATCCCGTTTACTGAGGCGTTTAAAAGCAACACAACTACTGATGCACGACAGAGTACCTGATATCAGATGTGAAATGTCAGTAGACGGGCGACAACAGAATCCAGTTTCGTGTGGTTAAAGTCCTAAAGAAGTGATGGTGCTGAAGACTGATGATGCTGGAAGGGAGACGGACTCCACTGCGTCCTTCTTCCTCACTGACTGGTCAGATAAGAGTTACAGTACAATACGAGCGCCCCCTCTTGGCAGCAGACATGTCTCCTGGTTTATTGACATGGTGGAGGGGGCGTTCAACTCCTTCATAGGTTTAATCTGCAACACCAGGACTAAACAAGAGCCCAACCAGATTTGCAATATGTGACATCAACAATTGATAAATCTCCCCTCAAAGGCATATTAAATGTAACACTGTTCTATGTTGTTGAGGATTCCTTTGGTCCCTTTTTATACTTTCAAGGTTAGATTTAGGGTCTGAAACATAGGGGAGAGTGGGGTAGGACCAGTCATTTTTCATATTTCAGATCACTAAATCAAGGCAATCATAGTTTTGTCTCTAACTAGTGTATCTGCACATATTTTAAGATGTTGTGCATCCCTGCAAACCAACAGAATGAGTGTAAACAAAACTGTCTTGATAATATGACAACAAAAGCGGTCTCCTATGGTCAATTTACTGTGTGTATGGGGTAAGTTGACCATAGGAGCGGGGTAAGTTGAGCCGTATCCATACTACTCCCCACTCTCCACCCCAGCCCTCCCTCACCTTCTCTCTCCCTAAATAACAGTCACTTCTTCACATTCATGTGTATTTTTATCTATCATACGCTATTCATTATTATTGCATTTAACTGCTAAAAAGCTGTTTTGTAAAAAGCCATTTTAACATGAGAATGTCTTTAAGTGATTCAGAACATTCACAGCTGTATTTTTGAAAAGAAAAAGTAACACATTTCAATAATCTGAACTGAAACTCTGATCCTCTCATCAGACTCCTTTACTTTCTCAGTTGAGCCACTGGCTCAACTTACCCCAGAACTACTATGATGACTTTATTAGTCCTCTAAGCTAAAATGGTGGACTTTTATGCAAGGTTTTGACCTCATGGTGTAGCTCATAGATACCACAATTGATGTATAAAATAAATTAAAATTATCTTTTTGGTATAAACACAATTCTAATAAAACTTATGACAGACTAAATTCACTTTCAAGAGTGAAATTTTCTTTTTTCTTTTTGTAAATAAATGTCTAACCCCTTCACCCATGTGCTTCTAACCTTCACAGACTCCAAGAATTGATGCCCATCTCCTCAATATTTGGTCACATTATCAATTTCTTTTACCATTTCCAAGCAACAGGGGGTGGCTCAACTTACCCCACTCTCCCCTAAAGGCTAGCCATATTTAATAATTTGTCATTTTAATTTGAGAAACACTGGTTTACTAAGTAAGAACGATGTTATTGCATGGCAACAGTGGAGGAGAGTTCCAGAGAGCTGAGATCAAAAATTCTTAAAAGTGCCATAAAGAGTAGCTGAAATGAGGGACACCAACCTGAGATAAGTAAAGAACTTTAAATAAACTCTGTATGGCTTCAAACAAAGTTATCAGACGGATAATGTACTGAAGGTGGGCATACTATCCTCAAATTTCATTCTTAGTCATCCAAAAAGTCCAAGAACAACACAACACATGAAATAAACCACACATATTTATTACCATTATATATAATTTTTTATTCTTTTTAATTGTTCTTCTATACAAAAGGTTATTGTGCATCTCTTATGAACAAAGAGAGTGTGTCTTATGAATTATGAGCATAAAAGTTTAACTGACCTATAAAACATTATTTTAGTGGTTTTAGTTGTTGACCGTCGTGCCTTGGTTTGGTCTTGTCTTTTCATTGAGTCATCTCACACTCTCAACACAGATGATGTCTGAGGAGCTTTGTTTCTACTCTTCAGCAGCTGGATCAACATAGTTGAAGGGATCATAAAGGTCACGTTTGAAATCATAAGGATCAAAGAAAGGGTAGAGGGGTTTCTGGGTGGCTGCTGCAGGGGCACTTTCCTCGACTTTAGCCACTTCTTCCGTCACCACTTTTTCCTCTGCGGGTGCCTCTGGTGCTGTTTCCTTGACGGGGCGAGGAGGATGATCTATGAGGCAGTCAGGATCCCAGTATGGGTCGCAGTCATACTCCATACCTTTGGTAACGATAGGGGGAGGAGGAGGGGAGTCTGACTTCTTGGGAGCTGGTGGAGCAGGGGGAGGCTGGGTGGCTTTGGGAGGAGCAGCAGCTTTTATCTCCGCCTCTGTTTTGGGCCTGCAGGCGGGGTTGTGACGTGGGTCACACAGAACTGGAACAGCCCCTGTTGGCAGGTAGACGATCTGAGGTTTGCACAGAGGATCTTTGGGGTGACACAGATAGATCTTCTGAGCGTTCTCCAGAGGGTCTGGTGTGGGAGCAGGGGTGGTGGGGGGTGGAGGAGGCTGAGTGGTAGTTGTGGGCTCTGGAGTGGTTGTCAGTACGCCCAGTGCATTCTGGTAACTGGAGGCATCAGGGCCATAGGTCACCTCCAAATGACGCATCTGCTGATACAACATACGGAGTCTGTCGATCTCATAGATCTGAGGGAAAAACAGAGCAACAAATCAGGGAAAGAAATCAGATTCTGGTTTGGTAGAATAAACCATATAGTAACCCATAATATAAAAATCTCTAACCAACTGCAACTTACACCCTCAATGTGGCCAATGCTGTTGTAGAAACGATAGTAGGACTGGAAATCAGGATTCCCTCTGTACCACTTTGGGTCGGTGTTCCTCTTAGGACGAGAGTTAGTCAGGAAATCATGTGCCTGAGCGGATCCAATGCTCACTGAGCTCCCTGTGAAGGAGCATGGAGTCAAGGTGAATAGGGAGAAAACATGATTTTAAGCTTATTTCAATTCTTATCACTTAAAAAAATAACTTTATTTCTACAACAAAATAGATCTTTCTTAAATTATGTACACTATCTCTAAAAATATGTTCACTACACTTAAAGACTATTTAGCCCTTTAACTTAATGTACATTTATCTAATGTAACATGACTTTATAAGTTGCCAAACATTTTTAGTTTTGTTTTTGCTACCAATTCTGCAGCTCCCAGGCTGAGGTTTCAATAAATGATATAAATGTGTAAGAAAAGGTAAATACCTTGAGGATTTTTCACTTTCAACAGAGATGTTGCTTCCAACAAACCTAGGTGCAGATTAAAAGGATATTTATTAAAGTTTCAAAGCAGCTACACAAGACAATGAGCTTTTCCATTATATGTCCTTAACTCCACAAACAGGAGCAGTCGAAAGAAAGACCTGAATTTTGGTTGGACTAACCTGGCATTAATAGCAGGCAGCACAGCGACCTCAACAGGGACACCTGGGAAATCATCCTCCACATCTGCTGTTCCAATATCAAACACACATTCAAAACGATTTTAAATTCTATATCATGTCACATTAGTTATTCAGAGAGGTTAATAGTTATTTATTATGCATTTTCAGAGCATAAACAGTTCAAGTTAAAGTGTGATCACAGTCCATGACATCCCTTTATATTCAGAAAGTCTACTAGAAAAGGAAAAACTGCATGGGTAGTAAAATAACTGTCCAATAATATTGTTTGTTGTAATCATATTCACACAAGATCTCCCGTGTTCTTTTACTTAGAGTTGATTTCTTGTTGGATTTTTGGCCGTTATCAATTTTGCCAACCAATAAACAGATTTCTATTTAAAAGAGAAATACTGAATCTGTCTGAAAATTATTCCTCATTGGCATTTCCAGTACTGTGCAAACAAAAATCAATATAGTTGCCTTAATTTACTTAATTCATTGATTTGGCCAAAGTAAAACAGAGAATATCTCACCTGTTGTTGCATCTCCCCAGTGGTGTTGTAGTCTGCTGCACAACATAACTGTTCATAAATACTGCTCCCAGAACTGGGGTCTTTCCATTGGCTGCCAAACTGGAAGCGGGCTAAACTCCACCCCTGTATTTTCTGCTGAGACGTGGAAGAGTTCATTAGCCCACTTAGCATGAACCAGCAGTAAAAACACAACTTCAAACAAAATATGACGCCTTGTAAAGCCACATGAGACAGCCTTGTTACAGCAAGGCACCTATATACTGGGTGCACATGCCCTTCAGTTGTCCATCTCTTTCTTTGGGTGTCGTAATCCTGGACAAAGCTTTAGCTGTTAGTTAAATATGTGCCCTTTAAAAAACAACATAACCTACTGAATCTACATCTGTGGTATTTTCTGTTCTGGACCAGCATGGCGACATACATGGTGGTACTGTAGTGTCATTCTTGACAAAACATGCCTGGCAGGTAAAAATTAACCCTCTGTCCCAAAACAGCTGGATATGTCCTTTTAACTTTGGTCTTGGCCAGTCAAAAAATAGAGGGGGAGCAGCGTCAACTGCTGATTACGTCCCCAAGAAATATGCAGGAATTATGGGCTAGCTAACACCTCAGCCTGGGAACTGTTCTGAGACCTAAAACATCCGATCAATACACATATGTTTCTGGTGTCTATATAGTATACATATACAAAAAAAGGCACACAATAAGAAATGAATTAGTAGCTGAAGAAATTCAACAAATTTTGAGTTGTTTCCCACATGGACCCTTTGTGTGTTTTCTGTCTAATAAATACCATTTGGAATTGTTTTAGATGCTTATAACTTCACAGCTGCTCCTATCTTAATATTGACATTGGTGGAAGAGGTTTTGTTATACAACCTGCTGCACAACTAGTTGCAGAAATGCTTCAGTAGAAACCCTCTTGTTAGAATTGGACTTTAGTTATGCAGATTCATCTATGAAAATGCCCTTGGATCTGGGATCATGAAGGTTTCCAAGTGTTTTCATTTTTGAATGAGCTGCATTAAGTGTTTGAAATGTATTAAATGATAAATATACAACAGTTGATCTTGATAACTAATGTACTAAATGGCTATACGTGCGGCTACATTCTGAAATCGTGTCTGTGAATGTCTTAAATTGAGCTGCTCAGTGTTTACCCTTTTAGCAAACTCTTTCTTCAAACCAGCAGGTAAAACTGCAATCAAAGAGCCCCAGAAGGAGACAGGGAGTCTATAGGGACTCTTCCAGGTGGCTAATGGTAAACATTGTACAGTAATTGCTCTGTGACAGGACAAAAAAATGGAAGGGTAAGAGTACCTGTCATTCTTAAATGATATACATTTATTCAACCTTGACATCGAGTCAACCAGCTGCCTGGAAAATAAATCAACTTGGTTTACAAAAATGCACATATTACATAAATCAAGTCATGATTACAAACCTGAGGCATGAGTTTTCATCATATATGCAGAACAACCTCTTGTTCCCCTTCATAGATAGTAGAAGATATTATAAAAGAAAACTTGCTGCATGTATTAAAGTATTGCAAAACAATATAAGGGGATAAAAATGTTCCTTAGGCTTGTTTTCATGATCTTGTTTGGTAAATATGAAAAATATAGTGCGATGATCATACATCTAGCCTGTTTTAATACAAATGGCTTGCAGTCATCTCCTCCTTGGCATTAAAAACTGATAATACCATCTGTTCTTTATTTCAGCCCAGATCACCAACAACTACGACTCCAGAACATGCGTTTCTGCAATGTACAGCAGCTTTTCTTGCTCAACTCAACCACCCCCTCCAGGGTATCAATTACTGTTACCAGTGTCCTTCTGATCTTTAAGTGAAATTACACCTTGTCCTGGAGCTCTCTGCAGGACACAAGAGGTTTAGCTCCAAGAGGGATGTTTTCAGCTGTGTCCTTTTCATTCCACACCACGGCGCCTCTTTGCTGTCTTTACCCAGAAACAATACAAAAAACAGCACTCTGACTAACCAGGTTGAAAATCTAGGCCAGATTAGCATCAGTCAAAGGGTTGTGCTCGCAGTATGCATGTTGTTGCATGTTGTAGACATTTGCATTGGGTTACTTTCTGTATCTGTGTAGAAGAAAATTCTTGAAACTTCAGTCCAATCTTTAGACCTATTAAAGATCGAGTTTGGCTACTTGACAGCCTTCACTCTTATTTCAATAAGAGTAGCCTTTGCATGTTAACATGCACAGCATAATATCAGTATGGTCAGATTTTTGGTATACTTGCACAGAGGTGACATTTTTGATGTTGCTAAACTTGTGCTTTTCCAATGAGCTGTAATATCTTCTTTTGAGAGTGCAGAGATAAAATGGTGGGCCATGTAACTTTAACACAACTTGGTATCTTATTTGAATACATCAGCTTGAGATTTTATAGATCTACACAAAAAAATAAGAGATTTATGATTGAAAAACTGTCTTTTTTTTTTTTTTGTGATGATAAGATGCAGGGTCAAAATATCTTACATTACATACACATCAGTGTTGTTGGTTGTATCACAACAATCCGGACAATATACTTTAACATAATGTAGAAGACATCCCTTACCCCATTCAACAGCAATCAATAAAAAGTGAATATTTGGTAGATACTCTGTGGCTTAAAGGTGCTGTGAGGAACTTTAAGTTTGGGTTTTGGTGCCCCCCTGTGGAGAAAGTGACACCTCTTTCTGTGTCCAGTATTGGAAAGTATTTTTTTTCAGCTAATCAACCTATTGTCTTTTGAACATGAAATGCATCACTTTCATTTTAATTGTAGTTTAATTTACTTTTTACCTTTAAGCAGCCGCTTGTTTGTACAGAGACCCCCGGGTGAGTCCATCGATTTCAGCGGGATGACACAGCTCAAGGAAGAACATTTATGATCATTACTTTATCATTTCCTTTAAGTAATAATCAACATATTAATGATTTTGTTACTGTACTTTACTTTGTTACATTACTTTAGTCTTTCCATGAAGAAATTATCATAAATATTTTTCCTTGAGCTGGAAGAGAGTGGGTGAGTTGTGTTTATTCCCTTCCGAAAGAAATTAGGCAAAGCTAAAAAGATGTTTGGTGGCTCGTACTGTGGCTGGGACCCTATATGTACTGCTGATGAAGTTAGATGCTGTTCTGAGCATTATTTGTGGCTATAGAGTGGCATTTTTGTTGAGTATGTGGCTCTTTGTATTGCTATCTGCGGTCGTTACTCAAGTTGGTAAAACTAGAGAAGCAAGCGGTCGGCAACATTCATCTCTCGACGGGGTGTCTAACTCGATGTTACAGTGTGTTTGACCCGAACCTAATTTTACGCCGAAATATCCCTTTAACTATTGAAATTACTGAAATGTAGTTTTCTATTAGTCCAGCAGGTGGCTAAGCACTTAACACCGGAAATGCACTACTCCCTACGTCAGTTCCTCTTCGGCTGTTGAAGTTTTGTAGTTCCTGTGTAGTTGACCTGTCAGCGTTGTAGTACAAGCTGTCACTGCTGAATTTCTTCAGTTCGTCGCGTTGTGGTAGTTTTTCGCCAGCAACACAGCGAGAGCTGGACACACAGAACAGCGCGTACTTAACGTCGTTGCTTTGGTGAGCTAACCGACGAGATAACGACTAAAGTCGGCTTGCAAACAAACAAGCTGAACTGCTAGCTTGCTAGCTAGCACTGTACTGTAGCTACCAGTGTGAGCTGCCTTTTGGCACTTAGCTAGCCGGGGTACTGGCAGTGCAAGGCTCGGAAGCCGCCCACTCCTGCGGAGCAGCATTCCGGACAATAGAGTGAAGGGTAAGTGAGCGGAAAGCTGTTTGTCTTGAGCTGATTTAACCAGACAGTTAGCATATTGATTATAAAGCTCTTTGCCAAAGGGATAAAGCGTCCAGCATGGCAGGGTTTGGAAACAAAGCTGTACATACAACTGTTGTACACACAAGTTCAGCAGCAGCAGCAGCAGCTCCGGTCGGCTGTCTTGGTCACCGGTAACTGCTGCCATTACTTCCGACGACTTTGGAGTCTGTCCTCCTGACCTCGCCTTAGTGACTTACTGAAACTCACCTGCAGACACGGGGAACATTTTGTGAAATTCAGCTACAGCCTTTGGTTCTCAAAGTGTGGTCCGGGGACCAGCTGGAGGCCAAAAACGGCTTCCAGCAGGGTATTAGCAAATCTTTATTATAAGTACAGTTAAAAATGAAATAGTAGGGGGTTTGTTTATCACTATTTTGACTGTCAACCAAGCAGAAATTTTACATTCAAAACTGAAATAATTTGCTTATTAATCAAAATAGTAGAAAGAAAAGAATTGTCATCCATTTTGTTACCAGATTTATCTTTTTAATATTAGGCAAAATCACAAACATTGTCTGGTTTCAGTTTTTTTGAAGAGTGGATTTGAGGTATGAGACTGTTTATAATAATATAAAATTCTTCACAATTATCTGTTATTTTAAAAAAAAGAACAATTTACCAAAACTTTTTACATCTTTTGAGAAATAGTCTGAACAAAGTTACAGGGAATGTCTTAAATCACTGTTGCAAAGTATCTGGTTAGACCAGACTTGGCAATATGCTTTTGTTGCGGTCTTATTATAGCAGCCTTTTCCACGGATGATGACAAATGCAGCTCATGTAAATCTTGTCTGTCAGTGTGTGAGAGCCCTGCAGGGCTTCTCACCCTTTCTGCTCAGCTGTTACCAAGAGAGAAAGAGGCAGGGAAGTTCTTGCATAAGCGGGCAATGCTGGATCAGGTATCTGTCACCACTTGTGCACTACTATGTTTGTCACTCATTGTACTGAGTCGCACTTTCATAACTGATGACGCAGCAGCACAAGTCCTGTCAAGAGTTGGCAAGAATAAATCACGAGATTAAGGAGAAGCAGAGTTAGAAGTTTCCTTACAGGGCCCTCCCTTCAATGACCTGTCAAAGGTCGCCTCATCCTATGTGGCGTGATGGAATGTGTGGAATGGGGCAGAGCCTTAATTCAACACAGGAACCCTTTCATTAGGATATTAGCTGTTGTGGGTTTTGTTGCCACCTTTTTAACTGATAAACTGGATTGCATGTTATCAGTGTGGACGGTGTTTGGAATAGTCCTCATGATCTCAGTAGTCTATCATTTTTACAGGTCCTAGTTTTGTTCTTCCCGGAGAAATAATAGGAAAACAATAGGCCCTTCAAAAAGTCTGATCATTGGACCTTTTCTGGTGTATCTCATTCATAACCTCAAGGTTTTTTTGTCAGAAAACTGAATGCATTTTGATAAATTATTATTTAACACTGGTCATTTTCAAAAAAGAAATGTCTAACATAATGTAACAGTCTGTGACCTGGTCAGATGAAGACCTTAAAGGGATATTGCGGTGTAAAATTAATTTAGGGTCAAACACACTGTAACACAGAGTTAGACACCCCCTCGAGAGATGAATGTTGCCGACCGCTTGCTTCTCTAGTTTAGTAACGAGTGCAGGATAGCAATACACAGCGGTCTGAGGAGCCATAAACAAACCTCAACCAAAACTCCACTCTATAGCCACAAATAATGCTCAGAACAGCACCTAACTTCATCAACAGTATATATAGGGTTCCAGCTTCAGCACTAGCCACCAAACATCTTTTTAACTTTGCCTGACTTCTTTAGCAAAGAGACCCAACACAACTCACGTACTCTCTTCCAGCAGCTGCTTGTTTGTAGAGAGACGTCAGGCCAGTCCATTACGGACTACAGTGGGGTGACGCAGCTCAAGGAAGAACAATTTTGATAATTTTTTCAATGGAAATACAATCAGACTGAGACGCTAAGGCAGAAGAAATACCATGTGTGCGTTGCTAAATGATTCATATGGTAATTATTACTTCAAGGAAATGATAAAGAAATGATCATAAATGTTCTTCCTTGCGCTGTGTCACCCCGATGCCGTCAATGATGGACTAGTCCGAGGTGTCGCTACAAAAAAGCGGCTGCTGGAAGAGAGAGCGTAAGTTGTGTTTAGTCAAAAGAAGAAAGAAATTAGGGAAAGCTAAAAAGATGTTTGATGGCTAGTACTATGGCTGGGACTCTATATGTACTGTTGATGAAGTTAGGTGCTGTTCTAAGCATTGTTTGCTGCTATAGAGTGGCGTTTTGATTTGTTACTAAAGTTGGTATAACTGGAGAAGCAAGCGGTCGGCAACATTAATCTCTCGATGGGGTGTCTAACTCGGTGTTACAGTGTGTTTTGAATGATGTTGCAAGCCCCTGTATGTAGGACTTTAGCATAAACACATCTGTTCAACAGTTGAAAAATGATGCCTTTGTCTATTTATTTATCAGTAATTATTGGTTTTTTTAAGCGTTGAAACAGACATGGAAAGATATTTTTATTTGACTTTATTCTTTTTTTTCCTGATATTTTCTTGACAAGCAGTCGATAGGATGATTGATAAGAAAAGGAGCGATTAAACCAGTGATCATATTGGTAAATAAATATTCAGCAATTCTTAAAAGAATGTCTCCTGCAGACACCATTGACATTAAAGTTGTTAAAAACCTACGTGTGCACTTTTTCTCAAAAATCCTCACAAAGTTTGAAGTAACTTTAGGTCATGTTGCACGTGATGATGTGTTATTGCTTTAGCTCAAGACACATCATCATGGTCATTGCACAGTCACAAGAAAGTCATCCAGCTGGCTGTTCTGCTCTAAACAAAGTCAGCTGGAGTCTGGGCGAGCAGAGTTGAACCTCCTCAAGCCAAATGTGATGTTAACTTATTTTGGGGTCACACTAAAACTACAGTAAAGAAGATATCCCACAGGTAAATTTTTGTATGATAGAGAACACGTGTTTTTGCATCAGTGGGTGGTTCAAAGTTGAAACAAGTGGTGTGAGCAGTGATGTCAGATTTTGAGTTTTTTTGACTGAGTGAACAGCTGTGGTTCACAGACGTGACACACTGTTCTTTCTCTCTCTGTCACTGGGTGAAAGTTGACTGTCATTTATGATGACACTTGCTGTCTTGATTAACAGTCTCTCTGCACTGTATGCTATGTTGAGCATATGACAGTCCTGTAGTGCACAGTTCATGGGCAGAACATGATACAGTGTCTGGATTTGTGTCAGTGCGGGGCACACAAGTTCAAATCCTGAGTGTATTTTTAATCAGTGTTGTCTTCAACAAATCCAATGAGTACAAACCACAGACAGTGTTTTTCTTTTGTACAAGCTGCTTGAGTTGCTCAGTTTGCTCATTGTATGAGTGCTATCCCTACCACGTTCAGGGCCTTCGACTGACTAAGGCACAATGACTACACGAGGTGGTATGTTACTCACTGGACAGCACATGAACACACACAGTGGGGTATTGACAGAATTGTAGAACGTATGAAAATAATTTAAAACAACAATTGAAATAACTGACATGAGCAAAATTGTTTTGATTAGAGGCCCTGAATGTCAAAATGCCAACTCTAATTAGTGTGATCTTTCTTTTGTATCCAACTGTGAAGTCTAATCAGTGTATGGTGATGTTGAATTCAACAGTTTTTAATTGTCTTGGCTTGTGACACAGATGGAGGCCCAGAGCTCCAGCGGACTACTGCTGTCCAGAAAGAGGAAAAGAGATGGCTCCAACGGCGAGACCGAGGAAGGAGAGAGGCTTGGGAAAATCCCCAGGTGTACTGTGGTGAGTCAGTAGTTGAGTTGCCATTGAGCAAAGGTTTGATAAACACTTTCTTTTAGCTTAGATCAGTGGTTCTCAAGTCCAGTCCTCGAGGCCCACTGTCCTGCATGTTTTGGATGTTTCCCTGCTCCAACACACCTGATTCAGATGATTAGCTCGTTATTAAGCCATTACAAATCTTTCCCTTTTTTGTTGGGTGTTTCAGGGATTGAAGCACCCTGCTCCTTTCGCAGACGAGCTCGTGCCAGCTGATGATAAACCCTATGAGAGAGTCAGCATGGACGAGGCCAAGAGGGGAACACCACGTGAGTCTGACTCCTTAAATCTCTCAGTTTGTTTTTATCAGTAGTCAGTTTTTTTTTCTCAGCATATTCTAGTATCAGGTTTCAGATTCACTCTGTGCAGAACAAATCTTACATTCCTGCGTGTCTCACCTCGCCTCTCTCCGTCCAGTAGAAAGACCAGTGCGGGTGTATGCAGATGGTATCTTTGATGTTTTCCACTCAGGACACGCCCGAGCACTCATGCAGGCTAAATGCCTCTTCCCAAATACACACCTCATTGTTGGAGGTAAGTGTGGGTCCATGGATGTCTCTACTGGTCCTCCCCAAGGTTTCTGCCCGTTAAAAGAAAGTTTTTCCTCGCCACTGTCACTCATGTTCGATGAGATGGGTCAAATCTGTCCCATCTTAAGGTTGGATCTTGGTAATTGATCAAACAATGAACGTGGTCTAGACCTGCTTTTTTTTTTGGAAAGTGTCTTGGGATAACAGCTGTTGTGATTTGGCGCTATATAATTCAATTTGATTTGATTGATTCATTGATTTGAAACCTAATGATATGGTAGACCTGTTTAAGTCACAGCAAAGACATTTCAAACAGTAACTTCTGTTTTATTTCTTTATCATTTGCAGTGTGCAGCGATGACCTGACCCACAAATACAAAGGCTTCACAGTAATGAATGAAGACGAGCGCTACGACGCCATCAGACACTGCCGCTATGTGGATGAGGTGGTGCGAAACGCTCCCTGGACGTTAACGCCAGAGTTCCTCGCAAGACATCGAGTGAGTTGATGAAACAGAACGTTTGCATTCAGTCCTTCACTGCTTTATTATTTTAGTCTGATTATCTTATAAGATAATTCAGATGTATTGGTTTGAACTTTGTGTATATGAATGTTGATGTGTGTTGTGATGACCTCTAGATCGACTTTGTGGCTCATGATGACATCCCGTACTCCTCAGCAGGCAGTGATGATGTGTACAAGCACATAAAGGAGGCTGGTAAGTGACAAAGTAGTCAAGGATGGTGGAGTTTAAATGATCACACAATACAGCTTAGCTTAAACTCACATAGGGGGTCTGTACTTTGCTGTATAATAGAGTATATTTTAAATCATTTTAAAATTTAAGCTTCTTAAAATGAGAGTGAGTAGGAGTATGACGGATTTAATCCAATCTCGTTTTCTTTTACTCGTTGTTTTTCCTCAGTAACAAAGCTGTGTTTGGTATCCTTCCATCTCACTGACCCACTTAACTCTTCACAGGAATGTTTGCTCCAACCCAGCGGACAGAGGGTATCTCCACCTCTGACATCATCACCCGCATAGTCCGTGATTACGACGTTTACGTCAGACGCAACTTACAGAGAGGATACACAGCAAAAGAGCTCAACGTCAGCTTCATAAATGTACGAAACGTACCTCTGGCTTAACCCTGTGAGGGCTTCAGAAAAGCATAAGAGTCAAGAAGTCTCAGTAACAGATTACAATGTAACAGTTGCATTCTCTGTTCAGGAGAAGAAGTACCACCTGCAGGAGCGCGTGGACAAGGTGAAGAGGAAGGTGCGTGATGTGGAGGAGAAGAGCAAAGAGTTTGTCCAGAAGGTGGAGGAGAAGAGCATCGACCTCATCCAGAAGTGGGAGGAGAAATCCAGGGAGTTCATCGGCAACTTCCTGCAGATGTTTGGCCCTGAGGGAGCTCTGGTGAGGAAGCAGTTTTTTTTTTAAATGACTGTTTAATCAAGAAGAGGGACTAAGAACGCCTATTTATTTACACTGTGACGGCTTTAGGAAGGAAAGGAAGGCAACATCTTTCATACATATATTTCTATCAGTCAATATTCAACTGTTCATTTTGTTCAAAGTAGAACTGAGAGAGGACATACTGATTTGTTTAGGGTTTGGAACATAAAGTGAAGGACTTGGATAGGCTCGGGTTTTAACTGTGTTCCTTCAATAGCAACAGCTCTGTTTCTCCTCTGTGCCGGTATGAGCCTAACCACTGACCGCCCAGAGGTCTTAAAAACATTCCTGAACTTAAAGGTGTCCATCACCCAAACACTGACGGTATGCTAATAGAAATGACAAAGTTCTGTGAATTCCAGTGTAACTTGTGATCAGGTCTGCATGCCTGCATCAGGACAAACACACATCAGTCAGAGATCAGTGTTATTATGATCTCTGTGTTTGTTTCATATTTTTGAAACGTGGTGTTAGACTTGTGGTGATCTTGCTTATTTTCTCCTGCCGAGTTTTAAACAAGCAGTGCGACTCCAACAGTATCCCACTAGTTAGCGCATCATATGTGATTTTTTTAGATGTAAAAAAATGAAGGTCTGTATCAAGTGTTTGTAGTTTTACTGGGGAAATATCAGCCTGGCCTCTCACTAGTCAGGAGCAGGGACTTCCTGGTGGCTCAAAGACCCAATTTAAATCTCCACCCTAATGTCTCAGTGCTCAACCCTTGCCCCACGTGTCTCAAAGTCCATGAATCAGTGAGTGTTAGGATTGGGATTAGGCCAGTATTACAACATAATTGCAAGTGAAGCAACAGCGATGCCAGGAAGCACCTGAGAAAACCAGGGTCAATGTTTCTCTCCTTTATTCTGAGCTGGGCTAATGACCTGTTGGCTCACGTAGATTTACGGCACAAACATCAGAGTGGTTTCTATCACACTCATGTTATATTTTGTTTTTGTCAGCTATCTCAGACACTGAGTTGGCAATCATTAAATACTCTGGAGAGCTGTTGAGTCTTCCGGTCTGTATAATAGGTTAGGCTGATTACTTAATGACTCTATCTCAAAGCAGCTGGACGGAGTTTTCATTTTCTGTTGATTTTGGCGGCCACTATGGACAAAAGCGGTAGTGTTTTAGCGTGAATTGTCTAAAGCAGTGGTTTTCAAGTCCAGTCCTCAAGGCCCACTGTCCTGCATGGTTTAGATGTTTCCCTGCTCCAACACACCTGATTCAAATGATCAGCTCGTTATTAAGACATTTCAGAGCTTGATAACGAGCTGATCATTTGAATCAGGTGTGTTGGAGCAGGGAAACATCCAAAACATGCAGGATGGGGGGCCTCGAGGACTGGACTTGAGAACCACTGGTCTAAAAGACACTTATCTGGCACGTCAGGGCTCTAGAAACTAACTTTTTTTGTGAGCAGTTTGAGGCAACTTACTTTGTAAATGTATTTAAAATGGGTAGCATGTCTGGGTCAGCCCGCCGCGGAGTTTGAGACAGACGTGGAGCAGCAGGACTACTGAGGTTAGTGACACAGAGCTGCTCTGCCTGTCTGTCTCTGGTGTGAAGGAGCTTCTTACTCGGTGGCTGCAGCTGTAGCATGACACAGTGTCTGCAGGAGTCATTGTTTGTGTAGGGACACTAATATGTGCGTTTTCAGTGCAAAATAAAGAGAGAAAACACGCGTCGTCTCTGGTCTGAGTGCCATAAATAGTTTTCGTTCGTTATCCCGACCCGACCACTGGCTCCTGTTTTCCCTGTTTTCACTATTTAGAAATAGCTTATCTTCACACAGATGGGCTCATTCGCTGTTGCAGATGACAGGGAGACATCAGCAGAAACAAGAGATTTTTCAAATCTAGTTAAAAGTTCTGTAAAGGAAGGTTAATATCACCGATATTCCTATCTTACTCTTTGGACATTTTAATTTGGTATCACGAATGGTCAGTTTAGAGAGATAAATCGTTCAGTTTTTGTTGTACAGGATAATCCCCTCCAGTGCCTGAGTGTCCTTTTCATATTAATTCAGCTGAACTTATATAATGTTAATGCTGAAAGATTTGAAGGTCATCACAAACAGATGTGACAGAGCTTTTGCTGTTCGACTTTTGGAGTCCTGTGGTCGTACAGTTGCTTTTCCAGGTAATATGAAAAAATATTAACGTCTCTGTTTTGGTCTCCCTCCACAGAAACACATGCTGAAGGAAGGGAAAGGCCGTATGCTGCAGGCCATCAGCCCCAGGCAAAGCCCCAACAGTAGCCCCACCCGAGAGGAACGCTCCCCATCCCCCACCTTCCGCCTCCCCTTCTTCACCAAGACCTCCCCACCTCCCTCCCCTCCGTCTCACCACAGCGGCGCCCGTGGATACCTCATCAGCGATGACGATGATGAGGACGACGAAAACTAGAGGCTTCTCACCTCTTCACTCTTGTCTGAGCTGCAGTCAGTTTCAACTGATGTCGAGGAATGCAATCGAGGAGCTCCTGCTTCTTTATTCTTTATTCTGTTGTTTATGATTTTACTCTGACCTTTAGCACTTCATTTTTATGTTCACTGTAACAATCAGTTTCCTCACTACTTTTTGTTCTCAGCAGCCAGTTTGATCCTTTTTTTTTGTTTCGTGTCACGGTCAGTAAAGATTCCCACTAGTCACCTGAGTTCTTTTGAAAGTAGTTCTATTCATCTCAGTCACTTTTGATGAAGAGTTTTTAGTCCCTCACCGTCGCTCGGGAATATGTGCGGCTTTTACACTCCGTATTCTTAAGTGGCGTTTTAGTGAGGTAGAAGTTTCTGTTTGTGTCACTTTTTTTTTTCCGAGGCTTTCTTTAGCGGGACGGCTCACAGGTTTTTGGTCACATGTTGAAGCAGCACATAGAGTTTGGTGTGGGAGGTTAGCTGAAACCTCGTAGAGACACTGTTCTTTATCCGCGATTGCAAAGTTTTTCAGAGCAGGTTCAGGAAACTGGACTTCTTGATGATCTGCTCATGTTGGGCGGTCGATGTTCTGCTCACACTAACAAACCAAGCAACTTGTCTTTATTTTTAACGACAGGCAACAACCTGAGCCTAATCTGAGGGTTGAGTGTTAAACGTCTTCTAAAACAGCAGCTTCTTCCCACGTTTGTCTGCCTGCTTTGGGGCTGTACATGTCTGTGTGTGCATGTCATGTATGTGTGTGCAAGCTCTTAACGTCGGCATGTTTCAAATGTCTTCTGGTAACAAACACCATCTGCTGACAGATCTCGGTTCAGCTTTGACTAATGGTAATAAAATCGCTTTTTAAGTGTTCAGTCCTCAGAGGACGAGTTTCAAACTGGATGTGCGTTCAAGAAAGTCATTGAAGTATGACCCATTTAAACGTGGATATAGAAATACTTATTCTTGTAGATGTCCTCTTTTCTGTCTCCAGCCTCTGTACAGAAAGTGTTCTTAGTCGACTCGGTTTTAAGGTGCTTTACAGGCTGAGCACCGAGTCAACACGAGCAGGGATAGAGGAGTTGTAGGTATTTTTGTAGTGCAGATTCTGCATCACCTGGACCTGTTGAGAAATAATAAACAACATCTGGAACACATGAAGATTACATTATTAAGTATTAGGTTTTAGCAGGGACCTGAGAGCTGTTTCAAAACCCTTCTTTCTACAAGAGTGAGGCCACAAGCACATGAATAAGGCCTGCAGCACAAGGATGGCACAAATATACAAGATGAGCCAATAACTTTTCCAAACAGTCATCAGTGCAGAGGTGTGATAGATGAGACTACTCTGTGTGGTGTGATGGATTCGGTTTATATGCACCGTTCAGACTCCACAGCAAAGTCTTCTGTTTATAGCTACCTCCTTCTTTCCTCTTTGTTTCAAATATGAGCACAAAGTTTGAGTATTTTCCCCCTTTCTTGAACAGAGCCATTGTTGCAGCACGGACACAATGTCACTGGGTGAAATATTTGAGATTTTCAGGCTGTTTGGGTGTGCATCTCCGTTGATTCAGCATGTACTGTGTTTCCTGTATAACCGTAACAATTGTACCATCACAGATGAAATGCATCCCTGTCAGTGGAATCAGGTCTTCATTTTGTCACACATCAGATTTATCTGTTGAAGGCTCAGCCTCCCAAGAGCACTTGTTTTAGCTGATCTCAATTTCAGACTCCTTCTGTTCTGAGTTTAAATCTACATTCAAGATTGTGAGAGTACATTTACTGCTAAAGTCATGTCCTGCAGAAATCCAGCCTAGATTTTGGTGCTTAGCTACTTTTGGGAAGCCTCGCCTTGATTCTTGTGGAATCTCGTCCTTTTAAATCAGTGTGAACTTCTCATTAACAGCATGTCCACGTGATGAGTTTTAATGGCAAAGACTCGGGTGGTAAACCTATAACAGCCACTACTGCAAGATTTAAATGTAAACATTTTAACAGCAAGTGTTTAATCATGTTTTGTTTTACCGTTTGGGGTTTATTTTTGTTTTATGTCCTGGATGTAGAGGAGGAACGAGACAGGAAAAAATGTATTAAAACATGTTGGCCAAAGCGTTTCTTGACCTTATTGTGTCCTTCAAGATCTTATGAAATACACTTGAACTTAAATAGATGTCTTTTTATGATATTTAAGCACAAACCTTGGAACACAGTGCCGAGGGAGACTGAAAAGTGAAGAGCTTATAGAGTAGTCTTTAAGAGGCAGATCTGCTAATCACAGCTTTCTTTCTCCTGGTTCCCTACGGCACTCAGGAGGTGCTCTTTTGATTTTTACTCTCCTGCTTCTCAGACATTTCCAGCAGGCCCCCAGTTAAACAAATAATCCAGACTAAAATCAACACAGCTGTGTGAATGAAATGAAAGAATCAGCAGAAACACAATAAGACTCTAAAACAAGCGGCCGATGTCCTAAAACCATGGTTTCTGAACCACCTCCTCCCATTCTTCAAACTAAAACAAGAGGAAACAGACACACAATAGAAATAAAATAACCAAAAATCTCACCAGCCAGATAAAAAAACACACGCACACACACGTAGTTGGTTACATAGTCAGATTTTATTGGACAGAACGGTCACCAGGGCTACAAACATTAAGAAGCAGACAGTGACGAGGCGAACACCAGGGGGAGACTTCACCTTGCTGCAAACACACTCCCACTGCCAGAGTTTCCCAAAGCTTCTCAATCAGAGTAGTGCGACAGAGTTGATCTTAGTGCTTTTGAAAGGAAATATAAGGTCATATACGAACTTAAGGGGGATGACGGTCAGACCTTAAAAAACTGTCTGGAATGATTAACCTGTTTTGACTTCACCTATAATAGAAAAAAAAAAGAGTGAGGGAAAGAAATGGTAAACTCTATGAGAAGTACAAAAACAGCTCGCTCACTATGAATTCCTTCTGTTTGCTAACAGCATTGCCAGACGTTGAAATGACACTTTTGATCCAAATAACCGCTCCCACGAACACAGATCAAATATCAATCGGGTTTCCACGATACAGAATCAGACATTTCATCTTAAGTTTGAAAGGGTAGACTCTACCGAGACAAAAGCTCATACACAGGAACTACGTCAGTATTCATTTTAACCACAACAGCTACAAATCGTCTCACCGGGGGATAAACTCAAGGACTTTGTGGAGCTTCTAAAGTAACCGGAGGATAGATAGTGAAACGATAACACTGAATAACACGACAAGGCGTCCGTTAAAAAGATCTACTCCAGTCCTCTCCCCCTGGTCCCCACCTCCATCACTAGTCGTTTTTTTTCTCTCGGACGCCAGTTGGTTTACAGGTTTACTCATCACTACGAGATATATACGATACAATGGTTCACATTTTGCATATATCTGTGCATTATATCATACTTTTTTGTAATTTTTTTTTAACGATGAAAATTCAATCTCCAACACCTAGTTAGGATGGGTGAGGGTGGAGGTGGAGGGAATGGGGGGTGTATAAGAGAAGCTATAAGGATCGAAAGGAAGGGAGAGAGAGAGAGAGACAAAGTAGGAAGAGGGCAGAGGGAAAAAAATCTTAACAAGATAGATGAAGGGGTAAAAGTGGTCAGTTCGCTGCCTTGCATTGGGGGGAGGGGGGTTGAACTTTAGCAGCGGGTCTCGTAGATGCCGGAGCGGCCGATGTAGCGCACCCATTTGATGACGTCGTGGTCACTGTAGTTGAGCTTGGACTCAAACACCTTCAAGTAGCGCACTTTCAGACCAGAGGGAGCAAAAGGAACCTGCAGAGACCGGAGGAGGTTAGTGCAAGTCGGGGCATGCTGGGAAATGTAGGTTCAACACCAGGTTGAGCAGGAAGTGTATGAGGAAGACAGGCTGTGATTTGCATGACTGAAACAGGGATCGTTTTTAATCCATTTGTTTGCCTGCCAGTGCAGTCATCGTTGGCAAACACAGTATTTCAATTTAATCAGGAAGTGAAGCGGATCTAAATTTGAGAAAAAAGTTTTTGTGCAAGTTTGATTGATGCTGAACTGAAATTTGGTCTCACCTCAAAGTTCATAGAAATGGGAGGCCTGGCCCATTTCTTCTTATCGTTGGTCGGCAGCAGCTCGATCTCAGCGCTGATCTGTGACTCCTTCATTCCCGCCATGCGCTTGATCCTGCACACAGAAACAAACAGTGAAGCTCATAATCAAATCAGGTTATTTTCAAACCCACATGCCTATCAATTCATGTAAATTCATGTAGGGGTTTGGAAAAGAGAAGAAGCCTAAGGTTAAACAAACAAAGACACCGAAGAGAAGCAGTTGATCATTAACCTGAAACACAGGACATAAAGTTTGGTTGTGTGCTGTGAATAAAAAGGCAGAGCGACTACTCACTTCCACACAATGGCGTTCTCACTGGCCTTGTACTTTGCTTTTCCCTTCATACAAATCACCTGCACGCCGCTGGTGTTGAGGGGCGTTGGGATACGCACCTGAGGAGGAGATAATGAAGATAAGAAAAACAAAATACACTTATTGACATTTGAGAATGGGAGAGCTTTGATTTGTGGAGAATGTTTGTCTTAACTGCTTTCATTTACCGTATTTTTCAGACTACAAGGCGCACTAAAAATCCTTAAATTTTCTCAAAAATTGACAGTGCGCCTTATAATCCAGCACACCTTTTCTTTCTTTCTTCTTTATTTATCTCAAACTTTAAGAACAACAACAAAAAAACAACTAGAAACAAAAACACTAAACAAAATAATACATATGTACACCAAACAACTGTACATGTGAAAGATGAATTTACACAACATATGTTTGTCAAAATAAACAGTTTGAGAAGGAACAGAATGAAGCAAAAAGCTTATCTAGTCCTGCCTCTTCCTTATATAATAATATATAAATAAGAGATTAAAAAAAAAATCTATTTGTATAAATTACTAAGATCTGTATAAATACCTACATATTATACACAAAGATATCTGCTCAACATTAAATGTATTGAGCACACCTTATGTGTGATTACTTGTGCTTATTGACCGATTTTATGTGGTACAATGCGCTCAAAAATCTGCTGAAATGTGCAAGTATGTATGTAAGTATGACTTCGGAAAGCAACGAAGCTGCTCCGCTCAATGGATATTCGGAGCATTACGGTACGCTGTGACGCCACTGTCGTCCGAGCTTTCACAAAAGCTGGAATCATCACTGAACAGCCACGTACCGGTAACAGCAACGAGACTGACTTGGACAATGACGAGAGGGATCTGAGCATGCTTGATGCCAAAACCTCACGATTGTTTAACTCAGACACTGAAGGTTAAGAATTCGATGGACTTGTGGAAAAGGAATGAATCAATAATGAGTGTATTTTTCCGTACCGGTATTTGTTGTTACAACCGAGTTAAATAGTTTGATTAACCGGACTGTGTTGTTTTGCTTAATGCGCCTTATGTGTGAACATAGACACGTCAATTCATACTACGCCTTATGGCCTGAAAAATACGGTATTATCATCTTCACAGGTAAGAACTGACCTCGATCTTTTGGGCCAGCAGTGAGGGTTTGAAGTTTGACTTGATGACCACTTTAACTTCCAGTTTAGTACGACCAACCTCCCTGACCAGAGGGATGACTCGGAATGGCAGGATGATGTCTTTAGTGGTGCGGTACCTGCAGGAAGAAGGAGGCGGGGTTAAATCTCTCCAGAAAGCATTTTTACACAGTGAACACTCCTGCAGTTAAAAGATCACCTAAAGCTAGAATGGATCATCAATAAAAAACAAGGTAGCATGCATTTAACAGTTTGCCTCACCAAACGTTTGTTGTCAAAATGTTTATTTTCAAAATAAAGGTTTTAAAACTCCATCTACTGACCTCATGAGCTCATACTCTCCATCAGGGGGGATGAAGCTGATGCTACGCTCTGAGTCAAACTTACTGAGGCGCACGCACTGGTGGAAAGTGCAGTCATCGATGGCTATGGACTGCTTCCCACTGCCAGGAGAAACAAAACATCAGAAACACAGACCACAGAGAGAGACTATTAGTAAGACTTTACTGCAACACAGAAAACTGAACATGGAAATAGAGATAACTACTACTCCCCCTAAGATAATGTCTATATTCGAAAAACAAAAACAAATGCGTGAATACACAATAAAGACACAACTGCCAAGACAAACAAACTAAAATATAAAAATGAGACTACGTGAAAGAAACAAACAAAAAAACAATCACAACCCTGTTAGGTGTTTGGGTCAAACTGAAGTTAAACGTCAAGCAGGAAGGCGTGAGGAAACGGACCAAACCAAAACACAAAGAGGGAAACAACACCGGGCAGAACACTCAAGAATTAACAGGCGTGTTTGATTTGTGTCGTGTATGTGTGTGTGTTTGGGAGCCAAAGTGCATGAGATGTACGGATTCTTAATGTGATTAAAAGGCTCTGACAAGACAGGTGTGATGTTCGGTGCGTATTTTCTTTTTAGTATGTGTCTGTGTTTGTGTGTCTGTGTGCGTTGATATGGCAAAAAGGTGAGGACTCTTGTCAGTACAGTACCTTCCTCCCCCTAAATCACTGAGGTACGGCACATAGAAAAAGAAAGAGAGGGAAAGAAAGGAGAGATGCATCCAAAGGAAAGAAAAATAAAAGAAATTGTAAAGGCTGTCTTGTTGTAAACAGCAAGACAACACTCATAACACAGACACGGGGCTAACAGACAAGGTGGTCTTCAGAATAGAACTACGTCCTTGTCAGGGTTTTCCAGAATGGAAATCAAATAAAAAGTAACATTCACCATTCAAAAAATTAAAAGCAAACTATCTTAACATCCAGACGCCTGTGTTTAAATACACTAGACCTAAGAGCATCAGTTTGTGGTCTGCTGACTCTCCTCCTGTCACTCACCTCTTCCCTGCATCATCAGATGCTCCTCCTTTGCCCTGCTTGTCGATGACGATCTTGTCGTTCATGCCGAACTTGCACTCGGGCATCCCACTCAGGTAGCTCTTCATTACGACTCGGCCTGACACGTGGGCACTGAGGACCTGGCCTGTGGAGGACCAAAGAGAGATTTTCTTGAGTCTTCAAACTAACCAGTGGACCAGTCAGCAGACCTGATTCGTCAATTCTCAAAGACCTACTCCGATGAAAATTATGTTTTTCTTGTTTTTTACATGTTCATATGGTATTTTTCTGATGCTACAGGACAAATCATGAGAGAAATAAGTGCAAAATTGAGTACTGAGTATTTCTGCATTCAAATCACTGTGAATCTCTGGCAGACTCAAACAGCAGGCTCAGATTCAGTGAGATTTCCTACATCACAAATCCAAGCTCCGCCCCCAGAGCCCAGCTATGTAGGCCAGACTCAGAGAAATAGAGGAGACAATCGCAGAGCAAGCGTGTGCGCTAGCGCAGTGGTTCTCAAGTCTAGTCCTCGAGGCCCACTGTCCTGCATGTTTTGGATGTTTCCCTGCTCCAACACACCTGATTCAAATGTTTAGCTCGTTATCAAGCTCTGTAATGGCTTACTAACGAGCTAATCATTTGAATCAGGTGTGTTGGAGCAGGGAAATATCTAAAACATGCAGGACAGTGAGCCTCGAGGACTGGACTTGAGAACCACTGCACTAGCGGATTGTAATGCTCCTAAAAAAGCTAATTATGATATTAGCTTTCATTGTGTCCCTAAAGACATTAGTGTCTGAGAGCTGAATAGTTCCTATGTTACCTGCCAATTCTACTACACTGGCAATGTTAGGCTGCAAGCTAACGTGAAGATGAGTGTGCAGAGCAGTGCTGTCTCCACCCACAACTCAGAGGTAAATTGCTAATGAGCTACTGAAGCTCTGCAGAAGAGAGCCTTTAAGAATGACACAGGTAACATGATTTTGGCTAAGAACGAATCACAATTTGAAGATCACTGAGAACACTTTAAGTAGTAAAAAAAATAAATGATTGCACGGGGACTTTAAGGCATGGAACACACATGTAAACATGCAGAAATGTCAGAAAAAGTGGGACAAGCCATCTGATTTGAATCACTTAGTTTTTCCCTGTCTATCTGGAAAAATATTCGCACAGACCTTGCGGCGACATGAGCAGGTTAACGCTCTCCAGTACATCCAGGAAAAGCTCATTGCGGCGATACTTGATGCCCTCGCGACGCCAGCCGATCTGCCCCGTCACCTGGCTGGTGATCTGAGACTGCTCCTCTTTTGTCTGTGGGACAGGGGGAGAAACTGTATCACTTTGGACAAAGAGAGGAGGCTGACAGGCTGACAATAGAAGGAAAGATATGAAAAAGGAGGTCATTAGCGCTACAGGACAGGGAGACTGATAAATATGACACAACTCCATAGATGGATGAAATTACTTTCCTCAGATAGGATCTCTGTTTATTACCTGGTGCTGAAGTTTGAAGAGTCCAAACCGAGGCAGAGACATTCAGGAGAGAAGCAGAAAAAACAGGATGTTATTCCAAAGCAATTTGGAGTCCATCCCACATAACCACACACTTTGATTTCTGGATTAAGCAAATTAAGTAATAGACAGTTTTTTTTTTCCTTTTTTTTTTTGCACGCAATCTGAGTCACAATGATTACTTAATGCAAATCCAGCATTTTTACTTTCCTGCACAACACATGGACTCAAAGAGGGCGAAGTCAGCTCTTGTCTGACTGTAAGTATGCAACAGTCTCCTTCATAAGCCACTGCCTCTAATGTGTAACATACGACCAATGTCACTCCCACTCACTGTCAGTGTGGATATAATTAAATCCCACTGTCAGCTACTGCAGGTCTACAGTATTTGAAAGCTGCTACTTACAACGCTGAAGGCATTGGAACTTGTCTGATAAAAATGTTCATCTATCCATAGAAGTTCAACTTTGAGGTTATGAGTTCGACTGAGAGGTGTGCTAAATTAAGTCTAACCTCACAGGTCAACATAGGGTCTATAAATAATTAAATACACTTTGAAAGGCCCTCTAACTGCAGCCCCCAAAATCTCCATTAAATTTTAATCAACATCTTTTAAAAACCTTCTTCTAATCCAAATGTCATGGGGATCTTAGCTTGGTGTTCTTGATAAAGTGTAGCCCGCTAATCTCTGGAGTGGAAAGCAAACTTGACTGGCTGACCTGTCCCTTAATGCCCTGCTGGGTGATGAAAGTCTTCAGAGCTCCGGTCTCTGAGTTCTGGGGGTAGCCAAAGTCCAGGATTTCTGGATGAAAACAAACAGATAAGGTATGAGATAAGTGGGAATACGAGAAAAAAGTGGAACAAACTCTTTAATCGGAAGGATGAAGTGGGTATTTTTCTCTAGACTCTCTAAACCTGGGTGTGACATTTAAAGCTGTTATGAAGATCAAACTTTATTTATACAGCACTTTTCAGGCAAAAAAAAAATGAAATTTAAACAAAAAAAGACGTACAGATGCATTTCACAGCAGACCGCTCCTATGCCAAGGTTAGCTTCTTAAAGCTAGATTGGCTTATGATTTTGCTATATGTGGCTTTGACTTACAGGAGCAGTCAGCACCTAACCTGTTCTTCCATATAAAATGACATCAAATATGACTAATACTGCGTTCGAGTTACCTTGTAAGTCAGAAGTCCAAGTTGAAAATTATATTCGGACAAGGCAAGCGCTAAAATAACTTTTGTAAATGTAGCCATCTTGTTTCCACCTCTGATTTTGCTTATTTTCAACTTGGTAACTGAGACGCTGGGAATTCGGGTGTGACGTCATTTTCAGCTCCGACATCTGACTTCCGAGGTAACTCGAATGCAGCATTAGTGCCTCCTACTATTATGTTTTAAATAACTGAAATTTCAATTTTAAACAAAATATTTGAAAGTCCATTATTTTGAAATACCTACATCAAACTGCTAATATCTTACAATCATGACAAAGACTGAGTTCTCCCAGAAATAAAAAGCTATGTCTCCTACCATCCAGCAGCTCGTAGATGAGCACAAAGTTGTTCTTGATGTTCTCCTCGCTGATCTTGCCAAAGTATGCCGTCATGACGTCACACATCTTGTAGAGGAACTCGAACACCATGGCGGCGTTGACATTCTGCTTGGTGACGGCTGCCAACCAGATGTTGGAACGCTTGACGTGGAAAAAGCTGGTGCGGGCAATGTTTGTCACCGGGGATCGCACCTGCTGCCTGGCGTGGATCACGTTCACGCGGAACGCATCCACCGCATTGCGCCTGGAATGAGAACACGGGCAGAAGAGGGGGAGACAGGGCGAGCGAGAGAGAGAGAGAGGGAAAGAGAGAGAGAGAAGGAGAGATGTTTATTTTGGGTGTTGAAACATTTATTTCCCATTACATTGACAAATCCTTTCACACTTTCCCACCCCTGTGACGTCCTGGGAAGAAATTTGGGACCCAGCTCTGCAAATAACCCTTCACACATCAAAATTACTCAACATCCCACCATTTCCAAAACAGCAATTACCAAAACATTTTTCCAGCTTGTGTTGGCGCATTTTGGAAAGAGAAAAAAAACGTGTTGTGCAAATAAAGATAATTAGGGTAGAGGGGAACTCTCGACAGTATCATAACCAACACAATTACATGGAAACTAAACCTTTTTAACTACATACAGCTGAAGAGTCTCAATCTGGGCTTTCACCTTTTGAAGATTTCTTTCAGATTGAATTTGATTAAATCTTTAAAAACATTCTCATAAAAGTGCCGGAAAAGGTCGGCACAGTTTGTTGAATAACTAATGAGATTCTGTCTGCTAAACAATCATCTAAAATATTGACATAAATCTTCCTCTAGTTTACAAATCAACCATACTAATACACATTCATTAAGTCTTCTTTTCTTTGAATCAATGATTCTTTTCCCCACATTTGCCCTCAATCCCACCCGATTTCAATTACAGTCTGTGGCTCTACTCCAAAATAAAGTTACCCATAAACGTTAACTCGAACAATGACAAAGATCACGTCTTTTTCTGTGAATATCAGGGTGGAGTCAACAGTTTAGAGGACTTCATGAACCAACATACTCCATGCTCAGACTACATGCTTAAGCACAAGTAGAGCTGTTTTTTTCTGGCATCTCTTTGAGGCTCTCGTGGCTGGATGTTTTGGCATTGATTGGTTGGCTATGGCATCTTAGCTCGGTGGATTATTTACCACTCTAATGTCATGACAAGTGACTCATGCTTGGAGGAAGTATCTGGAAAGTCGATGTGGAATCAATGGGCATGCAGTCGGAGGTTTTCAGAGGGGGTTGTTGGTTGGTGGTGGCCATGAGAAGGGGGTGGGGGGTCATGCTTTGATAGGCTGGAGTATCTCTTACCTATTCCTACAGGGGGGCCAAGATGGACAGATGGAGGAAAAATGGTGATACAGAGGATAGAGAGGAAACAAAGGATGAAGTAAAAGGAGAGGAGAGAGACAAAAATGCACAAGAGACATTTTCGTGCTTCATGTACACAGACAGAGTGAGTAACATGGTGTGTAGAATGGCGCCATCACTGAAACTGGATGTTAGGGAGGAAGTCCGCAGCTTGACACCGCCTTTCACTCCAGGAATTGTTGTATTAAAGTTGCAACAGCTTCATTTATTATTTATCCAGCTTTGTTAATATGAGATCGGTGAGACAAGAGCTGTCAACAAGGCCCCTGTGGACCCTGCCCTTCATTCTGGGGTTGTCCCAGACTGACCCCCAGTCTCGTTTCTTTGGCTTCTCTTACTGTTGTGATATTTAGCACTACTGAATAACTGCAGTGATACATATATTTACAGATTTGTATTACCACAGCACTGCACAGGACATGAAGATAATTCATTTGTTGTTCATGAATCCCTGTTTTCACTGAGTTCTAATTTAACGGTGCTGAGTACATTTTTAGGATACTTGAAAGTGTACGAACACATGCTTCATTACATTTACATGGAAGTTTTTGCATGATTACTAGCAAATCATCTTTCCCCTTTTATCCTCAAGCAGTTGAACCCATGAGTGATGCCTCACTAGAGATGGGACTCGAGAACCAGTTCTTGTTGAGAACCGGTTCAATCCCAATGGTTCAATCCATCGACATTGTTTACATTTCATTTTAATGATTCCCGTAATGATTCCTTTCTTCCGGGTGCTTTGGAAAACAGTCTTGTGAGAGGCAGTCTAAGTGAACAAGAACAGAGACTTTGAGGGAAAAAACATGGTGGATGGTACAAAAAGAAGGCAGAAACGATCTAAAGCTTCATTTTACTAAGAAAGACGACAACGAGTCTTGTATGGGAGTTTTGAGTTTGTGTAGCGTGGACTAAATGAGTCAGAAAAACCCTCAAAATTTTGTGCACGACTCAACCCCATGATGCTGTGTCCTCTTTTTGGAGATCCAGAGTATGGTCACCTAAATTTGACTGAAAACGGACCAAGTAAATGTTGTATGAATGGTTTGTCGTTGAATTATTTTCTTTTCTTTTTCTGCTATCAAAGACTTAATAAAATTTTGAGATAACAGTGAAAACCTATAGTCTACTTTTTAAAAAAAAAATCAAAGAAAGGCATTGATAAGACAATCGTTAATTGATAAGCAGAATCTTTAATGGCAACGATATCGATAAAATCGTATCAATTCTCATCCCTATGCTACACTGTCTAAGTTCCTGGTTGAAGGCTGTATCTGACAAAGCTCTGGGAGGAGTCAATGACCACTATACTCCTGTATCAATCCAAGGAACCTGCATGTCAGCACAAAAAAACAGCCAAATGGTCGGGAAAGGGGAACTGGGATTGAGTAATAGGCTAAAATGTTGTAACGAAGCATAAAGGGGAAATATGTAAACGCAACATGTAAATATTATGGTTTCTGCTGAGCATAGTAAGAGAACTGTCAGAGTCTCACACACTGTGTTCATTTCCTTCCTTCATAGAAAAAAAAAAAACTGTGCACTAAAATCAAAAGGAGTGTTGATAAATTCACTATAATGACAGAAGTAATTGCAGCCTGGAAGCAGGACAAAACATTGAACAGATCCGTGTAGACATTAGCTTGTCTGTCATTGAAACACACCTCCTGATCTCACAGTAATCTAATTCAAACAGTGTCTGATTCTGTCTCTGCAGCACAGTCAGCTGTGATGCAACACTAAATGTCTCTATGACGTCACTGGCATACTTACCTCTGTCTGCCTGTTATTTGTTGTTTTCTTTGCGTCTCTTATCCTACAACTACAACAAAAAACTGTCTGAGAGATATAGTGTAATAATCACTCCACCCTCAGTCCTGTTGTGTACCTGCGCAACTTACTCTGGGAAACTAGTTTCTAACATGTGCTTTCTCTAATTTGAGAGAGCCTACCTTCAACTTGGTTACAAAGGATGGTTAAGTGTAAACAAAACAGAACGTGACGATTGGATGTAAGCATGGAGACCTACTTTACAGATGATTTAGATTAGTACAAACAAACAAACAAGTAAACAAGAAAGAGGAAAAGAAAAGAGAAAACAGAGCTGAGTTCCCCTCCATAACATACCCATAATAACCCTGTGTGGTTCTATGTGAGTTTCTGTGGGGGGCTTTAGCCTCATACATGATGAGTATCAAAACTTGACCCACATTTTTCACAATGTGGTTTGCAACATTGGACTAAAGTTCTTGCCCGTCAGTCCCAGTCTGACTCAGCCATGCATCTCAGTAGGCAGGATATTTCCATTTCAAAACAAACAAACAAGCCTGTGTCTACAGCAGCTTTTTATGGCCTTCTTCTCCCTTAGCATTTTTTGGGTTCAAGACTGCAAAACAAATCGTTCTTATATACTTTTTAAGCTTCTTTGGGCATTTCTAGCTGATAAATACATACCTCACTTTAGGGTCTTCTGTCACATTCGCAGAAAGGCTTTGCTTTAACCCTGGCACGAAAAACTAAAGGTTGTCCAGATTGAAACAGGATCTCAATTGCATCATTTGGAAGGGGTTTTCATACAGCTGCACCCAATCTTTAAAATACAGGGTGTGGTTTGTTGAGCATGAGTGAACTGAACCATTACCTTGTATTACATTGAGAAAACTCCATGAGGTCATTACTGTCACTTGTACTTGTCTTTAACCTGTGCATAGAGTCTTTGTGCTCATGCTAATCTATGCCAATTTCACTCTAAATAATACTGTTCTTCTATGGTGGCATTTTCCCTGATGTAGTTTTAGCTTAACTATATTTAAACCATTTATCACAGGAGGTAAAAAAAAGAAAAAACAAACAGAAAAATGTTAACTACTTGGCTGGAAAAAGAGACATAATCCTCTCTTATCCTCTGAGAATAAGTCCCAATCTGTTCATCCCCCATGGGATCAGGACATTTTCACACACACTAACCCTAACGTTAGAGTCCCCTGAAGTTTAAAATGTGGAAAAGAGGTTTCTCGCTGCGAGACATACCCTATGTCATCTCGGTAGACCCTGGAGATGAGGACCTCCCCCTTGTGGTTGTAGATGAACAATCCTCCAATCATTGTGGCTGCTTCTCAGTCCCAACTGGCCATGGTGGAACCAAACCCCGCCTGAAAGGGGATAGAAATGAGCAAAGGATGGCAGGAAGGAAGTAAGGAAAGGAAAGAGGGGGGTGAAGGAGAAGTGAAAGCAGTGAAATGTGAGAGTGACCATCAGTACAGGGAGCCGCTTGTCCCTCACATCCGCTTTCTCTGTATCTTCTTTTCTCTCGCGCACACATCACTCTACTGCCAACTGAATGAACCCTGCAGCTGCCCCGAGGTGGTGACTCATTTTTGAAGCGAGTATGTGCATACAAATACATGCTAAATATCACTGCAATACAGGCTAAAACGGCTTCACCACCCTCACAGCCAATTCCTTGTTTCCTTCCGAAGAAAGATTAACACCAGATTAGCAGCCTCCAGCTATCAGCAGGATGCAGTCAGGTACCTAGTTACAAATCTGTTCATCTGACTGGGTTGCATTTTACTACCAGATGCATTTAAGCTTTACTTAAAATTCAAAGTGGGGTCAGTGAAAATCATCTACAAACATTAAATGTGTTTGGTAGTTAGCTATGAATGCTTATTGTTCAACCCCCTCCTTAAAATCATGGTTTTCTTCCATTCAATGATGAAGCTTCTGGAAACCGAAGGGATGAAGGACATGCTTGAAATTCCTGGAAGACAGAGGCCAGACATCTCCAACACACTCAGAGAACTCATGTAACCACATCATATTAACGGGATTACTGAGATAATTTCCTCATGTTAACACTGACAGTCGTGACCGAATAAACCGGTTAAAGACCCGAGCGGGTTTAATCTCTCGTTTTATTGGCCGAAGTCAAGATGTCTGCTCGCTCGGGCCATTTCCAACCGTTCATGAATTTGTCGTCTTTCTTTATTCGTTTCTTTACCGGTGAGTGAATGAGATGCCTGGGCCGGTATATTTGGCGTTTGGCTACCGCAATGATGGAGCCTTGACCTTCAGGTAGGATCAAAGTGATGGAGAATACACCGAGTGACGGATAGCTAGCTAATTTAGCTTCGACGGCAGTTAGATGGCGGTGAAACCAGCGTCAACCCGTGCGGACTTTTAATGTGACTTCCGGCGAAGTGTTATCAGACTATTTGAGGAGACGTTCACAGCCAACTCATACAGCTCTAGCCAAAATTGGACTTAAAATATAAACATTTAAAGTAAAGATTCAACGATATCAACAGACTATTTTAAACAAAAGTTTAGAAACTAAAAACTTTTATTTTGAAGGAGACGAGTCGCCCACTTTCCGTTTTCACACTGGCTGCCGCTGCTAACTTGACGGTTGCTAACCGAGCGGCGGCTAACATGGCTAATGTTAGCATTGACCCCGATTGCAACGGTTCCACCGGCTGTTCGAAAACGGTGAACGGACTGTAATGAATTTGATACGAAATATGCTCCAATGCGAACTTTATTGAGCTTACCCTTCTTCTCTCACGAAAGCCACCGGTCTGTCGCTCCCGGTTTTTGCTTTGGATATAGCCGATGTTAGGATCCGGTAGGTTCCCAGTCCACACACCCGCTAATTCCGCTCCTTCCTTCTGGTCCTCTGATAGCTGCTGTCAGCTGACCCGCCGTCCTTACGCACCACCGTTCCGCTGTGACAGGAAAAGGCGCGGCTGGAGCGATGTAGAAACCGCACCCAGGCCGTATTATGATAAGCTACAGAGGCTACTGATCAGTTATTGCCCCTTTTAAAGGTAGTGTATTGTTAGTGTAGTTTATGTCACTGTTCAAGTCAGCGCACAGGGCTACTTGTCGTGTTAAGATGTCTTAACATCATGTTGGCACGCGTCCCGAGGAATCATCTTATATCCTTTTGGGAAACTTTTCCACCCCCAGTTAGTGGCGGAACTACACTTTTTTTTTGTCTGGAGTGGCTGAACCGTTGAGTTAAATCCTGTAATCATACAGAGATAAAATATGGATATAATATAGATACAGATATCATTAAAGTAAAAAGAAATAAAGAAATAAACACTCAAAATATATCAGTTTGTGTGTGATGATTTATATAATTCGAATATCATATATATATATATATATATATATATATATATATATATATATATATAGTTTAGACACACCTCATTCAATGTCTTTTCTTTATTTTTATAGGACTATTTACATTGTAGATTATCACTGAAGGCATCAAAACTATGAATGAACAAATCTGAAATTTGAAATTTGTACTTATAAAAAAATGTGAAATAACTGAAAACATGTTTTATATTCTAGTTTCTTTAAAGTAGCCACCCTTTGCTCTTGATGACAGAAGTACTTAGTGACTGACTCTGCCAGTCACAATGTAACCCCGACACGGCACACCTGTGAAGTAAAAACCATTTCAGGTGACTACCTCATGAAGCTCATTGAGAGAACAGCAAAAGTTTGCAGCGCTATCAAAACAGCTACATCAGTGGCTGCTTTGAGGAATCTAAAATATAATACATGTTTTCAGTTCACTTTTCACTTTTTTCTTAAGCACATGATTCAACACGTGTTCATTCATAGTTTTGATGCCTTCACTGAGAATATACAATTTAAATAGTAATGAGAATAAAGAAAATGCATTGAATGTTGGAACTGAACCCAAACAGTTTATTTAAATAGCCAATTATGATGTAGGGCTTCAGGGTAAAAATTGGGATAGCCATGGCTACCCCCACTTACTCTGCCACTGGCTCCATAGGTAGAAAACTGCTCTCAAACTACTTTTGCGTATAGTCAGGTGTAACTATGACTTGATCCTAAAAGTTTTTAAAAAGTTTGGCCACTAGAAAGGTGTCATTTTCATGATGGCATCCATGATAGGTAGGACAGGTAGGGCTTCCAACCCATCATGGACCCATCAAGACACCTTCATGGCGGTCAAACTTTGGTTAACTTTTAGTATGTTATTGAGGACATCTAATTATATTAAAAGACAGTTGAGAAACCTTTTGTTAGAAAGGTTAGGTGTTTTTTTTAGATGCACCCTCCTACTACAATAAATCAGGGTTGAAAAAATAGAGGTTACATAAGTCCATTGAACTGTTGGTATGTGGTTGTAATGTTTTACTGTTTACTGCCGAGTCCATCTGATTTAACCCTTTAATTCCAATTTTCTACAGGTAGAATCAGTTTTTCTTCCCTGCCAAACCATAGGAACATGAAGCACTGGGTCAGTCGAGTCTGAGGCAACTCTAAATGCACACACAGGCTAATCCTTTTGCTCACAGCCCCAGCCCACACATGCACGCACACACACATCTGTGCACCAGATTGCTCAACCCTTGCATTCCCTTGGACTGTCTGGATTCCACTGCCTTTAAATGCAAATATGACCTTGGGTATCATGAAGGAAAATAAACAAACTAGGCTGCAACTTTTTGCTTCATACACACATGGATTCACACACACAGACACAAAAAAACCCCATAAAGCAGCAGATTTAAGTCATAAAACTATATTTATAAATAAAAACACATTTTTCCTTGATAAGAGTAGTGTGAAAGACATGGTAAGAAACTTTTTTCACTATACATTGTCACAACACAGAGTCAGAAAATGCTCTGGTTTACAGATGAAAATGCAGTTATGTCGTGTAAAAATGACTCTTCAAGCTGGATGTTCATGTTTAGCGTTGATTAATGAAACTATCTGTGGACAACTACATATATAATAAAACAAATGCATTCTGACAGTAAAGACTGATTCTTTTGCACTACATACATTTTTTTCATGTCATTCTCCCAAGTAAAGCAAACAGTCAAAAAGTCTGAACGTAGTTAAAAAGAGTTCGTTTCAGCTTTCTTTTAGTTTTCTTAGTTAGAGGTCAATGGATTGAAAGAAGAGGAGGGAAGAGGCTTCTTTCTCTCAGTTTGTGGTAAGCATGGGAGGGGGAGGACAGAGAAAGTTAGATAAGGAAGGCAGAGAGGAGGGAAGAGTGAGGAGAAGAGCAAATGAAAAACATCCATGTAGCAAAGCGCTGAGTCATCTTCCCTAGCTGTCTGTTTCCACCGCTTCCCTCCCTCTCTTGTTCTTTTGTCCTCATGCAAACTCTTCCCCACTGAGAAGAGGAAACAGAGAGAGGCGCTTTGGTTCCATCTTGAGTAAGGGGGGTTTTCTTCACTGAAGAAAGTATGGCCACTACTACTAGGAAGAAAAGCCTGAGAGAGGAGGAACATTTTCTCTCAACACACACACAACATGGTTTCCATTTCTGGTTTTAGAGAAGTTGAATCAAGGGCTTGGGTTACAGCTTTTGCAATCTGCCCTCCTTCCTGTCTTTTCATGCTGTCCTACTCTGCCTCACAAAAGCACTACAAGGTCCTTTCTGCTACTTTGTTATCATCCTACAGCCTGGGTTACATTACGTCAACGAAGAATTCTCCGGCATTTCCCACTGCCATGCGCAGGGACTGGCGTGAGGCAGTGAGCTCTGGTGGTACAGAGGCAAGCTCTCGCCCTGGAGGTGCACCGGGTGCTGCTGTAGACAGATGTTGGGGCTGGGGAGGCAGGCCAGGGGGGCCGTAAACAAGGCCTGGACCGTAGGCTATTAGGTGTGAGTTGGCACTGCGGTGGCTGACAGAGCTACGGACACTTCGCTCACTTGGGGGAGCTGCTGAGCGCTCACTGGGAGCTCGGTGGCTCCTTATCTCAGTTTCACTGCCGCTGCCGCCAGATTTCCGCCCCTCGTTCTTACTGCAGTTGGAACCGCTGCTTCCTGTAGACAGAGGGAAAAATGCATTATAATCAGAACTTTAAGTTCAAAAAATTAATGGATCTTAGTTTAAATTAACTGAATTTGCAACTTATTTGGCTTTGAATGAAAGTGAAATGATGCAGGAAACGCTGACCCAGTTTGAGGGAAATTCTCCTGAGAGCTGCATGACTAATGCAGACATGGTCACTGAGCAATCACTGCCTCCCACTGGCTGAAATGCCTAGCCAAAGGCAACTGCACCTTTGTCATTATGTTACTAGAAACGGCCTGTCTACTTCTGAAGCTCGGCCCTCAGTCTGCTGATAAGACTGAAACTGTTTTTATCTCCAAAAGAGCAGTCCGACATTTTCAAAAGCGTGCGTGTTCACATTGAACCAACAGATATGTCAAAACATTTAAACTCTCTGTATCTTTTTGAAAAGTAGGTCTGGGACGAGCTTAGGATCAGAACTTAGAGCTACTGAAAACCTACGGACAGCTCCAAATGTTGCTCCACATTCTTCCTCTTTCTGTGAGTAAACCTTTTAGGACTATGTTCAGTGCTGGCATGCAACCACTAAATGAGGACAGGACGTCTGGGGTACTCAGTGCAGTCAGTGAGCCCAGCTGTTGTGAGTCAGTAAATATCTCTGTTATGTAAGCAAACAGCTCCTCAAACCACAATGTCTGGTTCTCTAATCCCACTCATTTAAAGCACATATTGAACAGGTAAAAACAGTGCTGGGACTACTGGGAGGACAAAAACTCACTTTACAGAAAAAGGGATGTTTTCTCAAAGTCTTTGAAGTGAGTTAAGCATGCACTCAAATCTTGAATGTGGACATAAAATGTGATACTTTCTCTTGACTGTGAGAAGACAAAATATTAAACAAGTAGTAGTCCTTTAAACCTCTCTGCAAAGCGATTCATCAATCAAAATTTCTATGGCTTGGAAAGAGGTTAAGAAAGCTTTGCAGTTTGTTGTTTCAGGAACCAAATAGTCAGAGTTTAGATGGATTCACTACAGACAGAATAATTCAACAATGCATTTGGATTTTTTTTGTTTCGGAGAGTTGTGGCAACAAACTATGAACCAAAGTGTTTTCAGTTTGCAGGTGGAAGGAAAGAATCCACAACCACAAGATAAATTGCAGTATTTCCTCTCATCACTCACCGCTATGCTGGCTCCCTGCACTGCCAGGTGTTGGTCCTCCGTGGAAGGGCTGTGGGAGGTCATATGGGTGTGGAATGGGGAACTGGTAGGGTAGGGCCATGGGCCAGGGAGCTGCCCCTGGATGTGGCAGAGGGGGCAGGGTGTCCTGATCTGAGGCACCCCCACTGGAACCGTCATGGTCATGAATAGACAGGTGGGTCATGTCTGAGGGAGAAAAGAAAAGAAAGAAAGAAAGAAAGAGCTGATGAAGACGAATAAATGATTAAGCATCAGAAAAAGCTCATTGTTTTGATTTATCAGGGCCAGTTATAGCTGGCTGCCGTAGAATGGAGTGTCCACCCACTGCCACAGAGGTCTCCAAAGATGTAGTAACACTGCTCAGAAAAGGTGATCTTGTTAACGGTGTGTCGGATGTAGCCGGCCTTGAGAAGGTTGCTGGCGTATTTGCGAGCTTCTCTGCGATCTGAGAACCCTTCGACATGATGGAAGAGCCAGTCCACCACATCAGAGCCTGAAGACACAGTCAGAAACACAGATTCACAGATTAGGATTATTTATTTATCATATTCCAAAGACTTCTTATAAAACCCCCGCTAATGATTTTAAGTACTTCACATGTGACTTATTGGTGCGTTGCCTACTTTCGAATATTTACAGAACTGTTTTTATTATTAACAAACTCAAAAAGGCCTCCCATTTTTACCCATGAAAACTAATTTGGATTTTTACAACCAAGCAAGAGGCTTTGAGAAATCTCTGCAGCCATGATAAAACAAAACTGATGGTTTGCACTGATTGGACTGATCAAATGAAGTGCAGAAGTGAGCGTGCAGATGGGTCTAATAAAGGCTCAGCCGCGGCCTCTGCTCGACCAGACGTACCAATAAAGGCATTTGCGATGGTTATCTTTAGCCACATCCTGTCTCGCACCTCCAGACCTGACTCTGGGCAGGCCATAGCCTTAGCAACTGTTGCCATGTCGCTGTGGATGGAAAGGTGGAAGTCATCGAATCCTGGAAAACAGAAAAGAGTACTTGGTCAAATTACCGCAGGAGTTGAACCGCGTCCTCTCAGGAGGGCTGACTCAGTTTTAGATCTCTCTGAGAATGGCATGAGTTCACCACAACAACAACGGTTTCCAAAACAATTAGGGTATTATTTTTTCAAAAACCAAAAGCGTTCAAGAGATTTTGGAACCGATCTTAATGAAAGCACAAGTCTGCGCCATTGCCGAATCTGGACAAGTCCAAAAATGTTGGTCCGATGTGGAATTTTACCTCAGATAATATTTGGTTTCTTGCGGTCTGGACTGTAATCTGACCTCTGTGTGGTTCTGATCATGAATCTGGATCTTGTATGAACTATTGGACCAAAACTGAGCTGTTTTCGAACCCTCCCTGATCATGTTTAAAGAAATGTTCTCCCTGGATAAGTATTGTGTCATTGCTTATCTTCTCATTTCAAAATACACTGTTTCTCATATCAAACGCTGTAATCTACCTTTGGGTGTTCCTAATCTGCTTTCATCTATCTGCCTCAACCTCTGTATTATGATGTTCTTGATTTGGCAGAAGAAGCTGCTTAAATCATCCCTGCATTTTTAAAAACGGTGTGATTTTCTTTGAGATTTGACCTACCTCAAATTTAAAAGGTTGCTGCATTTCATAAACACCTCTCACATTAACCTGACCTATCTTTGGTGTTTTAGAAGAGGCCGGCTATTTGTAAATCCTGGCACTATCACTTTATTCGAACCACTGTCTTTGTAGAAGCTGCTGACCTTGCTTTGTCCATTACAGACTTACCTCTACATAATGGCTGAACACTCATTTAAAATAAGAGCAAACAAAGCCTCACATTGTAACAACAGCAGTACAATGATAACAGGCATCACTGTAGCTGCACTGGAAAAAAAGCTCTTCACATAAATTCAGTTAACCCAAAGTATTTAAAAACAACTCCACTCCGGCAATTACAAGAAACATATGATCTGTTTGAGAGGAAAATCCCCGAAAATGTGGATCGTATCATACCGTTCGAGAAGGTGTGCTGAGTGGAAAGATTTATCTCAAAAAGAAAAGAAAGACATCAGTGTCCCACAAGATTACAGGGGTATGAAGGTTGTGAGTTATGGCCTCGTTTTGACAAGAGTTATTGAGCAGATGGAAGTTGTGAGCCTCGACACCAAAAAAAGCTGGAACAGACAGCCGTCCCAGGAATGCAGGGAAAGGGCAGGGCTACACTTAACACAGAGATTTACTCACAAGTCTCAGGGAGATACTGGCATTGCTGAAGTTTTTTAAAAAGAAGAGGGTGGGGCTCCCACAGGAGTGTTGAAAGAAATATCTACAATCTTGGCAGACTTAGCAAAAAAATATTGATTTTGTATTGGTTTCAATGCCTCATTAAAAAGAAAATTGAGAGAAAATGATAGAAAAAGAAGTATATCAAGAAAATGTCATGAAGAGGGATGCAAAGATGTGCTCTGTTTGAATGTGAGCTGTTGTTGAAGTGCTCTGATAACAAACTGTAACAGCAGGTGGCGATGTGACTCACGTTCAGTCTCTGGGATAGAGCTGCTGATTGAGGAGCTGGTGGAGGTAACGGTGCTCATGGAAGGGCTCATGCCATACGCAGGGTAAACCCCTGTCATAGCAGCTGTGTGGGACACCCATGCAGCTGGGTCAATGGGCCGGATTGGCTCACCTGTTAAATTAAACATTGGATATGTGATAACGGTCGGGTGATCTTACCCAGGCCACAGTCACACACAAAAATACACGGTGACGCATTTCTCACGGCTCATCAGGAAAGACAGAGTAAGACTCACTTCTGGGCAGAGCAAAGCAGCTCCGAGGATTTGGGTCCCAACACTTGGCCACAGTCAGAGTAATAGGGCTGTTCGAAAGCACAAACACAAACAAATAGTCTCATTTACTGTATCCTCTGTATTATGGAGTAGAATTTCTTTTACCATCTCAAAATAAAATAGCAATGCAGGTATTTCTAATTGCTGCTTACCCTGGTTTGTGCACTATGTCCCTCAGGACTCGAACTGCATCATCGTTGCTCATGTTCTCAAAGTTGATGTCATTCACCTACAGGGAGACAGAGTTCTGGTTGTCAACATGTATTTGAACAAAATATGATTCAATATGACATCAAATCACAAAAGAAATGAAATAAGTCAAATTCAATAAAAGCTTAAACTCTAAGCTGTTGTAGTGGGACATCAGCTGTGATCATCCTGCAGCTGCTTTCTACATACGGATGACTGAGAGCGAGCTTAGAGCCATGTACGTGGTATGACTATTCAAATAGGCTGAGGTGTCGCCTGATAACAACACTCTTGAGTTGAGAAGTAGGAAAAGCTGACGGGATAGAAAAGTGTGGATGAGCCAGTCAAGGGTTTATCTCCTTCAGAAGAAATCCTTAGTTACTGTAGAACCAAATGAAGCCTTTAATCCCTGGATTTATCCATACTAGGAGGCACTGGACTTTGACAGCATTACAGTTGCTCTGACTAATCCCTCACTATAAAGCCAAATGTTGGACTAGTCATGTTCAACGTGGCAAGATTTGTCAAAATGTAGTGTTTTTCTAAAGCATAAAACACAAAATGACCATTTCAACGGCAGACTCACCATCCTGCCATACTGCAGAACAGTATGGTAAATGAATATCATGTGGTTAAGATTACACAGAGGAGAAGGGTGATGATAACAATTTATAAAAAAAAGTAATGTATGAAATATTGTGGACAGAAAGAGGAGAGTGCTGCACTGGGTTTGGTCGTAATTGGGAATTGTTTGAGGATGAAGGGCAAAAAGCCATCGTCATCACAGTTCGAACTAAAAATCGGAGGCGTTTTGATGCATTACAAAAACCTTTCAATAAAGAGAATGATCAAATTATTTCAAAGATCTTAAACTTATTACTTATTACTGTGTGGTGGATGATGAAACATGTAACAGACATCTGATTTTATTCAAAAGAAAACTGCTTTTAATTGGTCACACATTATTAAGTGTGACCAATAACTTTGTGAAAACATTCCCTGGTCCAAGTCTTAGGAATGCACAAACACGCTTTCAACACTGTGTGTGTCTGTGTAAGTGTGTCTCAATCTCTGTCATACACACAGACCTGTAAGAGCATGTCCCCCGGCTCTATGCGTCCATCTGCAGCTACAGCTCCTCCCTTCATGATGGAGCCGATGTAGATCCCTCCATCTCCCCTCTCATTACTCTGACCGACAATACTGATGCCCAAGAAGTTGTACTTCTCTGTGAGGACGAGAGCAGCAGAGACAGACATACGATTAGTCAAGACAGAGAAGAAAATTGAGGCCAGAGTCAACGTGGAGCCAATCAGTAACATCTGCAGAGCATCCCGTCTTCTTCAGGGCATTTTAAAACGGAGTCTTGGTGCGTAGCTGGACGCTTTCTTACAAACAAACAGAGACTCTATTCATCCCAACATGTGTGACTGCTTTCCATGCAGAGATTTGAAATGTTCAGGTTACTTACCCATGTTAAGAGTGACAGTGATGATGTTCAGAGACATGGTGGAATCTGTGATGCTGCTGAAGGAGGAGGACTGGGTGGAAGGAAAAAAAAAATTAAAATTAGACTCAGAAAAGTGTCCAGTTGTCTTAATTGTTTGAGTGGTGTAGCGGTCTCACCCTGTCCATATTGGAAGCCTTAGGTTTCCGTCGGCGACGGCGGTGTCGTCTCATTAGACGAGAGGAGCTCTGCTCAGTGGAGCTGCTAAATCTGGACAAAAGATCAGAAAAACAGACCTGAAACCACAAACTATATACAAATTTGAGTAATAGATATTTCAGTAAAGATCATGTTCTGCTAGAAAAAAAGAAATTTTTTTTTTTAAGTTCAGTTTTTATGATATGCTTCTACTGTTTACCTTCTTTAAAATAAAAAAGTCAAATTTGAATGAAACAATATGTGTGAAAATTAACCACTTACTGCAACACCATTATAAAGCACAAACTACCTGGAGTCAATCAGATGGATGATGGGTCTGCTTATTATACTTTTGATCTGTTTGTTTTCAGTGACATACTTGCATGCTCAGTTAAAGATCTTGTTGCCTTTGGATTTTACACTCTGTGACACCACATTTTGGCTGAATGACAGTCATTTTAAATTTCTACTTTATTCACAATCACTCCAGTCACCCTGTTTCTCCATCTTTCAGCCTCTTGACACTTCAGCAAAGAGTCAGAGCTAGCCTCAGTCATAAATGCACTGTATACTGATTCATGATTTTATTGCCAAACCCTAAATACAAAATTATTCCATTATTATTCCGATGTATTTTGAGGAATAAAACAATCTCGTAAAATCAGGCTCAGTTTGATACAAGACCTCCCCCTCGATGATGATAATAAGAAACTTTTATTGCTGTTTCTGCCAGGAGCCAGGATCAGCTTTAACTGCCAATAAAATGGCATAAACCCAGAAATCTTCTAATAATTACCTGACTGACAAACACAGAAAGTTTATTCAGGTATAAATCATTTATTTCTGGATTGTAAAGCAGCTTGTAAACACAAGGAAGCTTCAGTTCCGATCTATTAAAGCTGTGTCCACAGGAAAAAACATCCTGAAGACAGAGAGCAGCATCAGAGTCTCTTTAGTGGGCTGCAGATTCTTCTACTTTCCTGGAGGTGAACTCAAGGGGGTAACCACAAAAACCATCAGACTACAGGATTGTACTTGTCTGTGCCAAGAACCATTAACTATAAATCCAGATGCTTTACTCTGAAGCAGAAAGTCTAATGTGTAAATGTTGACCACCCTCATGAAGAACTTTAACAGCTCCACTGACCTGCTGGTTGCATCATCGTCCTCTGAATCAAAGCAGGAAGTAGACTCCAGTTCGCTACTCATGAAGGATGAGCAGCTGTCGTACTCAGGCCCTCCTCGCCCCGCTGGCCGGGATGAGAAACCGTTCTGCCTTCCACCTGCGGGTGACAGCGGTATGATCAAGAAGAGGCATACATACAAGAGACAAGTGAAATATGTGTGTTTTGTCGTGATGGAAGAGAACAGAGATTACTACAACAGAGATTAAGGCAAATAAATGACAAATTTTTCATTTCCAATGATCGTCCCATGATCATTAGAGGGCCCTCTATATATATATGTATAGGGGTGTCCCAATACAACTTTTTAACTTCCTATACGATACAGATATTGTAGTCTTTAGTACTGGCCGATACCGATATTGATCCGATATTGGCACAAACTTGTACATGACAAGTTTTGCACTCAGCTGCAACGTCTTTTTTGGACTTAAACAAAAATACTGCTACATCACTCTCACTCCTTGCTACTTTGTTAGTACCTCAGTACACACTGTTGTTGTGATCATGTGGACTCTGCATGCTAGATCCGGGCACTGCTAGATAGAAGTGCTGGAGTGGAGTCTGGAATGGAATGCTTGTATCCAAATTGTGATATCGGAGATTTTAGATGCTTTATTTTTTGGCTGATATCGGACCAATATTAATATCGATCGGGACATCCCTACATAGGACTATAGAGGACCATTTTCATTTCTAATCCCTGCCATTAAAGCGTGTCCCCCATGTCGAGGCTTCAGTCGTAGACGCCACGGTCCCTAGTTTTGGCTCCCTTTGCCCACTTATTTTGTTGATAAATACAAAAAGGTAAAATCTTTTTTTGCCTACAACAGAAATGGCTGTTTAAAGTCATTCTGAAATAAGAGGAAGAAAACGGGCACGGGCAGTTTATTGGGAAAACAAAAACAGTGTTCAGCAAACATTTTCTGACCATGGTCGTTGGTGTGTTTCCGTCGCGGCCTTTCCTTCTCTCTCCGTTGTGACACTATGGAGCCAGTCTCTGTGTCGTTGTCCAAACTGTCCCGGCCGCTTGCTGCCTTCCCACTTCACACAGCGATGATGCACAGAAGACAGAGTGTTAGAAGGAAACAGAATAGCACTGTATCATTATCTAAGCAATAAAGCTCATTTTACAGCTGTCAAAACACATGTTGTGTGATAAATACTTCTCATTATAATCGCATTTTAGAGTCCCCTCACACTACAATCTTCTACATACTTTAAAAAATGAGCAGGTTGCTCTTAGAATTGCAAGCACTTATGAGAAAGAGAAATCTGTTTTCTGCATGAATACATCCAACACAATCCATCTCCAAAAAAATTATCAAATAAAAAAAGTAGATTTAATCTGGGCAGTCACAGGGTGTCACGTTGTTTCATTCAGGTTGCTGTTTCCTCGGTTAATGATGTTATCGGCAAACAAAGGTGGACTCATCCAAGAAACCCACACAGAGCCAAACGCCAATTACATGTGGCATCTCGCTCCCTTTCACACACCCACGAAAAAGAAATGCACCATGAAACATTTTCTCATTACACTGACTGATAGGAGGGTGGTCTTGAGTCCCCGATGCCCCCGGTCCTTTCCAAAGGTGGTGCTGCCTCTAAACTGTCGGCCACTGAGCCTGCATCTGTGTGGGCCCCATCTCCAGAGACCAGCTGTCAACAGACAGAGAAGAAGGTCAGACAGAGGAATGAGACACAGACTCAAGAGAGAAGAATAAACTCAAAGAAGCAGAGCAGTAGGGCAGCAGACCCACGTCAGAGCACTATTATGTTTATACTACACTATATCCAAGGGGTGGAGGGCATATCCACATCCTGGCTTTTTATTGTTGAAGCCTAAAGGTGTGCCAGCAATGTAGGACTTAAAACGTCTGGTTTAATTGTATACACGTCTTCTATAAATTTCCTGCTAGAATGGTGAAGCTATACAAAAGAATTTGTTGTTGCAAGAGTCTCGAAAAATGGAGCCTGAGCCAACTCTAGTAACTTAGCTACCTGACAGTGTTGCCTAAGTTACCAGTGTGTGGGAAAAAGTTGCATCCACTGGACCATGACAGTTCCAGGGGGGTTTGTATAAGTGGTCAAAATCTACCATTACATTACTTAACTGTTTATATTTCCATAATTTCCCCCTGTTTACCTTGAGTGCATTCCTGTGAACATTAGTCATGCTTTTTCAAAAACGTATTTTTTTACCAAATCTGCCATGGCTTTTGAGTGCTGTGGTATTTTTGGATGTTTTCCATATTGGGAAAAGCAGCATGAATGCGCATGGTGTGCATGCAAAAACAAGCTTCAAAGCTTGCACAAAATTAGTGTGACTATGAGAAGCCTTCGGTTGTCCAGTGCAAAGAATCTGATTTCATTTCATACACAGCAGGCACAAGCTGAAACACATTCCTCGCTACCATCACCACATCCATCAAACTCAAAATGTTGGGAATTCTCCAGTATTCGGCTGTATAATACTCTGGGGCTAAATAATCTCATTTCTTTTTATTAGTGGGTAATGAGTTGGAGTTAACTACAAAGTGTCCTTATGCAATGTCTTCAATTGTCTTTTTGTCAATGGATCAAAGTCTGGACATGTTAGTCCCCTTGAATCTAAATCAAGCAGAGACAGTGCAATAGTCTGATTTGAAAAGCTCAAAACAACAAGTGTTTAATGATGGGTCGTTTCAAAGTGAACTCTTTGCCTGTGTAATAGACCCTCTATATACTCAACATGATTTTAACCAGAGTCAGTCAGGCAAAGGGGGTGTCCCAATGATCAAAATGAGCCCCATCCAGACCAGTTAGACTATTTTGTACTGCATCAGGACATGAAAAGAACCCCCCAAAAAAATCATAAACCGGATTTCATCATAAATCAAAGAAGAGACTGGTTGCTTCCTCTTTTCTGTCTGTACTGGATTATGATGAGAACTTGTTTACATGTGCCTTTTGTCTGAGCTGACAGATCAGACATCTTAAACTCTCACTCGTTGCTGTTTGCTGAATAAATATGATGACTGGTAGTCTTACTTATAGATTAAAACACTAATGTAGTCTTATTCATAGGTCTACTATAGGTCTGCTTCCTTCAAATCTTCTAATCTGATAAAAGAGTACAGAAACCTATTATCTTCGCTCACTGGGACTTTTCTGTCTTTCCAGAGGTCAGAACTGCACTGAGGAAAAAGGAATTTAGGTTTGCTGCTTGCTTTCCTTGGAACAAACTTTAAAAAAACACCTGAAACTTTGGGAACTGCTCTCACTGGATAGTTTAAAAGCATTTTTGAGTGACATGGAGGCACATCTGGCTGTAGAAGTTCTGCTGGTACATTAAAAAAAAAAGTGGTTGACTTGTTTTAACTTATTCTCATTATGTGTTTTTTGCATTATGGTCATGTTTCTTGGAGGCATGCATAGCTGCGTTTTTGTTGTTGTAAACAGTGCTGCTACTTGGCCGGGTCACTTTGGGAAAAAAAATCTTTTTTGTGGTCGAATAAAAGAAATTGCCAATCTTAATATTCTTAAGATAACATGAATTTTTTTGTTTTATTTTATATTTTTCACCGAGGTTTCTTCAACTTGCAAAAAAAGAGAGGTATAATCATGGCATAACAGTAAAGGTGACAATAAAGATAAAGGGTAAAATATACTGTGACTGACAAAATCTATTTGTCAACTGACAAAACAAAGTCCAGCAGGCCAGACTGTGTGGGCCTGGCATGTTATGATGTGATGATAGTGAGCCAAGCCCCTCAGACCCCAGAGAGTAATCATTAAATCGCAGAAATAACAGATGAACAGAGGGGAAAAACAAATGGACTTGACATGGATCAGTTTGTTGTATGTGGAACATTTTCACAACACCCCTGAGATAACAAATCACATACAAACGCACACATCACATAGTTTGAAACTGGCTTTGAACCACTGCCAGACAAACTATGTAATTTGTCTGATTAGAAAAAGAAGACAACAACACATGGACACATCTGGACGTGCATGCTGTAACACCCACATCCAGTGACAAAACCGTGTTGATGCCTCTCAAATAAACCCTGTAATCACAACCACACTGTGCTAAATTAACCGAGTGCATCAGCCTTTCACTTCAAGAAACAGAACACTCTTTCTTTCAACTTTTTTTCTCCCCTGCCTGTGAGATTTAATCTTCTTGTTAGATGACATGCAGTGAAGCTCTTTGTTATGGGGTATTTTCCTCCTATCCTGTGATTTCACTTGCTCCTAATCCAATTCCAATGTGGACAAGAGAGGAAGGGAGGCTGTGCACCGGAACCAGATGTCTCTTGTGTTGTGAAGACAGGAGAATTACTGCTTGGAACCTCTTAATGAGTTCGTACATGCAAGTACATGTATGTATGTGTCGGAGGTTTTGTCTAAAATGTGAAGAGACATGACATTTGATCTTCACTAGCTTTGAACTATTACAACTGTAACTTTTGGAAAGCACTTAGAAATACAAAGCAACAAATGTGTAATGGAGTTTGCATGAGTGTCTGTTGCCACATGGATCATTATCTGTTAATAATATTATGACACAGATGCAGGAGGCATCTCCCCGGACTCAGAGTATGGTTGTGATCACTGGTTAACAGATGGGAATTATTGTTGCCAAATACCACACGAATACAATGAAAACATAAAAAAGAAAACAAAGAAGAAATAAACAAATTAGAAAATTACTTCAGGGTGTATTTGGAACATACCCATGACACCACACGTCCATTGAAACAGGGCAGCTTTGCGTTGTCGTCTGATATTTCCTCCTTAACCACCCTGTAAAGAGAACAAAGCTCTGTTTCAGTAAGCCTTTACTAACACGAAAGCACTCTCAGGGCAATAAAATCTAAGGCTGGGCAGTGCTTCCAACAACCAGGACGGACACTGACAATCGAGAAAACAAAAGCAGATTTTATAGCACTCGCTACCTTTCTTCATACTGCTAGAAAAACACAATACTGCATTTCAGAACGCTCAGATTTGACTGTTGTGTAAAAACAAAACTGTCCATGATGGTCTGCTGTTGACACAGTTACTTTGCTGCCCAGAGTGGTCAAGAAAAAATATATCCAATCAACCAAAGGAAACAAAAAAGGAAAATGTCAGCATGCACAAGTGTAATTCAATCTCAGTGTAGATTCATTTCTTGGGAAATTTAGATGATCACAAAAGCTCTACAAACGAAGTCTTTCGAATTTTGCACAGTCAAACAAAATATCAGGGACGGCCAGTGTCACCGCATTGAAGCAGGTTTGGCATGAATTTGTTAAGGTATTGTATGGAAGAGTGCCATAGCGTTGAAAAAAAAAGGAGACTTCCGGGCTCTTATGGATGAAAGCTGAGATTTTAAGTGTCCTTGTGCAAACGGTCACCATTTCAACCAGTTACATCGAGTGAATTTCCATGAAATCCTCCCAGACAGACTGTTTCCTTTAGTGAATCAGGTGTCAGATGTTACCTTGACGACCACAGTCCCACAGCCAACAGGGGACAGGTCAACCTCAGACTAGTTTCACGATAAACTGTGCCTTCAGGGAAAGAGGGAATTGGTAATGCTCAAAGGGGCTTTCTTTAATTCTAGGGGGTAAAATGTTTATTCTAATCGGACAGGTTGCTAGATCTATACCATGGGTTGGAGTACAGGTTTAAATCCTTTTTTTACACAGTATCCCTCCACTCTTCGCAACATAAATAGCTGTGGGTCCTTTCAAAACATGTCTATCCCACTTGGAAAGGTTAAGAAGTTGTTGCCCCACCCTAGTTTTGCTTTTAGCCAAAAACAACTTTGGAAAGTTGGCTAAAATGTTTTGGAAAAAGTACATGTTCCCTCACATTTCACCCTGAATAGGACACAGCCTGGAGGAATATAAAACGTCTACTTTTCCAGCCATGTTTAACACAAAAGGACATGCTCATAAAGCTGCCAGAGTGATGAACAGGGCATTCCTGTGTTCAACTCTGCATTCCTTGGGCTAATAGACAACAACAGCAGGGGCCTGCTGCACTCAATGACGAGCTAACTCAAACCGGCCCTTTACCTTCTGACGTTAGCCTGTTAGCACCAAACGTCCCATACATTCGTCTGTAAATGACAACACTAACTGATAGTAACTGCTAAATATCTGCGTTTTTAAAGAGGTGGCTCTATATTAGAAGTAAGTGAATACGCTATGAAGGACTTTTGTCAGGGTTTAAATACCAAACTTGGTCAGAGAAAGCGAAGACGTGGAAGATATGTAAGCTAGCCACACAAGCAATGTAAACAAACGGGGTCGGGACGCTAAACAGACCTGCTAACGTTGCGAGCACTCCGCTAACAGCTAACAAAGAGGCTGTAATGTATAGATGGGGATCGACAGACAGGTAAGAAGGCTAACCCCGATGACAAGACAGCTGGACGGAGCTGACCTCCCAGTTAACGTAAATCCAGCTGCACTAAAAGGAGAGACACTCCAGCAGAGACGCTGCCGATGCTTGCTTAAACACAATAAACCCTGAAATAGTTACCCGAAGTCATCGTCCATAGATTTAAAGAAGAATTTGTAATTTGGCTTCTTGAGGACATTTTTGAAGTCTGCCAGAGTGACTTTATCCGCCGGTACCGACAGTTTCACCAAATACGGCGTTTCTTGGTCGTCGAGGTGGTAGATAATTTTGGTCTCCCCCATCTCGAACTGCGGCTGAAGGGGCGCAGGCAGAGTGCATCAAGCCGCGGGCCTGGCAGGCAGGCAGGCAGGCTCCCTCTCCGGCCCCGACTCCCCGTGGCGCTGGCGGCGGCTGTGCGCTGGTTCTCCCGGCTCTCCCTGGCTGACCGACACGCAGCGCAGTCCTGGTTTTCTCCTTTACGCCAGCTTGCAAATGTTGAACCTGCACTGCTATTCAAAAAAGCACCTTGCTCCTCTATAAAGGGTCCACATACCGTCCGAAAACTGAAATAACGGCGGTCCTAGTTGATTATAGACGAGCGATATTGAGCTAGAAGACTCCAGATAATGTTAAAAGTTCAAAACGTTGAAAAGATGACAATCTGAAAGGGGTCGGCTTTCTCCTCTCGCTAGCTGCCAAGCTCGGTACTTTGTTGCACACGACGCTGTACAGAATCGTCGAAGCCCGTCTCGAAGGGGCGCCATCCACAGGAGAGGAGGAGAGTGACAGCAGCGCCCTGCCGCAGTGCATGAGTCAATGGAGGCGGTCATACAGAGAGGAGCATTGCCCCTTGCGACAGGAGGGGCCATCTTCATATAAAACAGACTGTAGTTATAGGTAAAAGCCCGGGTTATGTCTACTCTAAATACGTGTGTAGGGACTTGATTAAATTACTTCTACTGTTTATTACCAATTTTAAGGCTCTAACTCATCATTACTCTCAGACTGCAGGGGTTGACTTGCCTGAATAGTAACCACTGAATCACCAGCATGTGTGAGTCAGTTAGTGTTGTGTCGTTCGTGAACGATTCGTTCAAAAGAACCGAATTTTTTAAGTGACGTACTGAACAGAATCACTTCCTCAAGTGATTCGAACGTTTCTCACTCCAGTTAAGCCATACTATGGACAACTTGGTTCCACCTCCCGCCTGTATACGGATTTGAAGCCAAAAAGCTCTCAGTATTTCTGGGATTTTTCTTCATTTCCTGAAACCAGCGCTGCGCAGTAACGTTATGCGCATTCAAGATGAGAGTCGCCGAGATTCGCTGTGATGACGTTCAGCTCAAACAGCATATCCCCGGGTGAGCTACACAATTCATGAATACCAATAGGCTGTAGCAGGTGTCAATCAAAGAAAACATGAACCCCCTAATAACTTTTAATAACGGAGCTTCCCCAAAAAAAATAGGACTTTAACTACATGTCAACATCGCAAGCAGGGGGCAGAAAAATGTATGTTCTGTGTAATAAATTTCTAAAGTTTGTCCACAGCTCCATAAGCTTTGCTGGCGGAGGCGGGATTTATGACCTATACTGCAACCCATCAACAGAGGGTGCTGTTCTTGGAGTGGCTTCACCCAGCAAGGAGACAGACGCTGTCCATTCTATATACAGTCTTAAGCTGTCAACAGCCAGCTGCTATAGCACACAGCATTGCCAGGCGAGTAGCCAGCAAACGAGGGGCTGCATGCACCGACGCCTGAATCACTTGGTAAATGAATCACACATTGAACTAAACTCTGGAATTGTTTTTGTCAGACAAAACTAACTTTTTTTTTTTTTTACTGCTAAATTGCCACCACAACAACTTGCATACAATGGGACACAGCATGTAACAAGTAGTGCATAAAACCAGCAGCATTCTATCATTGCAGCGGTTTGCGAGGGAATGGTGCATTTTTGGTGTGAATTCTCCTCAACATTTAGTGAACGAATCACTCACTGAGCCCAATTTACTGAGCAGACCTGATAAATAGCATACCATGGGACAGTACACTTAAAACATCATGACTTATAAACAAGTTCATTTTTACAAACCGGTTTGCCAAAGCAACACAGCCAAACACTCTCATCCCCTGGTCCCAGAAGCTATGCATTGAAGTGAATCCTGAACCATTCAGCTGTGTATCAGTTCAGGAGGTCAGAGTCGCAGGCTCCTCCCGCCAAACCCTGAATGATTCGTTGAATCTTTTGAACAAATCTTTTTAGTGAACTGATTCTAGCGATTCAGTCCATCTAAATGAGTTCCAAGAAAGGTTCAACCCCGATTCCTAATGTGAGGCTTGTTTCTTGATTACAAGACATGTGTTTGCATTTATGTGGATGAAGTAACTAGTCATATAGTCATATAGAAAAAAAATGCTTTTCTTAATTGAGATAGTATGCAACACTCTGGTCAATTGTAATTATGTACAGTTACTGCACTTTATTGAACTGAATGAATTTTGATTTGCCAGTACAGGTAACACAAAGCCAAAAGTAAATACAACATACTGCTCAATGGAGAGTTAGTGAGAGTATTTCAAACAACCAATAAATGGAGTACAAAATAGAGGTTCTGGAAACAGACATGAAGTGTCTACTTTTTTTCTGGGGTTAAAATCTTTGCCATATCTTCATCACCGCGATCATTGTGAACATCATGTACATGACCCCTGTCACATGACAATATAATATTATTACGTACAAGTACAAAAAGAAAAAAGGGAAAGGGGGTTTGGTCTCTTTTGAATTTTAAATAAGCTCTGGTGAGAGCAGAGCAGAGCGGTCACGCAGGTCTTAATCATCTAGAAAGTCATCATCCAGGTTGACGTCTGTGGTATCAATGTCATCCAGCTCCATGTTGTCCAAGTCGACCTCCAGCTCATCCAGAACCTACATGTACACATACAGCACATCAAGTTTTTAGCAGGAAAATAAATCAATGGATAAATTTGGGTTTTATCTTTGAACAGTGTTTCAATTCAAAAATTAAGTGACATTTGAAATCTAACTATTGTCAACTGTGTAACACAAGTAAAGCTGAGAACATTTACACTCATATTGTAACAGGTTGTAATGTAAATTTAAACTGAAATCAAAAACATTTGAGCTCTTCTATTGTGTGAATGATGTAACTATAACCACTGTATGCCTGAAAATCTTTTATGTATTGTTTCATATTGGTGAAAAACATGCCCAAAATCAAGAAGTAATCACAGACCTTATCTTTCTGTGACTGTGCAGCATCTTCCTCCTGTTCTTCCTCTTCCTCTTCTTCTTCTTCTTCCTCCTCCTCCTCCTCCTCCTCCTCTTTGTCCACTGATGTAGGAGCAGCGGGCTCAGGCTGTGAAAACGCCACAGCTGCGGCTGGTGCTGCAGCAACAACAGCTGCCGCCACAGACTCCTCGTTATCTTGAGTCTGTCAGGAAAAAAGTCAAGGTAGTGTGAGTTACAGTTTTGAGTACACTTAAGTTGTGGTCTTTTAGTTTTCTGGAACCCTAGTGAAAAATAGCAAAAGTTGTTGAAATAAAAATGGAGGGATAATCCAACAAACCTTGGCAACAAGAGGAGTGAAGGTTCCCTTGGGCTCATATCCCTGAGCCTCCTCAAGAATATTCCTGTCTTCATTGAGCTGAAAAAATACAGGGGGGAATCGTTCAAATACAAGAAAAATGATTGAGATACAACTCTAAAAATGTTTCCTGTGCAGCATTTCTAAATGTCAACAATTTACCGTAACAAGAGGATAATCTGTGGCAGGCCTGGTGGTTCCTAAGCAGGATTCACGCAGGTAATGCTCAGCTGCAAAGGCTTCTCTCAGCCCTGGGAACAGATTCTCATACTCTGTGGGGTCTGCTAGAGACTCAGCTGCCTGGAAGGAAGATACAGTATGTTATGAATAACAAAAACACAGAAAGATTGTTTTTTTATTGTGATAAAAAACATGCCTCCCCCCTCTCATTATTAGCACACAATAACTGACCTTCTGGTTAACCTTTGCCAGGTTCTCTCTCCATAGTTTAACTACACGGGACACCTGACTGGGCAGGTAAGTGCGAGCCAGGAAAGCTGCCTCAGGTAATCGGTTCGTCCTGATCAGGAGCTCCAAACACTGATCCAGCCTGTGGAGGAAAGGAAATATGGAAAAATTACAAAGTTCAACACATACTGCAACTGATCCATACATATCTGTTCCCTTATGACCCCTCTATTGTCACTACCAACGCAGTCTCCCAGTACTCACTTCCCCTGTAAGAAGTAGGTCATGAAGGCCACGTTGTTCTTGCCGTCCCTCTCTGCCCCCTCGGCGAGCTTGCCCACCATAGTGGCATTACCAGAGGCTGTGGCAAGAAGCAGCAAGCCTCCGTAGTCCTGGGCGTGGTGCAGGCACTCCTGGGCCAAGCCGAATTGGCATTTACTGATAGCCAGCTCGGCTAACTGCTTCCACTTTTGTTCCGACTGCAGAGGTTACAATAAAAAAAGGGTTACAAATGTGCAGGAAAAAGATTCAAAAATACCTTTCGAAGTTCTCTGGTCATGTTTGAGGAAAATGAGATATGATATAGAAGAGCCAGCAAGCAATCTCTTACCTCAGCTTCGACGGCCAGCTGGTAGGCAATCTTCAACTCCCCAAGTTGTAATGCAAGCTCAAACCTGTGCTCTGGATCTGTGGAAACGGCTAAAGCCTGCTGTTTGAAACCCTGATAAGACAAAGAAGCAACTTTAATCAACATGATTCAAGCTTGTATATACATCCCTGAGAACATTAAGGAGAAAAAAATATGACACTCCTTCTTGTTTACTTTAAAGGGTTTGAAGTTCCGCTGTATTTTCTAACCTGTTTCTCCAGAAAATGAGCCACCCTGGTCCGCTGCTCTTTCGGAATTGTGGGTAGCACCTTGTCGGCCATCCCAAAGTCCCTTCTCATGACAGCAGTCTGGTACTCAAGGACAGACACCAGCAGGGAGTAGCTGACAATGTTGAGCTCCTTGTCTCCCAGATACAGGCGGTCATCTTTGGGTATGTAACCCAGCAGGTACATTGTTCTGCAAAGAGATGAAAAGAGTTGAAACAGATCTAGTATCCTCTAGAGCAAGCATCAAACACACTTATAAAGCACCTGATCACTTATATTCAAGCCATCCTTTTTGTGTTTGTACCTGTCCAGATGGGCAATAGTGACAATCTCTCCTCCTACAAAGTAGTTGAGCCTGTTCACAGAGCTGGTGTAGATGAAGCAGTCTCCAACCCAGAGTCCAGTCTTCACGATTTCCTGGATCTCTCCCTGGACCTGTAATCAAGAAACAAGGATGCAAAGGTTTAAAGGAGGAAAAATGTTAACTTCTGAGGGATGGTTGAGTAAAATATGCTATGAAGTACAGTCCTCTTGGTATAAACCACAATCAACAGCTCTTAAATAACGGCCAACATGTAACTTAACGTACAAAATGACATTAATAAATTGCACCCCTAAGAAGGGATGTGTAGACTAGCACCAACACTCACCTCAAAGGCATCTTCAATACCATCCTCGGTCACTCCTTCATTGTTTTCTTGAGAGGCAGTGACTTTATCTGCCATGTAACGCAGAATGAAAAAGGACTCCTCTGTAGCGATGCACACCAGTTCGCCAGAGTCTGACCAGAAGATCTGGACACAGAGAGGTAAAATGAGGTTTCACTAGAAGTGCCTCTGGTTGACTTTAAATCAAACATTGTCATGCAGAGCTTTTACAACTTCAACAAGCAAAGAACTGCTTTTAGTTACATAGTCACAGAAAGATACACAAAAATGAAAATATGCACAAAAGATTAATATATGTCATCTGAGAAATATCTACACACTGCATTTATCTGATGTCTTACGTGTTTTGGCTGGATCTCAATGCGACGGATCAGCTCTGTGTTCTCCCAGTCATAAAATGCCAGGCCATTCACTGACCTCACCCCGAGCAGGAAACCTCCATAGATCCCTGCGGGAGAAATGAGATAAGATCCAGTCAAGTGCACAGTCAGAGTTTGTCTTCAGACTTCCAGTCTGCAGCAAAGCGACATCTATATTACCTTCAGCTCCAAAGTCAGGCTTGAAAGATTTCTTTTCTTTGAAATTTTTGAAGATTTTGACGATGCTGTTGCTTTCTCTGATGGCGTACCTGTTTGAAAAATAAAATTAGAATAGCAGGTCAGTAAAGTAGAGAAGTATCTCACCTATAATGAAGATGAAATATTTAAAAACACACTTACTCTGATGAGTCATGTGCCCAGACAAACTCCTGCGCAGAGCCAAAGCTCTTGTTCCTCAAAGCCATGGCAGTATAGATGATGTACTCTCCATCCCCACACACCACAACAAACCTGCCACATTAAAGAGGAGTGAGAAAGCTGCTTTGACAAAGATCTTTATGTAAGTTCATTAAAAGGCCTTAGGCGAGGGTATTCCTACCGTCCATTGGGGTTATGCTGGATAGTTTGGGGGTAAATCTCACAGCTGCCCATGTCTTTAACAGCCAATGGCAGCCTCTCTCCATCCTTGATCTCAGCATCACCCATTGCCTTTAGGTTGGCTTGCTGTATTTCACTGTGTTTAGCCCAGATGATCTTTCCGTTTGTGTCCATAGACATGGCTGGTTCCTCTCGACCCACCTGAATTTTTAAAATGAGGTATTTGATGTAACATTGTATTGATCATTGAGGTTTTGGAGAAATATATTCTTTGTCAGCCACTTTTTACACAAACTATCTTTTGCACACCTTGATGATGATGCTGCCTTCATCGTAACCCAGTGCCACATTGTTGGAACCCCTGAGACCACACACACACCACACCCTCTCCATGCCGTAGTTCAGGGTGCTCTCCAGGCGGTAAGTGCTTGAGTGCCAGATACGCACCGTACCTTTAGGCAGAGGAGGAAACATAAAAAGATTTGATTAATTCTGAGAGGGGGGCTGTAAAGAGGAAAAAGTGAGTCGGTTTCATACTCACCATCCTCTGATCCAGTGATGATGATGGGCAGCTCAGGATGGAAGCTGACACAAGAGACATTCTGGGCATGGCCCTCCAGAGTCTGCACACAGGTCTTGTTCTACAGCACACAGAGAAAGATATCCCAACATTCATAAATAAAGCTAACGGGTGCTGACGGAATGAATGTAGCAGATTAAAGTCTTACATATTGACACTAATACTCTCTTTTTAAACCTTAATTTCTTTTAGAGGCCTTATTGGCTTTAAATAAAAGCAAATGTAGAATATTATTGAGTTTCCTTACCTGGTAATCCCAGATCTTGACTTGGCGGTCATCAGCCCCTGAAATGAGGTAGGGCTTGTCACCTCCACTGTAGTAGTCGATGCAATTGACTCCTTTCTCATGACCCTCCAAAGTGAAATTAGGGGACGAAGAGCCAAGCTGCCAAACCTGGAACAACACAGAGAACATGACAGATGCACTTATAAGACATTTAACTTGAAACGTTTGTAGAATCAGAGTGAGTTTAATCTTTGGATACTAAAGGAGCTTCAGTTCTGTTGTAAGATTTAGGTGTCAACAGTGTCTGCCTTCTTGCAGTAAAACATTTTGTACCTTTATTGTTCTGTCCAGTGAAGCGCTTGCAAACTGGTTGTTGTCCTTGGGGTTAATGACAATCTGCATGACATAGTGAGTGTGACCCTCAAACACCTGGCTGCACGACCACTTCTTCTCCCAGTCCCACAGCTTGATCAACATGTCATCTGCACACAAAACAGATTTGATTCATGCATTTGAATGAGCAATAATGTGTTTGCATCTGAGAAGACTGTTGTGGTTTTAAAGATTAGTGGAGTGGAGTGTGATATCAATGAAAATATCATGAGTTTTCCTAGCGTACCACTGCTGGTGAGGATGTAGGGCTGGGTTGGATGGACAGCAATGCAGCGGATGTAGTCAGAGTGGGCCTCAAACATGTGGACCCGCTCCAAGGTGTTGTAGTTGAACACACGGATCTGCATGTCATCCTAAGCAGGGAGAATTAAATGTTAAAGTATCAGCTGAACAGACGTTTGTAATGCAAAAAAATTGACAGAGAATTCATAATAATTACAAAAATCATACAAGCTAACACACAACTATGCAATCAGGATAGATGCCTAAATCGTTGTGTTTCAAAGTGGTCTGGTTTGGTTCAGTGAAGTTGATATAGTTAACTCTGATCTTGCTCATGTTTTCATAGCCAACTGTACTCTCAGGTTCAGAAAGCTTGTTGGCTGTGTGACAGATCTGGAGTGGCTTTTCATTTCAGCATGTATTTTAATATTCCAACCATTCATTTTGCAGATGTGAGCAGTGAGTCTCATATGTTTTGTAACCCCCCAAATTAGAAAGAGTAGGTAGATCTCAATTAAAATCCAGAGAAAAATGATCAGCTGAGGTTTGTATTGGCTTTGTATCAGCTATATATATGTTAAAAAAAAAAAACATGAAAATCTAGTATGAAAACACTACTGGGATGCTTTCAAATCAAGGGCCTGATCTGTCTAGTTTTTTTTTTTCCTGTGGAGACCCCCCCCCTTTTTTTCCCCCTCACACAACAATGCTTTATTTTGAAGTTGTGTCCAGGACAGTTATTTGGCAAAGACGGCAACTGTATGGCACCTTATGTGAGCCTGCAGCAAACTTTCATTGCAAAAAAAAAAATAGTTCTTATGAAAAACATTAGCCGCAAGTCAGTGATGTTAATTATAAAATAACATTAACATCAGGTTACACATAATATTTCATCATCCCAACCCCCTTTTCTTTTGCGCCTATCTTGTTAAGTACCTGTTTTGACAAGATTGTATCCTGATAAAACGAACCCTTAACACCTGAATAACACCCAAAAGGATCCATAGATGTAAATAAACATGTACATAAAGAGTCAAAATGAATCAGGGTGCACAACTTCACTGATCAATTGATACTGCAAATTCAACCATTAGGTGGAAATGCTGCTAATGTGAAAGAAAAAAAGTGTGACTTCACACTGCTCTTGATAAATACAACATTAAAGCACTGAAGTCCACACAGTCCTATACAATATGAAACATGAAACTGCAGACGTAATGGAAACAGCTGTCACAGTTGTGATCCCATCAAAATAACTCACAGCGCCAGTGATGACCCAGTTCTTCCTCGCCACGAACTTTGAGGCTCTTACAGGGAGATCACACACTTCAAAGGTCTTCACAAGAGTCTACAAAAAGAAGATTATTGACTTAATAAGTGTATCAAACATCATAACTTCTCTAATGTATGTCACACATCTTTCATTGAGGATTAACACACTTCAAACTGAGCAGTCCTTCAGTACTGTGTGGGTGTAATTTGTACAGGTGGGCTTCTTTGACTCGGATCGTACCTGTGTTTCGTGGTTCCACACACAGACACTGCCGTTGTAGAGACTGGCGAGCATCCATGGCTCAGTCGGGTGAAGGTCCACACTCTTGACTCGGTCTGACCTGGCTGTCAGCCTCCGCTTGATATCCAGCCTCAGAGGCTAAAGAAACAACATAGATCTCAGCTTTACTTTGTTTAAACCTTTACTATAAGTGATTTTAAGAGTACAATGAATGATGGCGAAACGTCATTTTAACCAATGTAAAACCGGGAGCAGTTATGACTGACATGCTAACGCTTAGCCACGTATATCCCATGGATTCTGATACATTAAATCTCCTCATATACAATTTGACAACTAACTGAAAGCAAATATGAACACACATGAAGGGTATTTACAGTCAGTATTACAAGTATCAATATCAGTTAGCTACAAGCTCCTAAGCGAGCTGAAGCTGGTTAGCCGCTAAGCTATCCCCAAGGATACATCATTCATTTCCTCTGTTTAAAGGCCGCTAAAGAGGATTTCTCGATCAGATAAAGGTAAATGAAATATGCAAGTAAGTGTTTTAAATGCTTCTTACCATGTTTAATCCCCGTGTTGTCCCAACAAGATCCTTTAAATGTGTTGTGAACAGTAGCAGACGGGATGTTGCGATTACAGTGAACAAGAGCACTAGATGATACTGACGTGGAAGTTCCTGAAACTCGATCTCGCGAGAACTACGCTGCAAAAGTGGTGACGTGACACGAGCTGACCGAAATGTTATTCAGGGTCAATCAGCTGCAGGATGGAGTTTTCAGTCTTTTTCCGCTTTCTTATACTCATCAGACATTTGAAAATATAAAATAACAATTTCAGAAAATCTATGTTAATGGTCGATTTAAAAATGTTAGGAAATGAATGTGATTTGAAAATGTTAATTAATTTTATAGGCATGTGGAATTATTTTATCACTTAATAATAAATCACTCTCATCATTACTACATTGTTTTTTGTCCTTTATTTTTAATCATTTTTCATTAACAACACCTAGATAACATTTACATTAAACAACACTGAGTTTAATTTTGTAGCCAGTAGTATATTTACAATGTAATGGAAAATAATGCTTATAGTGGTTCCTCCATGTCTTATCCAGACTCAACAGAGGATAATAAGTAGTACTGAACATGGCTATTTCACTCATGTAGCACCAAGAAAGATTTTCAGATTTATTTTAATCTTGCTAAATCTATCAGGTATTTATTAAAAGTGATGTTTCGCATTTGCTGAACTTTTTTGTGGTCACCTCCTCTCTTCCTCTCCGCCATGCACCTCGCAGTCTCATCCCCTTCAGGAGAACCAGCAAACTTTCTCCTCCTTGATCTTTGTGTGGTGCCACCTGCTGGACTTGCTTCCCCCCATTTTTTCCAGAAAATTGCATTTTTTAACCTGCACAGTAAATCTGACCTGGAAGATTTTTAAATGTATTTCATTTTCATAATAAAGTTTATTATGCTTATTAAAGGAGAGTCATCAATCCATGATGTCAAGATGTAAGCAAACCACGTGTCTCTCTCTCTCTCTCTCTCTCTCTCTCTCTCTCTCTCTCTCTCTCATAATTCTTGATTTTTGTTCAGTATGTGTTGCTCATCCTGGGACTACAGATTGGGTGGGACCCATGGGCACTGCAGGTACACTTACACCCCCATATACAGAGGCAACAGTCCTCCTTGCAGCGGCCACTGGTTCAATTCCCAGCCACGACCATTCACTGCATGTCTTCCCCTACCCTCTACTCTACATATTTTCTATTTTTCTTTGGATGATAAGTATACAGATGATAACCTGAGTATATTTTTTTCGATTTAGTTTATTCCCATTTAATATGAAAACTTCCCTATTAAGCATCATATATTTCCATCAGATGGTGACAGCCATTGCGTACTAAAATATGCAAATAAATTCAATGTGGCTGACATAATTTGAAGTGAAACTACTTACATTGTAAGTTAATTGTTTTGTTAAAACTGTGTTAAACTAAAAGTTTATTCATTATTGTTGCAAATTTGTCTCTACACAAACTCAACACCATACATTATCTGAAAAGCACCTTTATTCATTTGATATACAGAGGAGGGAAAACATGTCAACAGGGGGCAAACAAAGACCTAAAAAACAGGGACAGAGGTTTAACCATTCACTCTTTTCTCTTGAATACTTGAAGACAAACTACATCTTCACACGTCAGCTCCTGGAAGGAAAAATAAATCTGTTATCATGACGTAGAAGAGGAATAATTAGAAAAAAAAGTCTTACTTTCAAGGTAGGTACAATAATCTCACCAGGTAGAGTTTGCTTCCTTCAATCCAGTGTTTCCAGCCACGGTTGGACTTCTCTCCCTCCTGAGTACACACCAGTTTGTCCCCCTCCCAGGTCACCAAACTCTACCAGACGACATAGAGTAAAAGGTAAATTCATTATATAATTCAGAGGGTTGCCCTGGTGTCCTTATGCCAGGCGAGGTGGCACCACTCTCAAATCTCTCAGTTATCAGTTCTAATTGCTCTGATCTTTCCCCTCTTCCCGGACAACACAGCTCCCAGGGTTTATTTTCACCTGTATTTCAATTGTACGATTCCAAGCTCCTGCAGACTTTTTGATTTGTGCCAATTTTGGTGCCCCAGGGATCAATCCTGTACCTTTTGTCTCTTTGCTGATTTGATCCTGTTTAGGTGTAAGCTGTGTTTCTTGACAAAAAAAAAAAATCTCACCCTGCCTTGTTTAACTCTATCTCCCAACACTTCTTTGCCATAGAAAATGTGACAAAATGTTATTATGTCATCTCACTTTAAGTCTTTCTCAGTATCAACTAAAACCTCCTCACAAGACCTTTCATTATTGCCAAAGTTGTCAGTGTTAACTATAATTCATTCCAGAACCAATGTTAGAGGGACTGGTCTGGTGTGGTTGTTGAGGCAGGTGCTTATGTGTAGAGACTGTGGTCCACTCAGTGGGTGGCTCAGGTTTCGATTTTAACCTGCAACCCTTTACCTCATGTCATTCCCTGCTCTCTGTCCTGGTTTCCTGCTCCATTCAATACATGCAAAAGCCAAAGATCAAACTTTAAAAAGATATAATCCAAAAATGACGAATGATTTTTCATGTGTATGCCATTTTGTCCGATCTGGTACACTGTAGTTAAGCCTCAGCAGCCTCTTTCTTCTTAATAATAAGTCAGTTTAACTGTCTCCTCCATTTGTCCTATATTCCATATGACTTAGTAATGACATGTGTTTAATGTCTTCAGGTAACACAAATCAAAATCATTTCATGAAACAAAAATGTACAAACGCTATATGGCGCTAAGATGCAAACACACCAATTAGACCTGGCTTTTTCATTCAAAAGTCCTAAATCGGATAGCATTCACTGTGACATCTATAACAGTGTGTCCTCTGAGCTTCATGTCTTTTTATCAGCCCACCACTGTAGATTTCTGCCCACAGAGACCACAGACCAATCTTTGCCCCTGGCACGCTGAGATAACAGCAGCCTGATTATCAGCAGCCTCATTATCAGCAGCAGCTAGAAAAAAAGAGAAATATTAACTCATCTGATAACTAAAACTATCATGGACCCTCACCACCTGTGAGTGTGGGGTAAACCCACCTTGACATTTCTGTTGTCCAGCCCCTTGGTGTATTCGTCAAACTCGACCCCGACGGTGAAGGAATGCTCGTAGTTCCTCAGGGTGCTCAGCGTTTTGAAGTCAAACTTGTCTCCATCTTGAGCAACTACTTTGGTCTGAGACAGGGAGATGGCAATTTTTCTAGTGGCAAAGTCAATATCTGGAGCCAGAACAGAAAAAAAAGGTTTTGAACGTGTTTCTTTTTAAGAATATCCAGTTTATCAAACACAAACTAAGTATATTTAATAATAAACAAGGCTGCATTAAAAGTTTGGATCACTTTCAACTTTATCGTTAGGTTTAACCCTGCAAATGTAATCTAGCTTTACATCTACAGTAAAAAATTATAAAGTCAAGAGTGCATGAAAATTTCAAAAGTGTAGGAAAATTCGGAGTCAGTTGAAAACAAGACGGTGGAGCTTTAAAAAATAGTTTTAAGATATCTCAAGTAAAATGTATTTGCATTAGCTCCCGATAGGATCGCACAGTAACACAGGGTCAGAAAAAATAATTAATGGGCATGAAATTGGATGATTCTTATTCTTGCAATGGTCCCCCGAGTCGTCACAACCCCCTTCACACTCCTTGAAGACATAATTAGAAGAGCTCTGACTGAAATTAAAAGTTTCTTACTCAAGACTTTCAGATAATCCTCAAACTTCTCACTGGTCTCCAGTATCCACCTTCCATTGAAGTCTGCAGGCATGGTGGCAGCTGGTGACACTGCTGTGTGCAGACTTTAGACAAGTGTTGGTCGGGGGAAGGTGCAGGGAGTTATCCTCCTTTTAAATGAGTCAGAGGGCATGAGGGCAGAGAACTATTGATAAGTGAGTTTACAGCTTGAAGGGGATTGGCAGGATCAGTTGTTTTGGAGGGGGAGGGGGCAAACTCAACCTTTTCTCTGTAGATCGCCATTGGGGGAGGTAGCAATTGGTATATGTGACACCAATCACAAGAGCTTTCCTACAGGAGCACACACAGACACTACAGTGATGGCTGATGTACAATGTGCAGACAGGGAAAGCTATTTTGTAACTCCTGCCAACAGTGTATGCTCTCTATTTGACCTTTTTTCTGTGGCAAGTTTAAACTAAACCAGAAAACCTGAACACTCAGTGTGGAGGTTACTGAAGTTCAACTGGTCCTGTTCTTAAAAAGAATTCTTGAATCAAACAAATATGCAACTATTTAATGTAATTACTGTCCATAAAGTGAATATAACTTTGTGTTTATTATTTTCAGATAACTGCTCTGTTAAATGACACTGTAAAAATGATAAGTTGTCTCATCTTATAACAAAAAGTGAACTAGTTGCATTGACTATTTTGAGGGTTTAATATTTCAGGATTTGTGAAATTTATTAAAGTTGGGCAAAGACTTTATCGGACCCACGGTAGGAGCCGCCAGACCAAGTTCAGTCACTTTCATGCTCAAACACAAATGTGTGCCCCAAAAATTCAGTGAGCAGTTTTTTTTTTTTGTTTTTTTTTCTCAATCCTTGCCCATCAAAAATGACTTTTAAAAGACCGTCAAATAACAGACTATTCTCATAACCTAAAACACATCAGGAGTTCTTTGGAAACGTCATACTTGAGTTTATCTCATACAGCTTAAGTTAAAACAGAAACGAACCATGGTCCATTTAAAATATTAACTTTAACTTGGTACAGATTTCTGAACATGTTTGGTCCTGCTACAGAGTGAACGTATTATTTTTTAGTCCACACACTTTTGCGCTGCAAGCTTCAGGTCCTATTCTGAAGTCCAAACTAAGTAGTGTCAATTATATATTTTACTGCTTTTTTAATGTCTTTGCTGGGTGTGTATTCCAAAAGCATCACTGTTACTAAAAAGTAAGAACTCTTTTTTTACAGTGCGCTATGCAGATTATCTTAAATTTAGTAATAAAAAAATGACCAAATATAGCATTGTTATTTAAAGGTTAATCCTTAAGGTTTTCACTGTTTTAACCCCTAATTGTTAAATAATAAATTAAAGGCATCCAACACCCCAAAACAACTCGAGTTTAATGACACATAGTCTGCAAATCTACTCCACACACAGGTTTTAAAAGAAGTGCACATGTAGAAAGAATCCACAGAGAACGGTGTAAACCATGCTTTCAAGTGTTTAAAGTGATCCAAAGATAGTTAAATAACACATCTCTGAATTAATTCATGGACTTGCATTATTAAATTGATCATAGTGTTGCAGGATCAGTTGCGCACCTGTTGCATTGGCTTATTTTTGATTCGTTTTGATGCTCATAGAAATGTGCATACAACACTACATTGTGTGGTTAGAACGCTTTTAAGGATTTGGGCTTTAGGTGGTTTTAAATTCAGTTGAAATGCATATGAAATGCCTTTTTTTAACCTCTTTTGTATTTGAACTGGGGGTTTAAGAGAAACTTTGCTGATTTAGTGGATAAAAACAACCATAATTTTATTCCTGCTCAGCTGAGGCCACACCTTCAAACAGCTTGAGCTCTTGCCCTGCCTGATTTCTTACAAAAAGAAGAAATGAGTCATCAACTTTAATACTCACAATCACCACCTGTCAAAGGCTTTTCTTTTAGGAGAATAAATGCACATTTGACTGCAGCGTCAGACTCCATTTGGACCCCTTCCTGAGCACATAATTTCCATAGCCACCTCAGGCCAGAGGCAGAGTGCAGTCAATAATACCCCGCTTAAGGACCATAAATAAACAGAACCTGCAGGTATAAACACCAGGCAGGTGGCGGGTTGTGAATGGCACAAAGAGGATGGAGGCAGAACAGCAGGCTGAGCAGCAGCAGCAAAGACTGAGTGAGTGAGCTGGACAGCTTATATCGACGGGCTGATTGGTAACGGTGATGCACAAAGTGAGCTGACAGATTAGCTGATTCAGAGCACAGCGTGGCTCCAGCTGTCTGACTGAAGCACTGCGGGCTTCAGTCCTCTCTAAAATCCTCAAAAAGAAGTCCTCAGAACCTCAGAGTCGCAGTGCTGTCTGGAGAGGCATTCTGAGAGAGAGAGAGAGAATGCCTCAAACCTGTTTTATTAGCTTGTGAAACTCAGATAAATACTTTGATTTGTGTATTGAACAAGCCTGATAAAAACAAAAAAAAGACAAAAACAACAACATTTTGTTGCACTGCTTACTTTATTGATTCTTCACTTTACTATCAATGTCTCAAAGACACTAGGAAAATATTTGGGTGTATGTACATCTGATATCCATTTTGTCAGCAAGACTAAGAGATTTAAACCCCCCAACACACTTAATGGTCATTATAGAAATCATTCAAAGAACTTACATGGGGTCAACGTTTCAATTTGTATTATCTCTGCTCTCTTGGCATCACTGCATCCAATACTTCTCAGTTTTCAAGGCTCACCTATGAGATCAATTTAAATCACAGTAGCAGTGTGAATGCATCCTAAACACCTAATTTTGTTTAGTCAACAGATAAACCACCCTGAGACACACAATATACAGCCTGGCATTTAATTATAATATATGATACACGGCTGGATCTGCCCTTTATCGCACTGTACAAGAATTCAGTCAGAAGGCAGTTATGTGAGGCAGTTATATATCACATAACTTGGAAAGGGAAGTTGTATTTGTCTGTTGTAACTCTGTAAGCCAATCTAAGAATTGGTCACCGTCCAGTTATGTAGGGGCTGGTTTAGGTCTTCTTGAAAACCTGATGGGAAACGACTCCTGCAGCTCTCAGCTCCTGAAAACAAAAGAAGACAATTTAAAGTTTTGATATAAAAAAAAATAAAATAAAATAAAAAAATAAAAACAGAGAATGAAACCATGACTAAAAGAAAAAACAAAAAAAGGACATGGAATTCACCGGTTTAGATTAAAGACGGCATAGGAGGTATTTTTTATTGCACAGCAGATAATGTACATTGCATGGTAAATTATATATATATATATATATATATATATATATATGAACATGGGACAGCATTTGACAAATACTGCAAGACAGATGATGTAGATTACAAAGTAAATAATGTGTTTTAAATAGCAGAGAATATATCAGTAAATAGCTTACTATAAATTTCATGTATAATTTAGAGTAGATTATGTAGAAGGGAAGTGAATGTTGTACAGTAAATAATGTTGTACGATTTAGGCCTTAATATATCTATATTTTGGAAAGTGGATAAAGTATCTCAAGTGATTTATGTGTTTTTATTCTAATGTAGGGAATGTATATGCCATGTAAACAATGTATATTATAGTGTATACAGACCTGTAGATGATAAGAGTTGTACAATGTAGGATGAACATTACACAGGAAATAGTGTGATTTTCAACAGTGGAGAATGTAAGTAGTATTTTAGCTAGTTTCTACTATATGTCTGAATATTTACTGTTCTGGCATTGTAAAATATGTTTATTGAATAGAAGAAAACAGATATTATACAGTAGTTAATGTTTCCTTTAAGATAGACTGTACATATTGTGGGGGCACTTTATATATGTATATATTTTTAATGTGTAAATGTGTTATTAAACCCAAAATTCAAAAGGTGTTGTTTTTTCCTTTGTATAAAGGTATAATGCATAACTTACCACACCTTCATCTTTTTATTAATCAGATAAGATAATATGTTTCTAACAGCAGCCAATTTTCCTCACATAGTAAATAACAAAGTTTACATTGTAGATCATTCATTTTTCTAATTAAAATTAATTTTCTTTAAAAAAAATAAATCTTTTTTTTCTTTTAACTGAATCCTAAAGTAACAAAAAAAGGGAAAGTGGTCAGACTAAGCAACATTGGTCATAGATGGTTGGGCTAAGGCTTGTTCAATCAATAGTAAAGTGGAAAAGGACAGTGTATATATAGCATTACTTTTCTTTTTGTTCACTTTTGCAATATCTATATCACCACCAGAGGGTACTGTGGCTTCACATTCAGACCCTCCTCCAGCTCTTTGGAGCTTTCAACTAATAACTAATTTCACGGCTGCTGATCAAAAACATCTGTTGGCATCATTTTAACACAATAATTTGGCAGATTATTTGAGCTTTGCTTTCACAGCAGTAATCACAGAGAGGGAAATCTGATAATGCGGAGCCAATGAAAATGGTAATGCGCTAGTCATTACTTTAAAGTCTTTTAAGATGCTAATGCTTTCATAATAGGCCACACTGTGAACTTCACAGAGGTATTCAAAAGAAAAAAGTTAATGAAGTCTTTGCAACAGAAATTTAATTGGAATAGTCAAGATCGCACCAGAGGTCTAATGATCACTAATGGTTAAAGATGAATGAGAAGCAAATCTGGATGGATTTTCTCTCTCGGTGTATACTAATCTTTTGAATCATGTTGTTGCAATCTGCAAGGCCTTCTTTTCTTACTTGAGAGATCCTTCCTCATGCAGATATGATAAGACTTATTTGGCCGTGCATGAGTCACATCCGCACACCTCTCATAACTTTTATGAATAGTTTCTCTGTGTGCATGCACCTCACAGAATTACCACTGCTGCAGCTTTCAGGCCAATTTATGAGTCCGTCACACATAAAAATATATGCGCAGCACATACAGCGCTGAGAGGCGTTCTGGATTTGGATTAAAGTGTCTAAATTGTGTCCATTAATATTCTTGTCAGGAGCCAATGTTTTCTCACCAGATGAAGCTCGTCTCCGTCCACCCAGTGGGTCCAGCCTCTGCCTTCAATCTCTCCTTTCTGCACACACACCAGTTTGTCTCCTTCCCAGGTGATGGTGGTCTGCATGAGGTCAAAGGTCATGAATGAAACGTAACATAAAACATGATGCACCCAAGAGGGGTTTATTCAAATTCAGCAACTTGTGATGCAGACTTGAACACATGTCAGCAGAGAGCCAGGCTGCTTCCACTACTTTAAGAAAACCTCTCATTATTAACCCAGTGATTATTTCAGATTCAACAAATGGGAGTCTGTCTATTCTGGCTGTATCTGACTTATAATATACATTAAAATATAGAGAAGTGTGTTAAAAGTTTGAGGAAACTTTTGCAAGTCTGTGGAATTTCTTATAATATGGCCAAACCCTGCACACCGTTGTACTTGTTGTATTCTGTAAGGGTGCCACCAAAACAATTAATCATGGGGTTTGCAATGAGAGATGTGTCAAAGCAACATGTCCTTTAACTCAAAGCAATGTCATTTTAGCTCTACAGTTTAAATTTGTGCTTCAAAACAGCAGTAAATCTTGAATTCAATCCCCCTAAATACACCACTCCACATCCTCACCATGCATTTCCTGTCATCCACTCCTGACAAATCCTCCTCGAACTCTTTGCCAACATAAAAGTCCATATTGTAGTTCTTGAAGGTGCTAAGGGTTTTGATGATTATGTGGTCCCCTTCCTGGGTGATTTCTTTGTCAGGCTTAAGCAGGTTGGCAATTTTCCTGATGGCGACATTTACATCTGTCAAAAGACAAAAACAAAAGAGGAGGAAGGACCATAAGAAAGAGGATATTGAGTTAGACGTACGTTCAAGTCTAAATTTGTAAGTGTTTTTCAATCATGTGGTGACAGTGAACGAGAAAAGGTGCTCTCAAAACAAACATGCATTCTCCCATTGTGTATAAATGTGTGGTCTACAACAGTCTAGCTCTACAATGATGTAAATCTCAAACTTTTTCAGACTACTAAAAGATTATTCATGTTTTTTAAAGTTACAAACTGACTACAAACTTACCAAGAGCCTTCATGTACTCCTCAAAGTTATCACTGGAAATCATTTTCCAATATCCATTCAGATCAACAGGCATGTTGGCTGTGTCTCTTTACTTTTCCTTACTTCCCTGCGAGTGAGGAGGTCCACTGTGGACGGCTACCGGTGACCGAGTGCAGCAACAGCCCTCCAAAGCCTCAATTTGAATGAAACCAGTTTTAATCCGATTACCTGCTGGGTCTTGTTCTTTTATGGGGAAACGCTGCTTGCGCCTCCCGCTTTCCTCCCTCCGGTTGACACCACGTAACCCTTTCAATCCCCTCCACGCTTTCACCACACAATGTATGCTGAGAACATGTGGCATGCATACATAACTGGGAAAACACTCGTGTGCTTATGAGAGCCTGTAGACGGGATTAGGGTGAACACATTTTCATTATAACATGAAAGAGGCGCACCAACTTGGAGCTCCACACGCAGTTACCTTTAGCCTGGCCTGTTGTACAAAAAGAAACTATTCAAACCATGTTAAAATCAGCTTTATATTGAGGATACAAGGGTCACCGATTTTATTATTAATTTAGCTGGGTCATGCACACAGTGTGGATAATAATCACAGGACAAAAGCAGAATCACCTGAGCTTAAAATGATCCAACTGCAACAATTAAATGAAGCACAATGCGCCTGTCACATCTTTTGTCTCGCTTAAATAACTCAATTAATTTGATAATCTCTTTTTTTGGCCAGCTGCAGCCAACCCACTGTCTCAGTCTTTTCACAAAGACACACAAAGACACACACACAGCATCCATCTTGCAAAGGATGCCAGTTAGTATCACTCACAGCAATGCTTTCAGTCGTTGGCCTGAGTGAAAAAACATCTCCTGTAGCTGAGCAACTGGCAACTGTCAGGATTACTTTAAGTCCTTTGAGGAGAAAACTCGGGCCTCGCAGACACTGTGTGTGGATGATAACGGTGAAACAGAAAACAACAAAATTGTGTAGGGAGGCTGTTGGAGAGAAAAACATGAAGAATTTAAAACAGGATTTAGTTTTCTTTGATTTGGGGCGCTCTGGAGGATGAATGCCAAATAATGTAAAACGTTATATACTAAGTTTTACCAAGGACACAAGAAGGACTCGAGAAGAACCACAGGACTTTATAACCAGCTTTAAACCATCAATTGAAAGAAAAAATGAAATGTCTTTTTGAAAAACGTGAGGACTCCTTAAAGGCATTTTCTACCTATGCCATATTTCACAAACAGCCGTCTCTTAAATGACTTCATGTCAGGGTGTTCTTTTTAACTTTTGGTCAAGCTTTCTTAAATCAAACATTTCCTCATATTTTTCCCCTCTCCTCAGTTCTGGTTTTGTAAAGTATTTTAATAAAAGACTGTGAATGCATTTCCATAACTTTAAGGTCATTAGCTGGTTTGTTTACGTACTAAAATCCTTTCTGGTTTATAGTTAATATTCAGACAGCATCAGGAAAACCACGATCAGACAGAAATACACCAAATATGCAGGTTTTTATTGAATTCTTCCAACGCTGGTTTGATGTGCAATGGGAAAACTTTAAATTAAGAAATGTTTCTCTTTACACTGGCGCACAGATGAGGCTCAGGATTTGCAACTTTCAATGTTAATGATTCACTCTAACGTCTCTGTGTAGATGTTTCCTTCTAAAAAAAGAGGTGAAAACACATTTTGGCAAAGAGTCAATGGTTCCAGCTTGTGCAAACTCTTTCTCATGCTGCAGTTGGTGGAAGAACAGAGCTTCTCGTCCCAGAAGAGAAGCCCTGATCTGTGAGTGAATTTTCACTTGAAGGCCTCCAACGTCCAGCCTCCTGTCTCTCAGTCGTCCAAACTCTTCACAGGCTGTTGTGCCTGTTTGACGAGCGGTCTCAGCACCATGCCCTCATTTTTCTTCTCGCTGTCCACCGTATAGAGGTTGTGCTGGTGAATATAATCTATCACACAGTCCGGGATCAGGTATTTCACGCTCTGACCCTGTCTCAGAGCTCGCCGGACCTCAGTGGCGCTCGTTTCGTTCCTAACCCACTCCCTAACCAGGAAGATGTTTTGACCGTGGCGGGAAAGGGTGTCCGACTCGTGCACGGTGTGCTCAGGTTGAAGCCCCCCTCTACTGACGCAGATGAGACCAAAACGCCCGACAACCTCCTCAACGTGGTCATACAGCCATAGACCCGGAATCTTAAAGGTGTCGAGGAAATCAGCTCCACACAGGAGCTTCAGCTGGGGACGTGGGCCTGGAGAGAAGATCGAAAGAAGAGGAAGACTGTGGCCATTTGTGCATTTTTCATCCATACACAATCAGCAAAAAAGAAATTTAAATTATGGGAAAAAATGAACTATTTCAGAACATTTTTTTAACTGCATCTGTGTCGAATTATTGTGCTCGTGTGCTGACTTAGTGAGCACAAACGTGATCGCTGCATGATCCATAATAAACTCATTGTCATTACATATTAGGAAAAGATTTCTCTTATCTCAAAATTTTTCCACTGTTTTCTCCTCTGCTTGAGAAACTATTAAGCCTCCTAAAAGTTCTCCTCCCAGCTCTTTCCTTTTTTCCCCCACAGGAGATATTTTGTGTTCAGTCTTATCTTCACCAGAGTCTTGTCTAAACTTTGAGGTAAACTCAAAAAAATGATTTTTTTAAATTTCAACAGAGCGAGCCAGTATTTTGGGGAAACTTTACAAATACAGCCGCTGGCATTTACGTCTTTGTGATTTTTTTTTCTGGGTGGTTATGATTGCTGAGAGTGACATCATCCTCAAATGGCAGCACTTTTAAAGACATGGGAAACAGTGTAAAGGTATTTGCCATCTGGTTCATCCGTGACCAAGCAAAAAGAGGCAATCTAAGAGTTCCCGCAATGTTGTAGAAATCTTTCAAAACACTGGAGGCAATAGTGATGTTAACATTAAGGTAAACAGAGAAATGTTTGATTTTACACTTTGCAACAGGTGTAAAACTGACTTCCTAGCATTGCATAATTACCAATCCTAGAAACTGATGGTGCGCTGAAGGCTAAAACACCAATTACATGACTAGTTCAACTCTTCTGCTTAAATTCTGAAATCTGAACAATGTTTTATTTTGTAAAATAACTTTGAGTTAGAGACCCATACAGCAAACAAATATATCTTTGCAACAAAACAGAGAGAATTTCCATCTATTTCTGCCCACAACTCTATTTTCCACAAATCACAGATAATCCCTGAAAATGTTTCTGAACAACGATTGGCCAGTCTTAAGCTACAAACCCTCCACAGTGCTGCTGAGGCATGTTACAACAATGTATAAGCACACTAAAAGCCACTCATAGGAACACACATTCACACACTTAAATACACAATGTCTTAAAAGCACTAACACCATCCTCAACACTCTCTAAGAGCCGTTCGTCGGAACAACAAAGTAGTGCTAAGCTCTTACCCTGCTCATGTTGAGCACAGGCACATTATAGGCAGGATAAATGCAAATCCCTCAACCCAACTATCTGATAAGTGTGATTCACTGATTTGGTAACACTTTACTTGACGCCTATCTCTACAACGCATTAGAAATATATGTATGATGCATTATAATCATGTTAAAGCACAGTATAACTATAGTTATAAACACTCATAAATGATCATAAGGCTTTATAGCAACAACCATAACACATTATAAAGCTTTTTATCATGTCTTACAAGGTCAGGTATTATGTTTTATGCTTATTGTTATAAAGCCTTGTAATAATTAATGAGAGTTTATAATGATAGTTATACAAGTTTAAGCAAATTATAACACATCATAAATTTATGTATAATGCATTATCAATGTGGGCTTTGTCAGTGAGTTGTTAACAGTTATAACACATTATAATACCTGACATTGTTAGTCATGATAAAAAGCTTTATAATGTGTTATGATTATTGCTATAAAGCATTATGATCATTTATGAGTGTTTATAACTATAGTTATACAGTGCTATAAGATTATTATAACGCATTACACATACATTTATAATGCGTTATAGAGCTAGGCGTTGAGTAAAGTGTAATGAAAAATTTATTTGATCAACCAATGTGTGTTTTACTTCCTGAAAAATTAGTATTATGCAAAATAGAGTCTGAAGTCACAATAAGAAATATCAAGCCTTTATCTCTGGCATGCTAACATGCTACTCATAAGAATGTTAACATCTAAGTTTACCACTGAGAAGTAAGAATGCTAATGAATCAGCTTTTTGACAATGTAAGGAGGCTGATGGTTAACAAGAATACTAGTCATCATGTTAATGGATAATACAGACAAGCATACCTCCCTTTAATTTGATCATAGAGTGAGTTACTGATCAAATAAGACTTGAACCCACTGATGGCGCTTGAGTAAAAGTAAAGTGATTACCAGAGGCGCTCGGATTCATCTATGTTCAGGGAATCATTACAGTTTATATTTCATGGCAATCAAGCACCAGGCAGTGATAAGAACGATTCAATGCCATCATCATCTCACCACACTGTGCAAAAGAAGCCTCTGGGAGAGGATACCAACTTGTCAGTAATTACAGTGGGGCGAACAGAGACATTAAGCAGCTCCCTTCAAGACTTCCTTTTCCTGTGGGTTTATGTCACAGACATAGATGATGCCGTTTCTTGGTCCATCACCTCCTCCAAAGTAGGGCCTTTTTCTGTGTATCAGGTAGGTCTCCGTTTAATAGTAGACATTGAAGGTGCTTTTCATTGCAGGGATTTCCCTTTAAGGAACTAAATGGGTAAACATTGCAAATCAGGCCAATGACATCAGGCATTGTATTCTGATATTAAGTCACTTGTACAGCCATTTATCCCAGTTTCTACTATTTTTTTGTCATAAATCCTATTGGTAAAAACTGCAGGTTTTATACACCACTTGTTACATGGTGTGTCCTACTGTATGCAAGTTGTTGTGGTGGAAATTTAAAAGAGTTAATAAAAAAAAGAGAGTTTTCTCCGAGGTACATTTGAACACAACACATCCCTATCTCCCTCCATTGCTTCTGCCAAGAGCTTGCTACAGCTGGTGAGTCTCACTCTCTTCTTATTACTGCCAGCCTAACGTTTTAATTGGGAACTAACTCTGTTAAAACAACGGGGAACAGCGGTCGCCATGAAAGTGTATCCCTCAGACAAAAATGATTCCAGAGACTGTAGTTCACTGTGTGATTCCTTCACCAAGTGATTCAGACGTTGGCGTGTGCCGTCCCTCTCCCGCTCACCGGCTGCTATGGCAGCGGTGCTGCTGACAGCTCAACTGAAGTGAGAAACGAACAAATCACTTGAGGAACTGATTCGGTTCAGTACGCTCACTTAAAAGATTCAGTTCTTTTGAATGAATCATTCATGAACGACACAACACTAGTAACTGGAAACATTTTCTCTTACACTATCACCCTTTGATGCCTCCATCTTTTTAACATTCTCTCTGCTCAGCTAGTGTCTGTGATTTAAGTGCATACTAGCTTATATTGCAAACAAGATTGTTTCCTGATCTGACTAACCCCTGAAACTGTTTCAAAAACAAGCCCTTCCCGGGATAAAAAAATGTAAACACACGGAGTAAAAATTCATGTACATACATCATTTAACTGATGAGATAAAACTAGGTTATGTAGGATATAATCCAGGATCTGCGTGTGCACAAAGCTACCGGTATTTAATATGTAAATTAATGACCTGATTTTTAATATGGATAAAATCATCAGGCCCTGTTTTACGTAGTCCCTAGGCCATTGCAAAGTATTACCCCCTTAAAGCAGGGGCTTTAAGTTATACAGAGACCTCTCTATGATAACACCAGTGGCATCAGCCTGAAATATGAACCCTCATACTTATACTTTACACACCTAGAAAAAGGTTTTTTTTTATCTCGAGTTTGTCAAATTTTCAACTTTTGAACAACTTGTGCTAGCATGCAGATATCTGTTTGCAGAGATATGTTAATCATCAGATAACCACCATCGGGAGCTGGGATGCCATAAGAGCAGTGTGTGGACTGTCTGCTTTTGCTCTTTACACAACCTGCTTTTCCTGCGTACATCAAAGTCTGCTATCAGGAGATTAACAAATAGTACCTTGACTACAATCTATCTGCAAACAGAAACCAGAACACTTCCGGTGCAGAAAATCCACAGATTTTACATTTACAAGTCTGTGAATAAAGATTAATGCAAGTAAACCAATAAAGAAATCTCTGTGAACCGTTAGTGATCAAAGGGTTTATGAGATGATCCTAACTTTACAACATTAAGAGGTTCTTACTTAAGAAGGGATTAGTATTTCCATTGAAGTCATCTGCTGTGCTCCATTTGTGCTCCTTTAAAATACGTCCATAATGATACCTGGAAAAAAAGAAGATATGACAGTGAGATTAAGAATTATTTATTTATCAATTACACAAAATTTCACCATTCTCTGGTCTAATTAGGAATATTTTCCCTCAATTTTACTTTTATGGAACACATTTTTGCATGTATATTTTTATTTGTAATGATGTATTACTCATCCTTCTCTGTTGATGGATGTGTAAAGTCAAGTTTCTCTACAACACTTGATCAAACTGATCTGTATTATTCAACCACTAATATCCAGGAGTCACAGAGGAAAACGTAAGAGCAAAATGAAAAACTTCACTGTTTTCAAGTAAAGCTTCTTAAAGATGTGTGAGCCCATTCATGTAGGTGTGTGTGTGTGTTACAGAGTAAGGTAACTTATGGCATGGCCCGCTTACAACCTAAAGACAACCAGCTTTGTTCAGCATGTTGTGCAAACAGGGGGGTAGGAGCACTCAAGAGAGGATTGCTCAGCAGGGTGGAGAAAGATGGGGAGTGAGAATACAGAAAGAAATCAAATGAAGCAAGAGACCTTTACACATACTACGCACAGTGTATGAGTGCGATAGATGATTAATCCCTTTAGAGCAAAACTTTGATGAAACTCAGCTGTGAATAAATTTCACAGTGTTGCCGCAAAGAAAACCTCTGCCATGTTAAGATATTCGCATGTTAATCAAGTCACCTCTTCAGCCTCTTTGACTCCCACATTTATCTGCTCAGACAGCCTTTTTGCAAATCAACCATTCCCTTTCAGTGGCTAAACTCTCAGGGAGTCTAGCGGCTTGTGTCCCTGACTTCACCTCATAAAAAACCCAGACCTGACATGGGCCCAGTCTGGTCTGGTTGCCCACTAGAGATCAAATCCTGTAATTGAGACTCAGGGAACCTGGGAACACTCTGTGAAATAATCGGCCTGAGTTGGCACACAGCAGGCTGGGTGGAGGAGCAGCCAAGAAGAGCGTATCTCCCAGAACTCTGCTGGTGCTGCTTTAAAACTAGGACATGCAAGAGGAGAAAAATACTCCTCCTGAAGGCTGAAATTATCCTTAAGATTCCTCCTTTTTTCCGACTATGACCAAACCTTTCTGTCTGAAAGAAACAGTTTTCCCATTAATGCTGCTCTGGTCATGTCTTATACCTCATGGTGACCACAGTCTCTGTCCAGTCTGCCTGTTGGCTCTCCCATTCATCAACCCTGACCCAGTTTGAGCTCTGTAGAGCCAGCTTTGCCATAGCGATTCTGTGCTGAGCCGGTACCAAGCCTTGCTTTCCATAACCGTCACTCACTGGAGACACGATGCCACCCACCACCTGGTACTGGCCTGGGGGGAGAGAGGATCAAAACAGTTTTTCTGGGTCATGGCAGACGATACAGACATGGAATAAAAATCAGTAGATATAGTCATCTCTGAGAGACACTGGTGTTCATGTTAGAAGTGCTTTTATAAATCTAACACTACAGAAAAAAATGGTTACACAAACTGATAGAGGGATTTAAATCATTACATAATTGTGCAATTGGACTAAAACACGATCATGTTACAGGTGAATCAAAAAGTTAATTGTGGGGAATCTAGTTTGTCTAAAAAAAATCTCACAAATATTAACAACTATAGCTAAATAAATCTAACGACATGACAAAAAAAAGATTTTTTCTGATCACCCTGGAATCAGTCAGCTGATGTGTTATAGGTGAGGGGTCAAAGGGGATCCTAAGAGCATTATTCATGTCCCTGCCCACTGAAATGGTGCTCTGTGCACACATTCATAAAGGATCTTAAAGAAAGCTGACTCATGAGCGGCATAGCTCTAAAGGTATAATGATGTCGTTATGAACATGTGACAGGGCCGGCTCTCCTATTAGGAGCAGCTTTGGAAGTAAGTTGTCAAGGTTTACGTCCCGAGCCTGCATCTGCTGACACGGAATTTACATGGGACCAGTGGCGGCACATGTCAAGACACGCAACTGAGACTATATTTTATTCATACAAAAGGAGAACATAGAAGTGCATATGAGGTCTGCAGCACTAGAAGCATTATCTGATATGAGGCCAGAGGAGGCCTAGATCTCTAAAGAGGCAATGTCAGAACTGAAAGACACCAAATTAGCATCAGCAGTCATTTGGAGTTGTGTGTAAGGCAGCCTGGCATATCGGAGTACAACATTTGTTCTCCTTTGGGCATTTGTATTTCACCTACTTCTGAGATCATAAGTTTTCTAAGTTTAAACTTTCTTCTCCAGCTATCATCTGCTCAGTGATCCAAAGATCAGACACACTCGGTATATCGGGTTGATCAAAATTTTTGACAGAAGTGGAGCCAAATCACCCCCCCCCCCCCAAAAAAAATAAAAAAAAATAAAAAAAAAACTATGAACAACTTCTCTCTCCTTCTACCCATATTATCCTTTGATCCATTTATAACTGGAAGTAAATTAGACGAAGGTCATCATTTTCAAGCTTTTACTGGAGGAAATTCAACACTGCAGGCCGTCTGTAGAGTCAAATAAATCACACAAAGCACAACTTGTCCCTGAAGTATGGATCTGACCTGTGCTGTGCATGTGGTCTCTGGCAAGCTCAAACAGCCTCATGTGCTGGTTAGTGATGGGATTGAAGGAGCCACAGGCCAGCAGGACCAGTGGAACACGGCGGGTGGCCATCTTGGTTTACCCACCCACACCACTGCTGCAGAACCTTGGGTAAAAACAAGAGAAAATTAGTTGTTTAAGTTGTAGTAGTCGGAAAAGAAAAGGAGCCAAAGGGGAGAGAGCAAATCTGAGCAAGTTTTTTCAAAACTTTGTTCAGGACACTGCAAAACTATTCAAGTTTTTATTTGTGGGAAAGTCAATCTGGACTCATAAATAATTCCACCAAGGTATGCAATTGCTGCATTAACCAAAACAAACTATTTGTCATTTGCTGGTAAGTTTTTTTGTTCCCAAAGCATCTTGCAGTGTATGAGTATAGTGTAAGTAAAGATGGCCCCACAGCTAGATGTTGTCAACCCATTTATCACTTGAACAGCCAGAAACAACAGCATGAATAATATGAAGTCAGACGCTGCAGGAAACGTTGTTGTGATTTTTTGTAATCATATGTATTTGTACTAACCTGCACCAGCATACATGAAATTTGGATATACTCCAATAAAACCAGATACTTAAATAGGTATGCAGCCCTCATTTATATTAAGTGTCACAATTTCAAATTGTAAAGTGTTATATTTTGTTCTTCACCTCCTTCATGCCTTTAAAAGACTGTTTACATAATAAAGCTGTCGTAACACTACATATTGTTGGATTCCACTCTGTGTATTTGACTTTGCATTAGTTTATGTTGTGATTGGTGTCATTCCATTTTAATAGCTTCTGTGTAATTGCTGTTACCTGACCATTGCAACTGTTGGTTTTCAGCTTTAAGTAGTTTTTTTTCTGTGTGCTAATTTAACACACACACACACACACTAATTTCCTGATAGATTTATCAACAGACCTTTTTCAGCAATGTAATTAAAGACCTGTAATAGTAAAACAAGTATGAATACACTATTATTGGACTTGAAATTTTATCTCCTGTGGCAATACAGTAAAGACGCAATTAAATATAGTGTTGAAAGTGAACGGCATACATGGTCATTTATTTTGTAAACGCATAAAAATTCCTGTAATCCAATGCAGGTTCAAACACTAGTAGGGGAGAGTGTAGTGTAGTGTGTAGTGAGTGACTAGTGTATCTGCATATATTTCAAGATGTTGTGCATTCCTGCAAACCAACAGAATGAGTGTAAACATAACTGTCTTGATAATAGCATGCCAAATAAAAGGGGTCTCCTATGGTCAACTTACCCTGTGTATGGGGTAAGTTGACCATAGGAGCGGGCTAAGTTGAGCTGTATCCCTACTAGCCCCCCTTACTCTCCACCCCGGCCCTCCCTCACCTTCTCTCTCCCTAAACAACAGTCACTTCTTCACATTCATATTTTTATCTACTATACCCTATTCAACTGGTACACTAATTCTTTTTTATTATGATTGCACATAACTGATAAAAAGCTGTTTTGTAAAAAGTCATTTTAACATGAGAATGTATTTAAGTGATTCAGAACATTCACTGCTGTATTTTTGAAAAGAAAAAGTAACACATTTCAACAATCTGAACTGAAACTCTGATCCTCTCATCAGACTCCTTTACTTTCTCAGTTGAGACACTGGGTCAATTTACCCCATAACTACTATGATGACTTTATTAGTCCTCTAAGCTAAAATGGTGGACTTTAGGTTTTTGACTTCATGTTGTAGCTCATAGATACCACCATTGATGTGTAAAACCATTTTAAAATGATCTTTTTTGGTCTGAACACAATCCTGATAAAACCTCTGACAGACTAAATTCACTTTCAAGAGAGAAAAATGTTTTTTTGTAAATAAATGTCTAACCCCTTCACCCATGTGCTTCTAACCTTCACAGACTCCATGAATTGATGCCCATCTCCTAAATATTTGGTCACATGATCAATTTCTTTAACCATATCCAAGCAACAGAGGGTGACCCAACTTACCCCACTTTATACGATATAAGGGCACGAGACCAGTAATTGCCTCCTGTCTCGCTACAGTAAGCTTGCCCATAAATTACAAGTTATAAGGCGTGGAAAAGTTGACTACGAGTTATACTCGACGAAATTTCAGTAAGAGGACAGCATCCACCTCTTACAGCCTGGCAACGAAGCCGTGACATTGAATCGGCAGCAGCCACATTGATTAGCTTAGCACCTCCTGCAAAGCGGAAATACACGCGACCGGTAACTTAGATTAGAGCAAACAGCTGTTCATAAAACGTGAAGGTCAAAAACACAATATTACAAGGAAGAAATTTCAATATATTTGATTACCTCCTTTTCACATTGTTGCTGTTTGGTAAGAGTGTTACAGCCTTTATGGTCCCCCGGTCTGAGGATCTCGATGGTTCCGCCGACAAGAAAGCTGGCCAAACTGTGCCCCCTTGTGGACTGATCTTACTCTGAGCAAAGTGAAAGAACTCTCCATGGTACTGAAATACACAGGAAACGTGTCTGGTAAGTTTCTCCAGGTTACCAAAGTTGAGATGTTCACTGTTGTTGCCCCACTTTGGCTACTTGCTGGAAACACTCACCTCACTGAGTTTTTGTCTCATACTTTCCTGTGCCTTTGCAATGGCGAACAGTTTTCCTCTCAGGAGTACCCACTATAATCAGACACTGACCTTTACAGAGGTAAAGCATCAAACACCTACGTCTACCTTGTAACCTTTCAGTCCATTGTTGTTAACTGCTTGTCAGATGAAAAGGAGAGGCTTTGTCGATCACTAATTGACTGTCTGAGGAGCAGCTGGCAGCGTATAACATAATGGTTGTACAGCAAATGTATTTTCTAATGACTTTGCTTTGTCACTGTGTCACAAGAATAGTTTAAAAAGACTGTGAAAGTTCAAGTAAGTGTAGTGACATTACACAGATAAAATGGTATATTGTACCATTCGGAAATAGAGTAAACCTGTCTAATGGGGAAAATTATGGCCATGGGAATTTACATATTTGGATCCAGAAGTACTGTTTGTTCAAAATATGGGGAATTTTTTTATTTTCAGATTTCTGTGGATTCTATTATTTAAAAAAATCACTAGTTTTTTCGATCTGCTCCATTTCTGTGGAATAGACATTTTGATGTTCACTTTTGCATCTGAATCAGGGTAAGTATTTCTTATTTGGAAACTCTTTTAACAAAAATGGCACAACTAACTTCTTATCACAGGAAGATTTATCCTGAATGAAAACCTCTATTTGTTGATAGCAGTCATAAAACTTTTGAGTTATTTATAAGTCATGTTTTTAGGGGCTAGCTGAAGAAACAGACCTTGGAAAGATAACATTTTCAAAAGAACAACCATTTTACATGAGTCATAATGTGAGATGAAATGCTTCAGAGATTCTCGCATAAAATCAAATCTGCTGTCCTTTTACCTTAATGATTGCTGAGCTCAGAGTCCAGCCACAGGTGAAGGAACAATCTGCTCATTGAACCATCTGTCTCCAGTGTCAGTGCTCTGCTGTAACTTAGCTGCCACTTCCCATGGAAACAGCCAGTTGGGAGTATGTGTGGCCAAGTGACTGTGTGTGCATGTAAATTTGGTCGTGCCTTTGTTTATCTGCGTATGAGTGTGCGTGTGTGTGTTCTATCTTTGTTATCCTCTTAACTCACTTGAGGTCTGCCCCCTCTCTCGCTCTCTCTCTCTCTAATCCCCAAACACACACCCACACCCTGCAGAAGAGGAAGCATGGGGGAATAATTGAAGAACATACGGCCGTTAGAGAAAACCAGTGATTCTGCCACAGGGTGAAAACTGAAAGACTCAAATCTGTGAGGGGGAGGATAGCTGTGCTGTTTGGGTTCTTGTTAGGAGGATCCAGTTTATAAAAGAAGACAGCATTCTAAAACAGCTGCTTTATTAGATTATGAGAGCTGTAAAAATGAAGAAATGTGCTGTTAATGTAACTTCTTAATTAAAGAGATAGTTCTTTTTTATTTCTCAATGCTTCCCAAGGACAGGCAATCTATGTAGTGTTGCTGCAAACAAAGAACAAAGGATGCACATGGGTTGTGGTAGGCATTAACAGTATGGCATTCTTGATCTAGGATCTAGTACGAGTATGTCTCTTGAGGCATGTGCTACTGTGATACTAAACAAAAAGAATATCTCAATCTTTAGATGATTTAGCAAGTAACTTACTTATAATAATTACTATGAATTCTGCATGATCTTCGCATTGCCCATGTGCAACATGGGGGTCTGAATGCACCTCCTTAGACCTTTGAAGTCTTTACATAAAGACAGTGATGCAGTTACTAAATGATTGAAATGGTCTCATCAAGTAAACAGAAACAGATCAGTAAAGAATACTCTGTTTTGATGTTACAGGGGCATAAATGTTGGTGATAGCTGTTATGTATTGTACGAGCCATTTCATGTGTTAATCAATACCCCTGTCTGCTCCTTTTATTTTGATGCTCAGACCCAGCCACTTTTTCATTCTGGCTATTTTGTAAGCTGCTGGTGTTCCAACTTGCCATAGCTTGAGGTCTATTGAAATGATTAAATAAGTACAGCTATACTTCTGTAGAGGGATGAAGTCAGTCAGTGGTGGCTTAATCTCAGTTCCGGCAGTCATTTCCTGGGGTGTCAAAATCAATCGTTTTTTAAAACTACAAACACATTCACACTCATCTTCAACAAACCTCCCTCCCCACATCTCCACCCCTTTGACACTTGCTACCTCTCTATGAAGACAGATTTGTCAAGTTAGCCATTTAAAATTGTGTTTTATGCTCAGGGAAGTAGTTTTAATTTTCAGTATAAAAGTATGTGCAGAAATTTACCTATTTTTAAAGCACCAAAACTCAACACAGTGAGATTGTACATATCTAGAATTACTTTTTAACACCGCCAGTGTCTACTTTGCATAAACTGAACCAAGTTTTGGTACAATTCTTTGACATAAATGGGTATTAAGGGTCGTCTGTATTTTATTTTGAAATCCTTCACCGGAAATACGCTTTCACTTACGCTAACTGTATGTCAGTATCTCTCTCTCTCTCTCTCTCTCTTACACTAACCACTGACTCTCTCTCTACCCACCGACTACACCTCGCGAGCCCGGGCAGTTAAAAACATCCTCGCGCCGGGTAGGACTTCCAGGATTTCAGCAGAGGAGACATCACCAACACAGCCCAACCACCATGGAGACACTCGGGGTCCCTTTTCTGCTGTTTTGGCTCATGTGGGGCCACTCCTGCGCTGTCGGTGGGAAAGGTAGGAGCAAGAAAACGAAAAAGACAACGAAATGTTTGACTGCTTTGTCGTGTCTGAGTTGTATAAGTTAGCACGAGACAGCCGTCCGCCTGTCCAAAACTTGGTCGCCATGAAGATTTTTGTCTGTTTGTTGTCAGGATTCTCATTCAGAAGCTGAAAGATTTTTCTTTCTCTGTGATTATGAATCATTTAGTTAAAGTTTTCTAAATGGTGGACAGTGCAATTAGCAGGACAGGTGTTCAGTTTGAAAGAAGGTGACAGCTTCTGATGTTGTTAGTTGTCATCCAGTGTTGGTGAAGGGAAGTGAGACACCTAGGTAACTTAGATAAATGCAAATATGATGATTGAAAGTCTGCAACATTTATTAGTTGATTAATTGCTTTTTGCCTTGAGCACATAACCAAGGAAAATAAAAAAATAAACAAACAAACAAACACTTCCAAAGGCTGCGTTGAACCCAAATTACTTTTCTAAAGAAAGGGTTCATAACAGTCTACACCAAAGATATTAAATCCATACACCATTTTTGACAATGATAGGTGTCTTTATTGACATCTTAAATCTACCATGGGATCTCAAGATATTACATTTGAGTAAAATTAGACAAAAGTAATATTATTGACTTTCTCAAGCGATAGAATCATATTTAAGTGTGTAAAACACCAACTACTTTTTCCTATAAGTCAACTTAGAGCTACATATTTAAATGTCTTGTTCAGCCCTTCAAATATTTACGGTCCTGTAGATATTACATTTAAGGTACACCAAGAAACAACCTTAAATTGCCACAAATGATCAAAAGATATCATATATTATTTGATTTCTTTGGTGGTAATCCTTCAGGTGTGATGAGAACCTGATCAACATACTAAGCATATAATAGGACTCGTCACATATTAACACATGCAAATAGTAATTTCAAAATAAAATCTCTTTTTAACGTCATGTCTTGGAGGTAACCTTGCTCACTGCTTTGGTGTTTCAAATGATCATGATTAACACAGTAAAAAGAAAACATCTATAGAAGATAACAAGAGTAACACTGTGGCTTTTGATTGGCTGGTTGAGCAGTGATGAGGAGATGATTCCTGCGCATGGCAATCAAATAGCGTTTGAGGAGGGCATCCATGGTCAGTGCATTTCATTCAATCTTAACCTCACCCTCTGATACCCGTATATCATCTTCCGTCTCTGTCTCACATACTACACACATGTGCGCACACACACACAGACACGGACGCAGGCACACACACTCACACAGCGTTGACTGGTGTTGCCGATGAAGGGCAGCAGCGGTTTACAGTGGTATTAATTGGGTCTCTGGAGTGAGAGTGCAGGGCTGACTGGCTGTCTGCACTCAACCAAACATTATCATTTTTCCCTGTTTATAAGAGACCTCCATACGGCTGTGAGCTATGGGGAAGGCTAACTAGCTTTATAGACTTAATTCAGAGAAGAAGTTGTTTTCTGTGGGGGCTTCAATGACTCATCCAGCTGTCAAAAGTAAATGTGATGTGTCAACCAGGGTTTGCACAATCTAGTGGCCATTTATTATGCTTCCAAATAGGATGTTAACTGGCAGAAAAAAAGAGAAAAAAACAACAGTGTGATTCCCTTAGATATGATAAGACTTACTATTGTTAAGAATAGCTATTTCCATTTAAAAAGGAACAGATCAAGGCCGCTGTGTGCTGGCTGAGTGTTTGCTCGCTGTAGGAGAGACAGAGAGTGAGTTCTTTTTTTTCTGAGGAGATATTTTGTTGCTCTACAAGCTCAGCAGAATACAGTATACATGAGACAAAGGCTTGCTGTAGAACACCTTTACATAAGAAGTCGAAAAAAAGACCAGAGCAGACAAATGCCAAAGAAGACAGACTGAAGGGATTAGAGGGGCGCTGGAGGAGAAAGAAAGGAAGAAAAACCAAAAACAAGATCAGATTTATGAGTGTCTTTTCAGCTGCATTTTCCTTGCTGGAACATAAATTGTGATGTGGAACGGGGAAGCATAACTCACGTTTTCCTCCTCTGTGCAGTGACTGGTGAAACAATGTCTGGCGGTAGCTGCTCTGTCCGCGCTGTCTTTCTTTTCCTCTTTACTGTCATTCACGCCCTTTCTGTTCCCTTTCTTTCCTGTGCTTTCTCTCTTGTTT